CTGGGACTGGGACTGGGACTGGGACTGGGACTGGGACTGGGACTGGGACTGTTTGGTCAAATGGGTAGGTAGGGTTGGCGAATCCAAGGGTTGAAGACGGGAAAGAGTGAGATGGTCGAGATTGGCTGGCTGGCTGGTTGCCTTGAGTTCAAGTTGATGGACGAAAAGAAATGAATGAATTGATTGCTGCCACTGAAGAATAAGGTTGGCTTGATCGGAACTGAAGCCAAGGTGATGCCAGTGGGATGGACGGAGATGCAATGAGCTGGGCTAAGCTGGAGCCTTGGACTGAGAGGCTGCAACCTGGAACCTGGGTTCTGGGGTTTCGTCAACTTGACTGCACCCTTGGGTACTCTAACACTCTGTACCTACCTAGATACAAGTCCAATGCGAAGCTGAGTCTGAGTCTGAATCTGATCAACTATTCGAGTTTGATCGACATGTCGGGAAGAGAATGTTTTCGAAGTGTCTAGTTATCAATGTTAATACTATCACTGAGAGTGCTGGCAAGATGGACTCGTCTGCAGTGGTCTACAATGATGCTAGAGCTTTGGAGGACTCTCAAGGCATGCATGCATGGTCCAGGGTAATAAGGTGGACGATACACGAATAGAACTTGCAGATATCAAATGTCACAATGTGGCTTTGGGAGCGACTGCAGTGAGAGGACATTTCACTTGATCGGTTCAAAGCGAGAAACAAAGCCTGCCTTGCCGGAAACGTCGAGTACTGAAACGTCGAGTAGATGAGGATTTTTCCACGCCCCCGGTGCATAAAAAGAAGGAAACTGGGTGAAGAAAAGAATGGGGTAGGTCTGTCTGGATTCCCGCTCATCTGGTCTGACTTTGATTCTGAGAAGGTCCAGAGTTCCCAGTAATGTGAGCAAGAGCAATTCATTCCTTTCTCCACCAGAATAAGTTCATATTTGCCTAAGCATAGAGCACAGGAACTGTCGCAGTGATTAATTGACTGACGGATGACTGATTGACCGAGACATCTACCTCGCTGCCAGGTTACAGTAGCTCGACCAGTCTTCACCGAATTAATGCCCAACAACAGCCTGCTAGGGTGGTGGGAATCAACTCCAGTCTGCTCTGCTCACGTTGCGTTCAAGACGGAGGTGCCGCAGGAAAGCTAGCATCTCCCGTCTGAGGAAGCCAGCTGGGACGCAACTTGTCAAAGATTTCGGCAGCCGGCTTTCCCCACTTGTCACTTCCTTTGAGCAAACCCGTACGAATGACAATGGTGTCGGGACCTTGGTATTCGGCGTTAGCATAACGCTGAACCAGGCACTAACTTGCGCCCACCTAACCTGCGTTGCGATCACAGGAGACATTCAAGTTGTGGTGTGGTCAAACTTACCCATGACATGCTGATGATGATACGGACTCGCCCCGCAGTTAGGACACATGTAGCAGTCGACCGAGTTGCCTGTAGACAATCGTCGTGGTCGGTCAGTTTTCTTGTCGTGAGACAGTAGATGGTGCCATGGTGGTTCTTCCCCGTGGGTTGGTTTAAACTTACCGGAATCTCCCTTGTAAGTGTACACCTTGAGATCGCCCTTTGTCAACTTAAAGTTGGACTTTGGAATGACTTGGTTGAGGGTGAATTCGCCGCCGCCGAGGATCTTGCAGGCGCCGCAGTGGCAGAGGATGTGCTTTTCTTCGGGGATTTCCACCGTCCATGCGGTTTGGCCGCAGTGGCATTGCCCTTCGTACGGAGCCATGGTAGTCGAGCGGTAGTTGCTGCGTTTGCAGTGAGTGGTAGTGGACGAGATGTTACAGGGAACGTGAGATTGCAGGATTGAGACGCGAAGAAGAAAGAGATGCAAGTGGATGTGGTTTGAAGACTGTGTGAATGGAATACAAAAAGAAAGATGAAATTGGAGCGACGTTTAGGTTGATTTTATCTTGTATGCGGTGCTGTGCTGTGATTCACTCCTACTGACTGCTTTGCTTTTCGCCAATCATGTACTACCTAGGTACCTACAGCACAGCACAAAGTCCCCGACGCAGTGGTCGAGATGAAAAATACTCTCGGCTCCAGTCTATAGGTACCGGTATCTCGTCCAGCGTGACCACAATGCCACTCTGGCTTGGTCCGCGGAATTGTGATGATTCTACACAATAGTACCTTACCTACGACTCGAACTAGACCTCGCACTACTGCAGATAAGATTCAGTATTTGGAAGCACTGCAGTTGGCATGCCGCCAGGTAAGCTCCGAGGATTTGGCGAACTTGAAGTCGACAGCACTGCACTGTAGCGATGATTTCACTGGCTGCTCGCTACAGTCCATTTCGTCATTCTGTTCTAAACTCGGTGTAGCCCACTGGTCAGGCTCGCTTTTTCCCCGCGTTGAAGAAAAGCTTGGCAAGGCACCAACTGCCAGTGCAGCGCAGAAAGCTCAGTCACGCTTGTCCCATTGAAGACGGCTTTTCTCGCCATTCGGTTGATACGACAAGGGGTCAATTGAATGGCTCTAAAGCAGCAACGACTTGATCTTTCAATGCCAGTGCCCCTGCAGCGACACTGACTGACCTCATGGACACGGGATAAGGTACTTACCTACAACTACAGACAGTATTCAGCTTGTTTGTAGATTTCAAGCAGATCAGATGGGGACAAAGGGCCATGATTAGGTAGGTCCTGTATGACTGAATCTCTGAGACAGAAGAAGAGTGAGTACCTACCTCAGTACAGTACATAGAACAGTCGGCTCCTTACCAGTTAGTACCTGCACAGCGGTGCATCCGCTCCCGCTGCGGGTCGGGAATATAAATGATTTGGAATACCTTCCTACAATGTACCCAGGAATCCAGGTGTGCCTAACTTGAGCCCCACAGCAATACGGGACAGGATTATTGCATAATACCGATCAAACTATTATGCCCTGAAGAATCGAGCCGAGATGGATGGGATGCCTTAACTTATTATGCCTGAACTAAGAATACCTAGGTAAGGATTTGGGAGTTTTTCTTTTTTTTAGTTTTTTTGGGGAACTTAGAATGCTAGTACTGTAGGACGTTGCAATGAGATAGGAGGAACACTACCTTTCTACCTAGGTAGATGGGGTGCAGCGGATCCAAATGCAAGAGGGTAGGTAGGTGCCTTATCAATATATATATATATATGACCCCTGTATACATGCTTGTTTGTATGATTGAAAGTTTTCATTCCCAGCTGCCAGTGCAGTTCATGTCCCCCCTAGTACCTGGGTCCTGTCCTCAAACTGCACTTTGGTCAAAGTTCCGAGAGTCTGACCGCCGGGCTAAAGGAAGCCCATGAGCATTCAGCTGTCAAGAAATCGGATAAATGTCCGAGTCCCCCCAAAAAAGTAGTAGACCGCGCTATGTGCTGGCAGGGGATTGTATATTATATGCGGATAATTTCCAGTCTCTTCCTATCTCCTGCCGGGGAGTCTCTTGTCCAATAACCCCGAATGGTGAAATTTGAAGGCCTGAGTATCCTCGGAACCAAGAGGGCGAGTATCCAAGATGATTTCCTTCGTAAATGCAGTTCGAATCCTAGGACGGCTTCCTATGGTGCTATCAGTATAGTCGTGGTGGCAAATGTGGATATCGGTACCGGGACGAAAATTAAGACGTAAATCTATCTTCCGTCGTAAGTTGCCAACGTACGAGAGTCTTCCTTGTCCTGACTGCCAGTTGGTGGCTCGGGCCTGAGTCTTCTCTCAATTCGCAAGCAGAACTCCCCGAGGCCGCGCAACATCTGGGGTTTCGAGCGGCGACAGGAGAAACCAGCACTGAAGGCCGGTGAATGCTCGCTAGACGGATGGACACCACCGTTTGACGGAACAGGTGCGGTGCGGTGTGATGCCAGCTTTGGTGTTGTATTGTGTTCAAGCAACATTGAACTTCCTTTTGCCGGCCGTAATAGCCGCTCTTCTGAAATCATCCCACCCCCAACGCCTCTATTGTGGTTCTGTGCTCCGTTGTTTCCTTTCTCTTCTACCAGGCCAAAAACCGGTGGCCATGTTAAACGCTGCATAATGAGGATGGAGGTCAAGCCGGAACAGTATATGAGGAGGAGACGGGGGTCGACGGAACGACTTTTCGTCTTGAGAGTTGAGACGAGAAACTTCGATCAGGGCTTCCGCCCTATGACAATGACACTGACAAAGACAATCAGCACCCTTTTCGGCAAAATAAGGAGACGACCCGCTAGCTTACAGAGGAAAGTAAAAGTGTTGTTTTCGTGAGTTGATCTCCTGGAAAGCCTTGATGCAGGCGTCGTTGACCTGGTCGACCGTCCACTATTTAGAATGTTAGTTATGATTGACACAAACAAAATTTTTGTCGGCTACTGCTTACCCCCATGGACCTGGTGCAAATCTGCAAAAGCCAGCCTTGTAAACCGGTCTTGTAGAATCGTTCATAGAACCGTCCAACATCTTTCAGCTTGGGGTCCGTAGGCCAGGGCCCAAGAGGCAGCTTGAGTCTCTGTTCTTGGACGTCCACAAAACCTGCTTCTTCGATCTTTTTCTTCATGACCGTTGATATCTGGAAGTCTCTTCCTGCTGCCCTGGACATTTCTTTGCTGAAATCACACAATGCTTTGATCTGACTGCCCGGTAGGATTTCCTCGTCGTCCGTGAGAGCGTCAATTTCGACCTCCATCTGTTCGATCCATGCGCCGGAATTCATGTTCCTGTTCATAATTAGCTATCAGAAAGAGCAGAAATAGGCTACTCGATAGTGGTGATCGTGGTAAGAAAGGCAAACGAAGAACGGGAAACAAGTAAACTGAGAGGCATGGGCTGTATGACAAACAGCCAAGATCTAGAGCCGCATCTTCTTGTGCTAGAGCGCGAAGACAAATTCTGGCAATAGCATAGCCGAAACCTCGACAGACTCAAAACGATGGAAATTGTAGATTGGTGGGCACAACGTACTCAAAACATTGTTTATACAAGGCCTCCCAGTCTTTGACACCAACGAACAAAGATCTGATGTGGACCAGATCGAACTTCATATTCGGGTCGTCGAGAACCCATTCCTCCGTGGCATCAAACATGATGTGCGTCAGGTTGGGAAAGGTGGTCCTTGGCTGAGGTGCAGTGTCAATGCCGACCACCTGCGTGTCGGGGTACCTCTCAGCCACTCCCTCAGCCCAGAGACCTAAACCTGTGCCCACATCTGCAACACACCGGAGAGAAGATTCATCGATGGGAGAAAGGAAATATTTATTGTCGAGAAGGAGCAGACACATCTCGTGAAGGACGATCTCATTCTCCTCCGAGACTTCGTCGTAGGGAAAGGGGTGGCCGTCCTTGTAATCGTGATAGCGCCGACCATTCTCGACTCGAAAGTTGTGGGCAGAAGAGGCTACCGAATAGGCCGAAGACCCATCGTCTCTTCCATCTTCTGTAAATTGATATCGTGCATACTGTTCATCGACAGGGATGATGGCATCGTGGTTTAGATTCTCCATATCCTTGTCGAAGTAGCTCATGGCTTCAAATGCATGGCCATCCACTGTAAAGACAATAGAGCTCGGGTGTACTTCTGAAGGAGTAAAATTCAGCAGATGATAGATTTCATGTCCCAGAGCAAGAACGATATAATGGTCGGCCACAGGTGGTGGATGGGACAAGTATAGAGTATTCAGTAGTTGAAAACTGGAAACGGATTTGGGAACGAAAACAAAATGGGAATGGATTGCGGTAGAGACGATAGTCCCAGAAACCAAGCCCTCGTTCCGTTGGTTGAGGTGGGGTGCAGTGTCGACCAGTTGGTGTGGAAGAAGCACTGACAGGTTTTCGAAGACAAGCGGACCACAGTGGACTCGGATGGGTTTACCTGCCTAGTTGTGTCGAAGCGGAGGCCAGCCCGGAGGTTATTACAACAGACATCCAGGACGGTGAACGGGGCCGCACTGACAGCTGTCAGATGTCGACAACCCACTTGGCACCGGTGAACATGAAGAACCAGTACGTTGGGATTGTGGTAAGGATGGGTTAATCTTCGAAGAGACCCGATAGGGCACAGGTCGATAGCTTGAGGCTTGTCAGGCCCAGCTGATCGGAAATTTTCTTGAGGACAACGAGGATGGTGGCGAATCGGATCGAGGGGCTTGAGGCAGCGTAGAGAAATTCGGGAGAAACGGGTTCCAGTCGGTCGGTCAGAACACGCGAGAGACCCGGGATAGTAACGAGAGAGTTGAGGTGAAGGAAAACTGATGGCTGGTGGGATCGACTCCTACTAGTAGGGGACAGGAAAAGACCCGAGATGAAGGCTCTGTGGGAGCAATAATGAGTGCGGCATTGACAGGGACAGGACGCCAGGGTGGATGCGGCCGTCTAGGTACAAACACTGGCAGTCTCTTCACTTGGCGATGGGGAGACTCGAGGTCACGGTAACTTTCATGATAGGACGTGATTGTGAGTGGACATGACGAAGAGCGGCATTCCGTGCAGAGAATTAAGTTAGGAATTACCCAGGAAGGATTCCCACCGCACGGTACGTTGTATATCGCGAGGGCCCAGGGTGCCTAGTAGAAGCAGCTAAATTCGCTTTGAGCCGGAGGCAGACGACCGGACAGACGAACGGAGAGTCGACCGGTGCAAGATGGAGCGAAAGAACCACAGCTTCGGGTGGACGAGACGATGGAGGAGTGGATCATCAACGGCAACGGCTGCCGGCAGGGGAGAAAAATCTGGATACCATGACTGTGCTAGCAGTGCCCTACTGTACCTTAGGTTGGAACGGGGCGTTAGGGACAACCAGCAACACAGGATGCGTACACACGGCATGTGATAAGGCAAGATCGGATGGAAAGTGTAGATGTTGGCGGTCCGTGGCCCGACCATGTCAAACTAAAGTCTATAGCAAGTACTTTCTGCAGATGAACGACAAATCATCCGTCTGCCGAACTGTTTGGTTTCCAGCCTGGACCAAACTGCTGGGTACGGTAGTAATGCAGAGATTTCAGTTTCCGGTGGATGGATGGAAGGATCATGGAGCCAGAGCATGGGCAGGGGTCAGGATCAGGCCTGAAGGGGAGCTGCAGTGGGAGGGATCAAGGGTGAAGGATGCAGCGGTGGAACCTCAGAAGCGATACTGTACAGTGCCAGTGGAAAATGGACACCACCACGACTCCGAGTCCTGCACTGGCACTGCATTGTACACAGTAGTTCTTGGATTTATGCATGTTATAGGAGGGAAGCCCGCTTCCCACTGCCACTGTTGCTGCCAATTGCTATTGCTTTCTCCTTCTGTTTCAATAATGCGCGTCTAGCATCGCTTTAGGTAGTATTCAGTGTGGCTACGACGCGGAAAAAACCCCCTCAACGAAATATTCTTAGAACTGCCGGGATGGAGACAAACACTGATAGTATTGTACTAGTGGCTGCCGAGGTGCAGCCCATGAATCAGCCTAAACATCCCCCCTTCTGCAGGCGACTCGGGCACCGGCCTTAACTAAAACCAATAATGTCCTTACAATTGTAGTAGTACCGCTGCAGAGCATCCGCCGTCCCAGCAGCTTGGAACCAGGGACTCTTATGTTTGCAATCTGGCTGGGCTCAGCTGCGTGATGCACAGCGAGAGACGCCACAGGCCGGGCTAGTTCTTACTGTTCTTACTCTGTACTTGGGTGCACCGAAAGGCACGTACAAGGTGAAGATGCCCGAGACTCAGGCATCGACATAGACAGGAATTGAAGCTTTCAGCATGCGAAGGAATTTCTAGGTATGCATGCAAGCCCAAGGTGGCTTCTACCAGCATGGCAAGAGTCAGTGAGATGCCTTCTTTTACTCCAACCTACCTGCGGTATTGACAACTTGAAGTCTCGAACTACAACCCTCCTCCCTGCCAGCGAGCGACTCGGGCCCTGGTTCGTACCGAAAAGCAAAAAGAGTGGATGGCGCGCTACGACGTACCGGGTAACAGAGTCCTGAAGCAGCATTCGAAGATCCGATATACAGCTACGTGACTTGGGAGAGCTCGGGGTTACAATCCCCTACCACCACTACTAAGCACATACTGTTGCTCGGAGAAGGGATTCGAGTGGAACTTGGACGTCTAAGCGATGGATTAATTCCAGCAACTAGGCCGTAGAAGTGGCCCACAAACTTGAACTGTACGTAACTTGAAGGTGGAGGATCACTTGCTGTACTACTACGAAACTAGGGCAGTTTTAGTGGTTGATCCCAACACTCCCGGCAACTCGGTTCCAGCAATTTGGTTGAGGTTTTTATATCCCGCTCACTACGGGCAGGCTGGCTACCTGCTTCTGACACTCGCAGGCTTTCCAGTGCACACACACACCGTGTCAAATCTTGTGTGCCTCCCTTTCATTCAAGGTCTGAGCGCCCATATCCCTGCCGGCTGCCTGTGTGACAGCCGCTGGTTCCGAGCGGACGGTTCGGAATCAGCCCGCTTAACTGACATGCCTGGAGGTAAACTTTTGCCTGCCGTCACCAAGCCCCCATTCTCGCAACCAGCCTTTCTGTTTCTATTGCTCTGTCCCACGAGAGGCGGACGTGATGTATGTTTGACATTGAGCCACCTTGCTTTTCTGGCCGACAGAAAACTGCACAGTGTTGCCCTGTCAGTTGTACGAAGCTCTGTCACTGCCACGTGAGGACACAACCAGGGCCTGGCAGCTGGACAGCCCACGAGTTCGAGGGTCGACTCTGATGATTGGCATTGGAACTGACAACCCTGCAGTGTGTTACTATGCAGCACTGGCAGGATTCTTGTCTGACCGCTTTTTGCGGGCTTGGTAGCTGAATGGCTGATGAGTCTCATGGCTTCTAAAATGTCGCCACTCTCGGTCCTCCTTTCATGGCTGCGGTGCTGCTATCACTTTCTTCCCGAATTGGGCTTTATGCTGAGCACCGGGTAAGCAGTGCACTTATCAAGTCGTACAAACACGAGCCTGGTGGTGGCCCGACCTTACTTTTTGTAAGCAAGCCGACAACACTGTTGGCTCGTTCTCATGATGTTTGCCATTCCATTCCTTGTACCCGCTTGCATTATGCTTGCCTAGTGCTAGTGGGGCCTGATACCTGATACAACTGAAGCTACTGGCACAGCTGCAGAACACAGCTGCAGAAGGAATCTCGAGAATAGGAAATTAGGAATGGTCTGCATCAGAAACTTGAACTCAGTGGACAGGAATTCGTCTGCATGAAACTAGCCATGTCCAACCTATCATTACTCGACACATCTCAACCGGGGATGGTTACTTGGCCCAGGACGCTGGCACAGCAAATCCATGCAGCGGACCGAGTTACACCATGGGCTGGTTCTTCTCTGCAGCAGTCCAGCTATCTTGAAGCCAATCCACTCCCACACCCACCCTGCAGTGGGCCATCTGGTCCGGCCTGATGCCCAAATGCCCAACCAAAAACAGTTCCATCCCGGCCTGGGGACCTCCTACACTCCGAACACCCGAATAAACAAAGTCACTTCACAGCCCGGTCCATGTACTGTAGCAATCAGCAGGACCTCGCAGATTTCACCCTCTCCGTCCCAGTTAATTAGGTTTGTGTGGGCGTTTTATGTGCTGGCACTGTGGAGTTAATAATGTCGAATCTGTTGCCCGCAGTAATCAATCCGACCGATGCTCTGACGTGTCCTGCATGAATAATATCCTCGGCACTCTGGCTTCAGCTCAAGCAGCCGTCTTGTCGGGCGCCGGCTGTTTGGTCCTCTTCCACAAGCACACAGTGCTGACTGCGGAAAATGTGAAGAGAATACTAGAATGAAAAGCACCACGTCAGTTATGCCGGCCACGCCATATGCCTCTGTTTGGGAGGGATCTCCGACCTACCACAGAGCGATACTGAGTCCCCAGATCGACTTCATCTCCAGACAAGTGGCTTTGGAAGTACCGATCCACATTGAATACTTGACCGCTCCACCTTTGTTCAGACTATTTCCCAGCGCGGAGGTGAAGTCGTAGGCACTCGAAGTCGCCTTGGTGATCTCGTCAAGCACTTTGCAATTGAGGTACGAGAGTGGTTTGCCAACCACCACCGAGACGACAACCAATGCAATCAAGAACAGACAGTCAATGCCAGTGCTGATCAAAAATGGCAGGATGCTGTCGAAGTACAGAATGAGGGTAATCGCACAGTACAGCACGGCTATGCATACCTAGACAAAGTCAGTCTGCTGCCTTTGTGAAGCCCGATAACGTTCCACGGCACACTTACAATGCTCAAGGTTGCGACCAGAACTGGCGGTGGTGTTGCGCCAGCCCCAACCATCTCGGAGACGAAATTCGCGGTGATTCCGATAACAGCAATCATGGATGCCATCTGGAGGGCTCGGGTGGCCTTAAAGGTGGCTCCGAGCACTCCGTGATCTGGACCCATTTTGAAAGAAAGAGTAACGAAAGTTGAAATTGGTATTTTGAGTGAGAAGACAAACACCTGAGGCCCGAAGGCGGACAAAAGATGGGTTGTTTGTGGGTTGGCGTCGAGCCGAGTCCGAGTGGTCGGTACAAGTTTCAATGAAGGAGTGCACAAAGTCAATATGGTTCAAAAAGGACAGAAACCCAAGAATGGCCGCTCAGTTGCAGATCAACAACTTCTTTTCTTTCAGAAGGAATGTCGTGTGTGCGGCTTGACTATCCTAAGGTGACTTACGACGGGCTTCCATGTAGCCTTAAGTATTTCGAGATTGTCTGCAGAGCTTGCTGCAGGTGGTGGGCGGTGGCAAGACACATGCGCACGACAACTGTCTCTGTTTCTGGTCAGTCTCGGAGATCTTGTATGAAGATAAAACGAATGGCGGTCAATGGTTCTGTTCGAGGTGAAGCCGTTTCGGAGCTAAACGCCGGGGGCTATTTCAGGCGGCGGTTATGCTTGGACGAGTCGCGCAGCCGCCAGACAGACAAAGCCAACGCGTCTCTGATGTTCCATTTGCTCTTTCAGCGCATGTTCAGACAAGGCCGTGGATAAGCGGACTTTCAGTTTCCTCTAGCCATGTTTCACCGAACAAACAAAGGATGTGGCCAGTGAAGCATTTCGGCGAGTGCAGCCGCGGACACGATGACAGAACACCACGCTGAACTCTAGGGTGGTAGTGCCGGCGATGATGGCTGCAGACCGTGGTGAGCGATGCCTCATACCGATCATTATAGAAGACAGTCTTCTGTTCAAACTTCGACACTGAGGACATTATTATGGTTGGCAGAAACGTGGATCATGGGATGATTCGTGGATGGCGGTTTGACCGGCAATGCAGTGACGCCTCCTAAGCCCTCCACTGCACTGGCACTGGCAAGCTCAGCTTGAAAGGCCAAGCCTGAGGAGGCTGATTGAAACAGGCTCCAGCCACAGCACAGTGCAGGACCTACCTCAGCTTAGGTAACGCACCATCGGTTGCGACCTCTGCCAGTCACAGGTGCCAGTGTACTACTGCTAATATGTTAGGTTAGTACTACTAGTAGTAGTAGTAGTGCAGTGCCACTCCAGCCACCAAATGCAAGGCGTCCTTCAGCAAATCGCAGCCCTTGTATCATGGTATGACGTCTTTCCCGGGCGAATCAAATGGCTGGCCTGGGTGGTTTAGTGGTACTACCAGCCCAACTCCAACTCTGAAAGGGAAAAGAAAAATCATCCTTATCTCGTTATCATCATGGTTTCTGTCGATCAAGGTCGCTGCTCTGGAGCGTCGACGAGCTGTTCACTGGGAGGCGTCGTGGGCTGAGTTTGACTTCTTCTTCTGCTGTTGCTGTTGCTCACTTATTGTATTCTCATCCAACACATAACCCTGTACATACTTACTTCAGACTGGTACTTTCCACCTCGTATTCGGAGTTCTGCAGCTTGCCGTTGCCTTTATCCCCGCTCACTACATTGGATCAAGCCGTCACTCCGCATTTGGTGCAAGATCTTTGCCCCGCGTGATCGAGCCAGTAGACTTTTTGAACTGGTCCGGGGCCTCCAACCCGTCACCGCTTTCAACTCGAGGCCGTCCTGCAGAATTTCGACATGTCTCTCACGCGGGTTGCCTCGGTGGAGGGATTTGATCGAGAGCGAAGAGGCTCCAATTCTTCTCATCACAGGATGACCTTCAACCCTGTGTCCGAATGGGCTCCTCCGAACGACCGAAAGCCAAGTCTCGTGCACGCCGCTCTTGAATTCGAGGAGGTGTCCAAGCAGAAACGTATAGGTAAGTTCAGCAGAAATATGGTGGGTGACGCAGGGCCGTCGCTGACTTTACTCTCGCATAGTCCAGGTGGTCATAGCTATCATCTACTGCCTCTTCGCCGCCGGCGTCGTCTTTGGTTATGCAGCGATCAAGCCCGTCCTCATCGATGAAGGCGTCTTCATAAATCTTTGCACCCCAGAGGAGGTGGAGAAGCATGTCTCCCCGTGTTTCCAGCAGGAGATCCGCCTGAACTTCATGTTCACGGTTGCGGCGGTGTCGACGAATGTCGCCGCCCTGCCTATCGGGACCATCCTTGATAGATATGGTCCTCGTGTCTGTGGCATCATCGGCAGTATTTTCCTGGCGCTGGGAGCCTTCCTCTTCTCCTTTGCCCCGCGAATACGGGCCGACCTCTTCACGCCAGGCTACTTTTTCCTTGCTTTGGGTGGTCCTTTCATCTTCATCTCCTCTTTTCAGCTATCCAACACCTTCCCAAAACATTCTGGCCTCATCTTGGCTCTCTTGACCGGCGCCTTTGACTCTTCATCGGCACTATTTCTGGTCTTTCGCCTGATCTACGAATCGACAAACAAAAGGCTAAATACTCACCGTCTCTTCCTCATCTACCTCGTTGTACCTCTGTTCATTTTTCTTGCCCAGGTGTTTTTGATGCCCAAGGAATCGTACAAGTCGGTTAGCGAGGTGGTCAAGGACGCTGAAGAGGAGATAAATGCACCCACACCTCCTGATCTTTCAGAAGAGGAGCTTCTAGCTTACAGACAGCGGCGGGAGAGTACTATCTCGGATGTTAACCTCCTGCTCGATAAGACCACCAACACGAAACGTGCTAAGAGGGAGGAAACAAAGAACAGCAAATCAGGCGTATGGGGAGCCATGCATGGTCACACAGCCTGGGAACAGATCAAGTCACCTTGGTTCGTGCTCATCACTCTCTTTACTGTGGTACAAATGACCCGTATCAACTACTTTGTGGCCACCATTCGCCCCCAGGAACGGTATCTCCTTGGCTCCGAACACAAGGCCAAAATGGTCAACGACTTCTTCGATGTGGCGCTGCCTCTTGGCGGCGTCCTAAGCATTCCTTTCATTGGCACTTTGCTTGATCACACGTCCACGCCATTTGCGTTGGGCTTCCTGGTTGTTGTGGCCACGCTGATCGGCATCTTGGGATGCCTGCCGTACGTATGGGCCGCAATTGCCAATATATGCCTTTTCGTCGTCTACCGTCCCTTCTACTATACAACGGTGTCGGATTATGCTGCCAAGGTCTTTGGCTTCCAGACATTCGGCAAAGTCTACGGTCTCATCATATGTCTCGCTGGCCTCTTCAACTTCCTCCAGTCCCCACTCGACGCCGCAACACTGGTGCTATTCAAGGGCAACCCCATTCCTGTGAACCTAATTTTGATGGGAGTTGCTGTTCTTGTGGGTGCAGTCTTGGTCGTATTCACCTACGTTAAGAGCCGCTCCATGAAGCGGGAACAGTTGGAGGCTGAAGCCGAGGGTGCCTCAGAGGCGTTGATGCCGAATGCGAATGGAAGCTCCTATGGCACAACAGAAATCAGGTAAACCAGCGTAGCTGGCGGCAAGAATTCAACTTGACCGTGCATGGATCTGCTCAACTGAGCCATGTCCAAGCGGACAAGAGTGGCTGTCATAGCGAAGGGGAAGTTGAATCTTGTTCGGTGATCTTTTGGATGTATCCGTCAGCATTTCGTCCTGCATCCTAGCGTTCAGCTTCATCTGCGAGTCTGTTGGGAGCCTATGGCGTTGGAACTTATATTGATGATTTTCAAATGAGGGCGTCTACTTTGACTGTACTGTGTCTGGTGACGAAGCAATGTGCATGTCGCGCTATTGGCACACCAAAATCCAGGACTCCTACCAGGGGCCAGATATAAAGGACTTCAGATCTCCATACAAAGTTCTACACATAACGTAGTGATCGTATGAGTGGGTGGATTGCTTTGACAAGTGGCACGCACGTCGTCTTCATTTTGACGTCCGCATCAACTATCCTCGAGCTCAGTGATACAGAGGCCAAACGCCCTGGAGGGGAAGTGCGGTGGTACACTGTACATATCCGCTAGCAACAGCATCTAGCTGTCGTTTGCCGTCCCCGTTCTGCCTCGCTGCCCCAGCGGCGGGAAGAACCCCAAAGGCGCATGCTTTGACTGGTAAGGTACACAAACCAAAGCCATCACATCTCCTGAATATGTCCCCTGTACAACACTAGTAATATACATCCGACTTCCAACAAGGACATTCACTCCTCGTGCCACCGATATAATACATCGTGGCTTCTCAGCTGCGGTTTCAATCCAGCTCTAATCTTCGAGCGAGGCGGAATTGAGTGGGGTGGTGGGTGATTCGGTCGATGAAACAGCTGGCCATAAGGCAGTTAGGCCGGAAGAAGCATCTCGCTCCATTCTGAGCTGAAGAAAGCAACGGCGGCCTACAAAGGATGCGTTAATGAACGGGCGCTGCTGACATTCTAGGCGAAGGGTTACATACTCCGAACATGGCGACACTGATAACGACGCTTGAGTTTTCCTCCGACGTCAGCGTATGGTATAACGAGCTGAAATAGCCCTGGGGCTTGGCCGAGCGGCGTGCTGGCTGGACGGTAATGCGCTTGGGAGGCATTTCGTGGGATGTGATGACAAGATAATGGAATGCTAAGAGAGCGGCTGGAGAGGAACCTCTTCGAGTGCTCGTGAGAGATCCTTGCGTTCGACAGGTTACGAGCTGTGCTTGATCTGGGGGTAATAGAGCCAACAAGATGAATGCTGGTCGCTCCCGTAGATGAGATGGAGTATTGATTGATCTTGTTGCAGGACCAGAAATTTGGACCGCAAGAGGACCCGCGTCCACTTTAGGTTTAGCGCTTTGTACGGTGAAGCTGGAGAATGTGTGCGTCAAGATTTACGGTGGGCTGTATGTCCGACAACCGTACCTACTTCATCCAGGCCACGACCAGGAAATACAGTGTAGTATGTCCTGTCTAGGTAGTATGTTCACTCTTCAACGTCTAACTTGAAGTGAGTCGACTCCGAGCAGCTACTCTCGATAAACAGACTGCCCCAATCTAGTGCTTCCCAGATCGCAAAGTCGCTACATGGCTCTGGTGAGCGGGAGCACTTTCCACGTGTATCGCGCCTTGATGCCTCCTTCAAGCTGATACCAATTCTTTACCCACCTCCTCCTCTTTCTTTTGTGTTTTGGTCGCTCGCAGCCATTTCAATTGTTCTTCTCTGTCAATGTTTGCTTTATGCCATTCTTCTGTATGACCTTGCATCTTGTCCTCTATGCCCAGTTGTTCGGCGCTTTCATTCATCCAGTTGACTAGGTCTGCAACATACCTCTGTTCCTCGCCGGCTCCTCGAAGGCTGTGAAAGTTCCTACCCAATCCCTTCGTCTTCACGCGTTGTCGGTATTCCTCCCGCATGACCTCTTTCGGCGGCAACAGTGCTTTGCCAGCGAGGACTCTGGCGACAACTTGTGCTTGAAAGTCGAAAAGTGAAAAGGTTGCAATGTGGTACGGCGCGCCAACGAACGCCAGAGAAGGATCCTCAATGTAGAATATGTCTTTGTGCAGGTTGTGTACCATTTCCCCTTCACGAGTCACAAGCACGGAGTCATCTGCTTCTTCTGCCGACCTGGTGTCGGCATGCAGATGGGAGAGGAAGGGATACGAAGTGATGTATCCCGTACACAGGACGACGGAATGAATATCAGTCAGTTCTTGTCCATCCTCAAGAACGACAGTGCCCGCGATGGGCTGCAATTTCAATGGATCAGCGGTCTGGGCTGTGGTCAGCCTGAACTCCTTGATCCCGGCCACCCGGGTTGCATTTTCTGGCAAAAGGTTGGCAGGGAGATCCAAGGCTCCTCCACGGGAACTCTGGTAGATCTTGTTCGCGGTAGAGCTTGACTCCTTGGCAATGTCCAGAGATGATACTCCAGCGCCTATGAGAAGGATGTTCTGGTCTTTGAATACGGCTGGATTTCGATACCTCTTTGAATGCCACACCCGATCCGGATGTTCTCGTTTCCAGTCTTTGAGTCCAGGAATGTCCGGGACCCGAGGCATATGGTAATGGCCAGACGCGGCCACGATGGCGTCGAATGTCCAACGTCTCTCCGCCAGTTGCGGGGCTCCGAACGATGTGGGTGATTTCTGCAGCGTGGTGGTCCGCACGTACCATTCTGTGCCTTGTTTGCGAACTTCTTCAACTCGAGTGTTGTACTGTGCGACGGGAGAGACACCGTGAGCATCGGCAATTGTTTGGACATATTCTTCCACGGTCTTCTGGCTCACAAAATCCGGCGTCCCTTCAGGCCATGCTTGGAGGCTAGTTCTCATCAATCTCGTCGAGACATTATTCTTGAGCCCCGCGTAGCATGGTCCAGGGGGTGCATGTGCGATTTCAACCTCCTCCAGCTTGTCGCCAGTGGCCTCCGGTGGCGGTGTGAGATATGCCAGCTCTGGTTTTGTCTCATAATCACCGCGTGATGGGGTTTCATTGGGGTATGCGGGCTCCAACGCTGACCTTTCATCAAAATGCCATACACCTCCTGCGACCCCTGACCTTTCGAAGAGGGTAACATCAAGACCGTGCTTCAAGAGGTGTGCTGCAGAAGTCACGCCGCTTATGCCTGCACCAATCACGGCCACCCTCTTTGGATGGGTTTCTACCATTTTCTTCTGCCTGCAAATAAGCCTTTCTGTGGTACAATGTTCTACGATGTTTTTTGGCGGCACTGTTGGATTTTCATATCTATTGCCAGATGCTTCATCATTACCCTTGTTTATATTTCGGGATTGTCGTCCAGTCGGAACAATATCAGCTGGTTCTACCGAACGACACAACACGGCGGACGAAGCACGCCATAACGCCTTGCAAATGTCGTGATTGTTGCAACTGCTTGCGCGGTCTAGAAGCTTTTCTTCTGCCTTATATCCGTGCCGAAGTCTTTACATTACAAATGTACATGCCGTTGCAGCTCAATGTTGGCTGTCATGCCTTCGAGTGCTGTCTTGGACTCCTGTCCTCGATATACTACGTCGGGGAACAGCATAAGCCACGGTCATTGTGTAAACAAACTCAGAAACGATCACTCCGGCCTCGCCAGTGAACAATTAACCCGATCCGGAAAGCCATAACGGTTCAAAGTGACGCGCGCTGCTTGCGTTAAGAATACTACTTTGTCTATTCGAGAGGATTGGGTCATTGAGCCTGCAAATTTTGAGGAGGCGTCAGCCTCGTCTGCCACAGAATAAAGAAGAAACCAGTAGGTCTGGACAGTAATGTCGGGCCACATTCTCTGAGCAGACCTACTTATGGCTGATGAGATCTGCTCCACGCAAAGTATCTCATATGCCAACATTTGCTCCGAGCTATCACGCGCTTCCAGAAGCGCCAAGTGACAACAATGGTCAACTCTCAAAGAATTCAACCTCCTTTCTCTTCTTGGCCTGCTCCTTCTTCCACAAATATCTGATAACGAAAGCGGTGATGATCATGGCGGCGTTGAGGCAGGTTGAGGTGATGAAGCCTTTGGTATACTTTGGCGCATCGACCTGTTGCCACACGACCAGCGGTAGCCAGGCCTGGAATACATAGGCCATTTCGTTCATCGTGCCTGTAACAATGGCTCGCTCTTCGTTGTCGTCGGAGCAGATTTCGTGCGCCCACGACATGCACAACCCACTCAACCCGCCCCCGCAGCCTGCTATCATATAGCATGCCCAGTGCCAGCCTGTGGGAATGTCCCAGGCCGCGAGACTTGAATAACACACGATACAGACCAAACCTCCAAAGACGATTGGAGGCCAGCGTGCGCCCCGGAAGATGCTGTCAGAGGTCCAGGCATAAACCAGCGTGCTGACTATCTGCACTGCGTATGTCGTGGTGGGATATGTGTTGATCTCCGATACCGTGTATTTTGGATGTTTCGACGCTTTCAGGTATTGTGCAAATGTGGGCTGACCCACTCCGGAAGCGGCATTGTTGAAGGTAATGTATAACATTGTCAAGGCATAAATCTTCCAAGATGTGAAGATCTTCTTGAACTTCGCCTTTGTATATGGAGCCCGCTTCGCCCGACCTTCGAGATCCATACGTTTCTTCGCATACTCACGCTCCGCCGGAGTGAAGTACCATGCCCGGGTGATTTCAGGGACGTCAGGCAAAAGAAAGAAACCGGAAATGGCAACCGGGAGTGAGATGATTCCGTCAACCACGAACAGCCATTGCCATCCCTTGAGCCCGCCCTTGCCACCCAACTTGTACACACCAGCCATGAGATATCCGGAGAACATGCTGCCAATTGCTGAGCTCGTGTGGAAAATGCATGAGCGCTTGGCGAGCTCATCGCGACGGTACCAGGATCCAATGACATAGACCATTCCGGGATAGAATGTTGATTCGGCCAGACCGACCAGGAAGCGAAGCGCATATATCGAACCCGCGCTGTTGCACTTACACAGACAGAATGTAAGGACCGTCCAGGTAAGTTCCATGGCGGGTATCCATATGCTCGGTCGAACTCTTGTGAGAATCATGTTTGCTGAAAAAGATCATCCGTCAGCGAGCCGTAACGAGGCGGGGACAGCATTGGCAGCATTGACGTTACTGCGAGCACAAAACTTACATGGTATCTCTCCAATAACATAGCCGACTGTCCAACATGTCTGCATGTAGTTGAGTTGGTTCTTGTACAAGCCCAGATCCTCCTTCATCCCAGAAACAAACGCATTGTTGATATTGATCTGATCTAGGTACTTGATAAAGTACCCCAGACTGGCAAATGTCAGGACGGCAGCATCGAGCTTGAATAGAAACCTGCGTTCCTCTGGCGACTTGTCGAGGCTGTCCCAGATGTACGACTGCCATGTCCGTTGAGGCTTTGCTTTGATTGGACCGGCGTCATTGTGGTGCAAGCTGTTGGTACTCTCTCGCGGACTACCTGCTGCGACACCTTGCACGCCTGCCTCCACTGTTTTGTCGTAGGCAGCCATAGCTATTCGAGGTTTGTTTCTCCCCGACCTTCCAACAGATTGTCTGTATCAGAGCAGTGTTGGCAGTGCCGGATTGTTTGTTTGTCTTAAGAGGCTACCACCCCGCCTTCAAAAGCCCGGACAGAACACCGCTGTCGAGGCATGCGGCGATCATCAGGGATACTCATGCCACGGGCCGGTTCTGGCCGCTGGCGGCTTTGATTCCGCCACACGGCAGTGGTATTCGGTATCAAGTTGAATGGCGTCCCCTAAGCTGAGGATTGCGTGCTGTTGTAACAGCATGCTATTTCTCCAACCTGGCAGGTTATCAAGCAAAGCCAAGCACCAGAGCGAGTCGGGTGCAAGGGGTCCACTTCAAAGTTGGACGACGCTTATCTTGATCGATGTGCAGGGGTCGTTGGCGACATGTCCCCTATGGCCAACCACGAGAGCATGATACCCGAAAAGCAACGAACCTTGCAATGGTCTGTGTTCCTTGTGTTACACTGCAGCTGAGCCTTGTCTGGTCCATGGCCATTTAGCAGAGCAGCAAATAAAGGGGTTGAAGCACGCCATTTGCTCACGTGATGCGCCGGCGTGGCTGTTTCGGTCATGGATATTCTGGAATGAACAACTAGAACGTGCATGGTCATGGGAAATGATAGCTATGGAAGCATGATTATTGGCCCAGTAAGCTTGTTCTTTGATGAAGAGGGGTGGCAGGCCACAGATCATTAGTGTTGTGGGTGTGTCCAGGCCTACCGACTTGACAGCACTAACAGGTCGTTCGACCCCAGATGCCACCATAGGATCTGCACCTACATGCATGAATCCCACTCAGACTGTGGTGCTGGCGCGGCATACAGCCAACCGAGATCCAATTGTGGGTGTTTGCACGCCATAAAGTGCATGAATATCGCCATTGAAGCCGAGCGAATGGAGTGGGATGATGGGGTCGCGATCTGTAAGCAGATCAGAGGGTCCGAAAGGAGCTCCGGCTGTGAACGGATTGGGATCTACCTTTGATAAAACATCAAGGCAAGGGCCGAAGTGCCAGGATGTGTCTTGTGTGTGTGTCTCTCTCTGCATGTGTGTACTCTCAGTTCTTTGGCTTCTCGGACGCGACAAGTGTTTCTTTGAACATCAAAAATAAACAAGATGGCACCAGCACCAATCGATCCGAGCATCAAGGATTTCGTGGTCCCGAAGAAGGACACGCTGGGCTTGCCTGAGCCGGCATTGAAGAGACTAACAGAGGCTGGGATCGACCTTTCAGAGGGATATCCGTATCGCCCCAACAAACCCCTGTATCTCCAGGATGTGTACAACATCCGCAACAGCGAGAGGAAACACGTCGACCCGGGCTCGAGGGCCGACAAGTCGAAAAAAGCCTTGTTGTCGGCTGCGACGAAAGTGACCGACCTGACAACACATATCGGCACAGAGATCGAAGGGCTGCAGCTCAAAGATCTCACTGACCAGCAAAAAGACGAGCTAGCGTTGCTGATAGCCGAGCGGAGCGTTGTCTTTTTCCGGGACCAGGACCTCTCGCCTCAACAGCAAAAGGCGCTGGGTGAATACTATGGCGAGGTTGAAGTGCATGTAAGTCAGGTCCCAACCGACCATGCACAAGCCATTTGCTGCGTCCTCCAAAACGATGGCCTGTCGTATAGTTGACTGCGATGCATTTGCCCTGTTTGAATACTAATTAAAATGCAAAAATAACAGCCTCAAGTCCCTCAAGTTCCTGGCGTTCCGGGCGTGACTGTGATTTGGCCCGATCTGCAAGCGACCGAGATCTCCGCAAGCTTCCGTCGACCTGGCGGCGCGTCCCGCTGGCATACGGATCTCGTCCATGAACGGCAGCCCGCTGGCGTGACTCACCTGCACAACGACACCGTGCCGCCCGTGGGCGGCGACACCCTCTGGGCCAGCGGCTATGGGGCATATGAAAAGCTGTCTCCTGATTTCCGCAAGCTCATCGATGGCAAGCAGGCCGTTTACCGGTCTGCCCATGCTTACCTCGACCGCGACAACCCGACCGCTGGACCGCAGTATGTCGAACGGACGCACCCGTTGGTCCGTGTCCACCCGGCCACGGGCTGGAAGGCCCTCTGGGTCAACCGTGCCATGACCGTCAGGATCGTCGGGCTCGATAAAGAGGAAAGTGATCTGATTCTGGGATACTTGTTCGATGTGTATGAGAAGAATGTCGACATTCAGGTCCGGTTCAAGTGGACCCCGGGAACGAGTGCGCTTTGGGATAACAGGTGAGAGACTCTTCTACTCCGCTTTTTTCTTCTCCTCAACGTCCACAGCAGAGAGAAAGAAACCGTTCGCTTGTCTCGCGCACACCCGTGCTGACCATGATAACCTGTTACAGAATCACAATCCACAACGCTAGTTGGGATTATGGCGGCAAACACCCTCGGCACGGCACCAGAGTCACGTCCCTGGCCGAAGTGCCCTTCTTTGACCCTAGTGCACCTACCAGGCGGGAGGCCCTGGGGCTTTTGGGCCCTGATGAGAAACAGGTCGATGGAGTCCTGTTGGATTGAGCGAACCATCACAAGCAGCCACAAGCTCCTTCCTGATTATTTTGCCAGGACCAACCACTCAATGAGTGTGGCCTCAGAAGCCCACCTTGCCTCGTATGTAGCTTTACCGAACTCACCGTCTGCAGCCGAAGATTATCGCTTCGTTAACCTTGAGACGCACATCGCAGACTAACGGTAAGAAGAAGTGTTTTTTGGTCAAAAGATCTAGACTACGCGGAGCAAGCTGAAAAGAGGACGCGCTCCGGTGTATCCTTTAGCTTAGTCGATAAAATTCTTTCTCGGCGCGGGCAACAGCCGGAATACATAGTATAAAACCCAGAGAGCTGCAACGAAACAGGAGATCACGTGGAGCTAAATCACGTGACTCAAAGCGGTCGAGTCACGTGTGTGGCAAATTCGGATGTCGTTCGCTGTCTGGATCTACTACCTTTATCATGCTGCCAAGCTGTCAGTGTTCTAGAACCTTGCTTGTTCTTTATTCCAACCCTTCACCACACAGACCAGGCCTGTTGCTATTCGAAATAACCGAGTCCTCCGGGCAACGCTGAGGCCTGTGCGCGCTGAGGAGACCTGTACTTGACCTTTGTTACCCATTCGGGCTGTTTCCTGCGCGCGAACGAAGATTGTTTTCATGATGCTCCTCGCAAGGACCGACATCGCTGGCTGCAGAAGGGTTGAGGATGGAGATTACGGACGCCCCACGCTATGCTCAGATCATTACAACTAAGTTGTACTATGATCTTGCTCGGCAATCGCAATCGTGTTTCCGCAGTCGAAGCACGTTAGACGGCCCTCTGACGAAATCGAGGCCCAGAATGGGGTCCTGCTCTGCGAAGGCGGTCGAGTCGAAGATCATGGGGGCCGCTATTTCTGATAATTTGTTGAACAGAGTGATATCGTCCCAGAGCACGGGCCTGCCGACAATCTGCTCTTGCGAAACCTGCGCTGGGGCAGGAATCCGAGTTTTCAGGAGAATGATGATGAAAGTCTCGATTTAGTGGTAGGTTGACTGCAAAAAATCCTCCAATAATAATGGGATTTCTGACCCGTTGGACGAAATGGGTGAAGTACTATTGAAGGCCTGCGAGCTGTGTGATCTTCATGTGGACTCTCTTTTTCAGTGTTCTGGGTCCCTTCATCATGGCAAGTATTGCACTGCAGGAGCGTGCGAGTGGGGTCGATCTGGTGGTCTGTTCACCACAGACCCTCGCCATGATGACCCTTTTGGATCGAATCTTGATTATCGAGTGTCGCCACTTATTGCACTAGCATTTAGGTTAGCGAGACGAGACTCATTGGGTACCTCTCCAAGCCAACAATCAAATAGCCCAAAGTCTCCCATAACTAACTTCCAGCATCAACCTTCCTGTTCACAGTGGAAGTGCAAGTAAGTAATCTCGACGGTCTAGGACCACAGCTATGGATCCCCGAAGTCTGAGGAAGTCTTCTACCAAGTCTTCTGGAGTCAATCCGTCCGACACGGAAGGCAGACTGTCACCTGTGCAAGATGTCGAGGGCTCATCTAGCGACCAGGATGAGGTCCCAGAACTCCAGAAATCGGCGAGCATTGAGAAGAAAGAAGTATGCATTTCAAACCCCTTCCTCTTATCTTGAACCTTGGCCTGACCGTGACAGACAAATGCTGGGAGTGTTTATTGGAACCACCCGTTTAACCGGGGCGCTGAGCAAGATCCATCCATGCGTATAGAAGGCCGCCGTCCTTCCGATGCTCGTCGAAAGATGTCAACCGCCGCACGGCGAGCGTCAAATGCCGCCAGACGAGCCTCTACTGCAATCGTCGAGACAGCCTACAAGTTGGATCCTCTGACAGTAACAACCGGCAATCCGCTCAACCTTGGTGTAAATGAGATCCGGCGGGTGTCTTCGGTGGGATATACCGCCCCAGGCCAATTCAACGCACGGCGGTTCTCCACGCTGGCTCCAAGCATCGAGTCGATCGAGAAACCAGCGCCTTCTCTGTCGACACATTCGTCAGTCACGGTACCCTATGTGCGACAGGGCATGAGCGAAAAGCAAGAGGACTACATCATCCAGAGACTTGCTGCTCATGACGACGTGGAATCTCTCTCAAGGACTAAACGATTTCTCTACAGACTTTGCCCGGTCCTTGTTGTGGTTACCATTGCTGCGTACTGGATATATTTTGCACTTCGTGTCAGATTCACACGAGATGCAGAGAAAGCAGCCCACAAAACATACTGGATGGCTTGGGCTTTCATTCTGGTCGAACTCTTTGTCTCTATTCCCATGTTGCTCCACCGTCTTTGGGGCTGGCATGTGGTTGGCCTCCGAAAGAGACCGAAGCTGCGCCTGATTGGCGACAATGTGCCATCGGTTGATGTTGTGATTACCTGCTGTGGTGAAGACGACGATCTGGTCCTCGACACGGCTAAGGCCGCCTGCAACATCGACTATCCTCGTGAAAGATTTCGAGTCCTGGTGTGCGACGACGGCAAGTCCAAGACATTGCAGGAGATGATTGAGAGGACTGCGGAGACTCAATTTGACAACCTCTACTATCGCTCTCGACCAAAGTACCCTGGTGTGCCACATCATTTCAAGGCTGGCAATCTGAACGACGCCCTCGAAGAGACTGCAAGGCTGCCCGGTGGTGCTGCCAATTTCTTCGCTGCCCTCGACGCGGACATGATTCCAATGAGAGACTGGTTAAGAGCGCTCTTGCCGCATATGTTGCAAGATCCCAAGTGCTCGATGGCATGCCCTCCACAGGTATGGAAAATCAACATCCCCTTCAGGTCTTTGTCTCGTACTGATCGCAGATTAGCTGTTCTACAATGTGCCTCCCGATGATCCCCTTTGCCAGAGTCTGGATACTTTCGTCCATATATCGGAGCCGATCAAGGATTCTATGGGCGTCGCCTGGTGCACAGGGTCCGGATACGTCCTACGCAGAGCAGCCCTTCAATCGATCGGTGGCTTCCCTACTGGCTCGCTCGCCGAAGATGTGTGCTGTTCCAGCATGCTGCTAGGTTCTGGTTGGCATACGGCTTTTGTTCATGAACCCCTCCAGTTTGGTACGGTTCCAGACTCTCTGACGAGTCACTTGAAGCAGCGGACACGCTGGGTAAGTGGCTGCCTGCGCTGCAACGTTGGCGACTATTCTAACATTATCTAGACGATCGGTACTGTGCAAACTTCCTTCAAATTGCGCTTCAGCTTGTACGGACCTCTGGTCAAGCATATGACATTCCCTCAGCGGCTTTGCGGGTTTGTCTACACCGTCTCATCCTTGTTCACAATCTTTCTGGTTCTATCCATGTTCACGGCACCAATCGTCCTGGTTTCCGGAGGAAACCTTGTCCCATACCGGAGCATAAACCAGCTGAAGTGGCTCATCCGTGCCAACTTCCTCTCCTCCATGTTGAACCGGGTCAACGAATTTATCTCCTATCTTCCTTCTGGATACCGTACCGGTCAGAGAGATGCCAGAGCCATGATGTGGATGGCACCATGTGAGTTCCAACATTTGAATTCCTGTCACAGGGACACCGCTAACAAATCAATCAGTCCATGCCATTTCGGTCATCCGCACTTTCTTGCTGCCTAAGTGGCTTGGAGGGAAGGTTGCCGTTTTCACGTCGTCCGGATCACAGAAGGCTGAGCTCAACGAACGAGATCCCCATCTTCGAGCACCGTTGTGGCGACGCCTGAAAGTGACCATCTGGGATTGCCAATGCTACCTGCACCTTATTTACATCATGTTTGCCATTGCTGCCGTTGCGGTCAGTATGTACTGGAATCTCACTGACGACAAGAACAACACCACTAAGAAGACGCTGATATCTTTGTTGACGCACGCATACTGGCCTCCTATCATCTGGTTGAGCTGCATCCTGTCCTGCTGGATCCCCATCAACTACGCGATATTCCCGCCCGATTGTCCCGACAGGCAGGATTTGCTGGTCCGCGACCCAGACACGGGCGTTGCATACCCTTCGGAAGAGTCCAAGAAGACGAAAATTACTTGGGCGTCTTACGCATGGGAAGCCGAGTACACCCTTATCACCATTTATGGTGTTGTGGTGTTTATTCTCTCTTTCTGGTTTTAACGTGTTTGTGTACATATACTTTAATTCCGCTGAATTTGCAAACAAACAGCTTCTGCTCAAATCAATCTTGTGGACGAATTATTTGGCAACATGGATTTATTCACTGGATCGACCTCTTCATGGCCCGACACAGAGTCGAGCAAACCTGAGAATTCGACACTTCTGCGTTTGTCGCCCACTTCTGCAGGTCCAACCATGCATGCAGTTGTGACAGACGTCATGAATTACTAGTGTCAATCATCGCCGAGTAAAGGGACTTGATCAAGGACGCAGGAACCGGCATATTAACCGTACTTCAAGAAAGCTCGGGCCATGTGCCGTCGTGTCCAGGCCCAATAAATGCAAAAATCAAAGCCTTACCATGCGAACGACTTTCAGCATTATTATGGTGAGCAAGTGCACGGTCCAGGACACTCAACGCGCTAGCTAGCGAGGCGATCCCTATAGCGTCTCCTCCGTACTCAGGAACATGAGGCTTGGAGACATGGAGGAGTCCGTGCTTTCAAAAACGTCACAGAACTCAACACCACCAGGCTTCGAAGCCCCAGTTACTGTACATGTACATGTTCAGTATCCCAGGAAGAGTTGGCTTGGTGCTTTTGTCCACGGAGGATCGTCCCGCCCAACGACGTTCTTTTGCCAAAGATTGCGCTCGACCAGAAGTCATCGGACCTTTTGTCGTTGGCGGCTTCCCTCCATGTCCCACCTTGAGTACAACAACGCCCACAGAATGGCGATGTCAAGCACTCAATAGTCCTTATGCCAAAAGTGGGACCGGACCCCTCCTACCTCCGATCTTGTCGGATGGATGACTTGCCGATCGGCCTTACATATTTGCAGTCATGGTATGCTTCCCACCGGTTCCATCTTTGATAAGATCTTCGTGCAGACGCAATCGGTTCTTTGGGCTACCTTTCACCTAGGTGCCTCCTCCTCATGACCGCATAGGTTACTTGTGCCTCAGCTTTTGCCCCTACTGGCTCATCCCCACTGCCTTGCAACTACAGGGCCCATTTTCTTTCCTCCGGGATCTTGCCCGGTTTGGATATCCGAGTAAAGGGCTCAAGAAAACGTCGTATTTCGGTACTTCTCGCTTATCTGATCGGATCGGGATCCATTCGAATCTAACCACTTTGTAAGCATAGAGGGTGAAGCATGGCCAAGCTCACCCGCTACTGTCGACCCGGACTGGGCCCCAAGATGAACCGATGGCGAACAGGAGGAGAATTTCTAGTCTCTTCCACCTTCCTCTACTGGGCCGGAGGTCGATCTCCTTTGGAAAGAAGCCTCCTCAGGAAAGCTGGTCGTGGTTTGAGCGAGATTCGACAGCAGGCGAAGATCGGATTCATGACGTCTGTCGCAAGGTCTTGTCACATTGATTCATTCTTTGACTGCTCCGCTCGTTCCCCATATCTAGGTAAGTCGGCGTCCACACTGTCAACTTTTCGTTGGGGGCAAGATCTGTTCCGGTGAGCCCCAGTCCGAAACCGGCCTCAATTCGAAGCCGAACACTGAACATGAGGAGTTGGCTCCTCCCGGAGTGGTGTCAGAAAGGGCTCGATTCTTGACGCTTCTCAGAGAGCTTCTGCGGCTCCCATGATGCCAGAATGCAGGATTTTTGGGGGCGATCGACTCAATTCCCGATGAGTGTGGATACGTTCATTCTCCAGAGATGTTCACACTGCTAAGTGCCCGGCGGTTCCTTATCTCAAATCGGAGCCCACGGTCTCCTTGCAGACCATGCTGATATCATCGCGTGGGTTTCTTCGGTCAGCTGGCTTTTGAGTCTAAGTGTTCGGTTAGCGGAAGGGTATAATATCCAGCTGTAATCTTGACGTAGGAACAAATTGTGTCCCTTCAACAACGCCCCGGTGGATTATGGTTGCCGTCATCTCCACCCCAGCTGGGACTGTTTTGCTCTTCCAACAGGACTGCCTGTGTCGGCGTGTCACTGCTGGTCTTCAGCGCCCGGTGCATGGCGGATAATCGAGCCCTCCCTGGTTCACGGCCAGGCTTGCCATTTCATTTCTACTTACTAGTACGGAGTGAATACAAGGCACTGCGAAAACAGACACTTTTTCCAAAACGATGTCCCCGAATCAAGCGCCGGTGGCTGCAGGCGGGAGCCGGAGCAATACTGGTTTGAATACCTCGCATATTGTCAGCTGTGTATATGTTATACTTGCTTGTCTGTGGCGCAAGGGACGCCAATAGAAAACTTGAATTCCGCAGCGGCGTGCTGTCACTATAACATTGTATATTACCTCTTTTCCGAGGTGTCCTTGGAAACAATAAGTGTAAATAGGTCGGATTACTATCTGACATGCTATGCCTTATCGTGGCTCACATACTACAGTAATCAGTCGCACAACCACCTGCAGCAAGGATGCATCTTTGCATAGTGAGGCCGGGAGTCTTTTCGGAGGATTGGCTCATCACAAGGGCAGCAGAATGAACAGTGTCTGCAAGTTGAAGTTGACAGTTTGAGGGTTCATTTGGACTAGAATATTCCGACTTGGTTGGCACTTTTCATTCTGGAAGTTCAGCCCATGACCGGCTTCCTCCAAAATCGTCTTCTTGTCAACCAGAGCACGACTTACCAATTCCTGGTATCATCCCTAACTTGCATAGGTTCATGCCGGGATCATTATCGGTGATCTGATTTCTTGAGCTGCGGTTGGCTCATCGACGTTCGTCCGGGACAGCAGGTGCCCTTGGATTTGGCAATGCACACGGACAGGTAACGACCCATCCAACTTCAAGCCGGCTACCCTCTGGCTGACATCTTGGACTTCCCCAGCTCAGAGAGAATCTTGAGAAACGGGATATCAACGCCAACTCCGTGTATCGGTCACTGTGGCCAACTGAGAAGAACAGGCATCAATTAGCCGGTTCTTGGTAATGATCAGGATCATTGCCACAGACGCTGAGGAGGCTTCAGCTCAAGGTCGTGAAAGCTCTATACCATCCCACACCGAGGGCAAAAGGCCCTTTCCTTCATTAAGTATCAGCACTTCTGCCCCGGCTCTCTCCAAGGCTGTTGCAATCCCAGGGGGCTTTCATCGACACAGTCCACTTGTGCAACCTGAATTGAAAAGGTCTCATCGATTCCAGGTAAGGGGATACATACTTCGATCCATATCCCTCTTCAGGAGAGCTTTTCATCCAATAGTGCCGCATCCTCTATTCGCAAACCGGAATAAGGAAGCTCTGCGCACCCCAGGAAGGCTATTGGCAGTACGGCTTCTCGCCCAAGAAGCGCATGCAGCAAACGCACCCTCTTCCGGGCGAGGCTCTGGCGAAGGCTCTCGGCAGGGCACCAGCCTAGTAGCCTTTACCATCGGGACAGGCGAGACGCGAGCCCCCCGGCTAATCCACCATAGTAGCTGCGAAAGACGTTGGCAACCTGAAAGCGGAAAGAGTGGACGTGCGTTGGCTTCCAGAATGGAATAACGCAGCACCTCCATGTGGGGTGTCATCGCTACGAGCAGTCTCCCGGTTCTCCTATTCAAGCTGCTCGCTGGGACGCAGTCTGAAGCCCTGTGCGGCATAGCACTTCATCAAGACTGCATTGGCGACCGTTGAAGCTGTCCTATAATCCTTGACGACTTTATGCGCCACATCGTGTCCCATGCTGGCGGGTTGATAGCATGAAGCGACATCCGGGAGGTATAACTGGTTTTCAGCTTCAAGATTGGGCTCGAAATGGTGCAATTTTGGTTGAGGGATACGATTTCGTCAATGCAAGCACAATCTCGACGCCAGCCAAATCAAGCCGAGTAAGATTCGCGTATTTGACAGGCATTTACGACACTCCCTGCGTTCGTATTGCCAGAACATCAACCACGAAAGTGATCAATAATGGCCTTGCCTATGGATGAGGCTGATTGGGCTGCAGATGGGGTCCCCATATTGAGATATAGGAGTTGCTGTTTCCGGGAAATGAATCGCAATCAGGCCCAGACCAGCTGCGCAGACGTCCAACCCATCCATCTGCAGCTCCCGGACCAGTCCGTGGAGGGACTTCATTCTGCTTGTAGATTGTCTCTACAAGCATTCCAGTGGTAAGCCATCGGTCTTGTTCCCCGCATGTCGGCTCCAAACATATGGCCGATTACGCCAAAGCTCGGGACTTGCGATAACAGCTTCAAGGTCATCTGGCCTTGATCCCACAGCTTCCGATGCATGGCGCTCTCGCTCACAGCCCTGGTTCAACGCGGCTCCTTCTAGTACCTGGATACCCAGGTGAAACTAAATGTCGAACGGTTGCTTCCCTCAGTGCCCGCCAACAACGGTGCCCGACATTCCCTTGTCCTCCAGACCGCCATATCCGAGCGAGAGGCAGCGATACGCGCTCTCGACAAATCCTTCCTTCGGCTGAATACACCGCTGATCCGAGCCTAATTCGACCTCCAGAATCATCTAGTCTGACTTGAGCCTTGCCCAAATTTCGCCTGAGAGTCATGCATGCCGCATCGTCTATAGCCCGTGCCGGGAATTGATGGAGATCATCTCGTGGGGTTCAGTTCTTGCCAGCTGCAGCTGCCTTGACCAAGAAATGCTGTGGCAGGGCGACCAAAGCGCAAAGCTGCATCGACGAGGATGCATATCTGCACGTCCAATGGCGCACCTTTCCACATGGAGCGGTACATCCGTCCCAGACTCAACCACCAACGCTCTACGAGGTGGGTCATTGACGCCTTTGAGTATAGCCGGCTCCGCATTACCCCAGACATCCCCCCGGCTTTTTGGTGGCACCTTTCCTCATTGAGCGAAACCTGGCAGCGCTACACCTATCATTGACGAGGAATCGATGTTTCGCCTCTCCGTGGGGCTCCTTGGGCGTTCTTTTTCTTGTTCCCGTACCTATGATCGTCTCCGACGCAGTGTCCGGCAATCACTCTTGCAGACTGCAATGAGTGCCCTAACCATTTCACATAATATATCAAAGCATTGATATATCACTGTCTACCATGGTCGAGCGTGTCCAGCTCCAACATCCTCACCTGATACCATCTGGTAGTTACATCTAACCATTAGGCTACCTCACTATGGCAAACACACACCCAGATACCCTCAGGGCCCACTGGAAATGCCTTGCGGCATGCACCTTGGTCAGCATGTGCCCGTTTCAATATGGGATTGATTTCGGCATCGTTGGCGGTCTTCAAGCAATGGTCGGATTCTTGAAGGTACGGCTTGAATGTCCTTGAGCGCGTGCAGGACTGGCTGCTAACTTGGGCAGGTCTTTGGACATGTGGCCCCTGAATCCCCAATTGGCTATAATATTTCCCACACCCGACAGCAACTCATTTCGTCGTTGATGATCTTAGGTGCCTTCCTCAGCTCGGCCTGTGGAGGACCTATCGCCAAACTCATCGGGCGAAAAATGTCTATCTGGACCGCAATCGTCCTCTGCGTGGTCGCCAATGTCATTATGATGGTCACCACCAGCATTGGTGCTTTATACTTTGCTCGTCTCTTGCTGGGCCTTGCAAATGGCCTCTTCCTCACCTTTGCCCAGCTATACCTCCAGGAATGCGCCCCTGCAAGATACCGAGGGCTTGTGATCGGATTATTCCAGTCCTGGACCTCCATCGGGACCCTCGTAGGCACCATTGTCGACAACTTCACGGTCAAACTGCCTGGCAGACAGGCCTACATTGTCCCACTCGGCATCATATACATTGTGCCAGGAATACTCGGCCTCGGTCTGTTCTTCATTCCGGAATCTCCAAGGTGGTATCTCCTCCAAGGCAAGACCGAAGAAGCACGCAAGGCACTTCATTGGCTCCGCCCCTACCCCGAAGTCATTGAAGAAGAGATTGAGCAGATTCAGTCTGCTATCGAGGCGGAGCGGGCTCTGGCAAGCAGCGCAGATGCTCTTGACATGTTTCGCAATCCGGTGGACCGGCGTCGAACTTTGCTTGCCGTTGGAGCAGTGTCTCTCCAAGCTGCCTCTGGCGCCATGTACATGATATGTAAGTGAAGACAGCTCAGACACTTTTTTTTGGCCAGCCAGTGACTGACATGGATAGCCTACGGCACCTACTTTTTCGAAATGGCCAAGGTCGGCTCTGCGTTTGAGAACGCTTGTATTCTGGTGGCTGTGGGCGTGGCAGCAATTCTCATCAACAGCGCCATCATTACCAAGTACGGTCGCAGACGCGTCTTCCTCTCCGTCGGTATGATCCTTTGCGGGATCACGCAACTGATCATCGCCATCGTCTACGATACGAAGGGCCCGGGCACATCAACGGGCAAGGTGAGTCATGTTTGCCTGGTCACTAACATAGGTATAGCTCGACATGATTGGGCTGACAAGTTTCTGCCCAGGTCGTCGTCGGTGTTTCTGTCGTCTATATCGTTGGCTACAACGGAATGGTTGCGACCTACGCCTGGCTTTGTGGTGGCGAGTTCCCTTCCCAACGTCTGCGAAGCTATACTTTCGGACTGGCGTCAGCAATCGGCTTCCTTGGTGCATGGCTTGCAACATTCACAGCCCCTTACTTTATCAACGTGGATTCTCTGAATTGGGGACCCAAGTATGGCTACATCTGGACACCCAGCTGCTTGCTGGGCGCGCTCTGGGTCTACTTCTTCCTTCCAGAGGTGCAGAACCGCACCTTTGAGGAGATTGACGAAATGGTATGTCTGCAGCGGAAACTTTTTGCCTCCCTCTGCCCTGTAGGACCGATTGGCTGACCATTCCTGTTTGCTCTTTTTAGTTCGAAGCTCGTCTCCCTGCACGCAAGTTTCGCAAGTACAGGTGTGTCGGATCGGTTGCGGCAGTTGCAGCAGCAGCACAGGAGGAGAAGAAGGCGAGTGACAAGGAGGACCATCACCCTCGAGTCAGTCATGATGAAGTGGTCTGGTCGAATGAGAAGGCGGCCGCCGAGACAGCCGTGGCCATCGGTTGAACGGTCTGCATCAAGGGACTTGTGGAAGGCCGCTGGAGACGATGACCCTATTGTCAATGACCGGCGTTGCCGGACTACATTGAATGCGACGACTCAAGGGACAAAGGCGGACTCAAGACTACAACAGACATGGCCCGTTGACTGGCGAATTAAGAGATGCCGTGTATAGCTCATCCGGCGTTCTCATGATGCAGTATGCTGTCGGGAAAGAGCCAATAATATAAGAACGGCGATTGCCCACCCAGCAAGGAAGCCTGATGTTTGATAGTGGTAGCCTCGACCTAGAGAACGGACGCGTATGTGTTTCCCGGCTGTCGGGCTTGTTAGCTGGGTTGACGTTCCTCTCGATAGCGCTTCTCGGTTCGACTTTTCGGTTCTCGGCCCCGGGTCCTGGGCCTCGTATTGATCATCAGGCTGGCCACGTACGCTCATGGATCTTAACGGCGGAGGCTACTAGTCCACTCATTGGCAGCATCTTTCGCAAAAGAGAGCCAGTGGGGCAACGAAACATCCAGCGCCGAACTCGAAACTCAAATCCGAGTTTCTGCGCCAGTTTTGACTGCGTGAGGAGACTGGACACTTCGCCGTAACAGGGGAGCTGCAGGAAAGAGCGAATCAGAAGACGGAGCAGGCAATTCCGCCAAGTTGGACTGGATCTGTCATCAATCTGTCAATTGAACTCCCAAACGGCGCCGTTGACCTCTTTGATTCTTCAATCAGCTCACCCACTCAAACCCGAGGCGTGGGACACTGCTCTGGAGGTGTATATGATGAGAGTTACTCATGCAGTGAGCACCCGGTCGCCCGCCTCGCGTTTGCATATCTACTATAGCAAGCTTGTTTGTTCCGCGGTGTCTCGTTGCAGCGTTTCTCATGCTGGACAATGGTAACGCGACCAGAGTCGAAGCTTCTTTCATCCACAATCTTTCTCTTTCTTGTTGTTTTTGTGGTCGGAGCCAGTCCTCCCTCACCTGGAGAACTGCGGGTACCACTATGGAGCGGTCCACAGCCTCGCCTGATCAACGGCACCAGTTCCACCAAACACTGGGCTTTGGGATGACGCGTCTGTTTCCAGAGCCATAATGTTGACAGACCGTACGCCGTTTAGGCGCCCCTGGCTCTCTCTGGGCCATGTCCTGTGCGAGGCTATCGCATCAAACCAGGACTTCTCCTGTCCCAGATAATGGTCTTCAAGGTTGGTCGTTTCTCATACTCTTTGCACTCCCGAAAAATAAACCCGCGGAAGGGAAGATCAGCCAGAATGCTGGCTTTAGTGGTTCTCTTCATTGTCTTGTCCGCATGCCCGGGTTCTGCAAATGCTATAGTCGATCCTCCACCGTCCAATGACCTCCGCAGTGGCTCCGATTTGTGGTCTTTCGTCTCCGTATGTGGGAAATCGTCATCCCTGCGAATTGCGCCATGATAGCTTACTACGAAACAGCGACCAGACATTCGTGCCCCGGTCTTCAAGGTGATCAAGCATCAACCCAAGCTGATAAATCCCGGTTACTGGTTTGTGGCTCCGTACACTACATGGGACACGGTCCCAGAGAGGACAGAGTACCAGCCGTTTCAAGTTGGGCCGCACATATATGACGGTGATGGGGTAGTTCTTATGTTGCCGAACCATCTGAGTATGAATTATTTCTGTCTGACTTCTTGAATCCTAGAATCTCGTTTGGAGCGGTGCAGCCCTGAGCAACAACCGGAATGCCTTCGATTTTCGAACCTTTGAGGCCCATGGGACCACTTTTCTGTCCTATATCTTACATTACAGCGAGAGAAAAGATGATGAAGAGCCTCACGGCCTGGGAGTCTTTCTGGATTCGTCGTTCCGTCGACAAGGAAAGATTACTCATGATATTGGCCACGAATTCAACATACATGAGCTCGACATCCGCGAGAACGGAACAAAGGCCCTGTTCTTAACCACAGATCGACCCGAGCGCGAGGACATCTACAGCCATGAAAAGGGTTGGTTTGCACATGACTGCATCAACGAAATGGACCTGGCTACCAAGACGACTGACTTCCAATGGTGCCCTTTGGACCATGGAGTCTCTTTGAACGAATCGTATCACGAGTACCCGGATCTGTCGAAGCTTACCTCAGGGTCCCCGTGGGATTTCTTGTAAGAACGTTAAATCCAAGATACCCTTATTGCCGCTTGCTAACCCCGTTCCTGCCAGTCATGGGAACTCCATTGACAAGTTCAGCAATGGAGACTTTCTGCTTTCCAGTCGACACACGAACACGATTTACCGGATACGCAGGTCGGACCAGTCGATTGCCTGGCGCTTAGGTGGCAAACTATCTGATTTCTCGATGGACTTCAATTTCTCGTCACAGCATCACGCGACCATACACTCGCAGGGCGAGAAAACTGTCACAATCGCCTTCCTTGACAATGCATCTGATGACCAGCATCGGCAAGCCAATTCCTCAACAGTATCTTCCGCAAAACTGGTAGCATTGGACTCAGAAACCATGGAGGCAAAGGTGGGTAATACGCATCCCGAAAAGTGTACGTTTGTCGCACATGTTATTCTCTCTAACCTTCGCGGAACAATAGGTGCTTCAAGAATGGTGGCGGCCGGATTCTGCCCTCAGCGACAAGCGTGGCAGCACCCACTTCCTGCCGAATGGAAACATTCTCATCGGCTGGAGCGAGCGAGGGTACATGACCGAGCACACTATGGACAACCAACTAGTGTTAGAAGCCGCCTTTGTATCGTCGCGATTCTCCACTTACCGGTCATACAAGTCGAACTTTACAGGCTTTCCAACCGAAGCACCAGCCCTCGAGTCCTTCATCGTCCAGTCGCAGAGCGATCCAGTTTATTCCATGACCACCTCGTACATCAGCTGGAATGGCGCAACAGAGGTTCATGCTTGGAGCTTCTACGGCTCAAATAATGATACGGCCGAGACTTTCCAGTTTCTGGGACAGACGCGCAGAAGCGGCTTTGAGACAGCCTTCTCCGAAAAGGGCGCGTGGAAGTTCGTATATGCTGAAGCTATCGCAGCCAATGGGTCCGCCATTGGCAAATCTGCTATTCGTCCTGCTCGCTTCTTGCCTGGTTCGACGTCTCTAAAAGCTTTCGATGAAATGGAGAAACAAAAGGCTTCGCTTCTTTCCAGCATTGCTTCCCAGACAAATGCCCGACTCCGACGACTCGACAAGGCTGCCATCGCGTCCGGCGCCATCTTCATCTTGCTTGGTATCCAGCTTAGTTTGGTCCTACTATATCTGATGTGTAAACGCTCCCGTCGGATGAGATTCGGCTCCTGGCCTGCTGTCGATGAGGACCAGATCCAGCTGCTCTCTAGAAAGGCCATGATCGACTAAGCTTACGCGGTGCATATCTGAAGACTAGGGCACCACCCCACGCCAATGAGGCTGAGTAAGTCCATGGCTATAGTAGCCGGCCCGTCCCTATTCGATCGCTAAGCCGCAGTCTCGTTTTGGGAAGGCTCCTAACAAATTTCTACGCTCAGCCGATATTGCCAGAGGAGGGCTCTCAGCTGATGACACGATCTCTACTCGGTTATACTCGGCGGTTTCCTAATTCGCAACGGGCAACTCATATCCGGTTATTGAGGAGTATACTGACTATAATAGTCTTCTGATAGTATATACCTTCGACACTCAACAAGTCAGCAGATACAGGATCCACACCTATCACGATGGGCGGACTACCAGGCTATAACTGCTCTTCAGTCCTGATATGCACAGCGGTCAACAGAGTCCTGATATGTTTTCAACATCAACTGGGCTGGAAGGGCAACTGAGCCCTAACCAATCCTTCAAGTACAATACGCAGCGGTCGACTACTCCATAAGAGCACAAGGATCAGCCTTACTCTTGTTGAAGAAGGGTGGCGACAGAGCTCTACTGCCTGTCAGTGAAGAAAGCGTACAGCGTACTCCTGATGAATGTACGCGACAGCATGTGACTGCTTCTGCGTGAAGTTGATGTGAAGATGATGTGAAGTTGAAGTGAAGTCGCAACACCTATTACTTCTTGTTTACTTTCTTTCTTCTTCTTTCACATAACACCAACATCAACACCAAACAGCCAAAATGTTTAGTTATCTCATTGTCGGCGCCGGTAAGGTCCTCTTCACCCCTTTCTCTAGCACTATCAGCTAACGCGCTTCATAAATAGGCCCTTCCGGGCTCTGCGCGGCCAAGACAATCCTTGAGTGCGAGCCTGATGCGGATCTGAGGATCCTTGATGCGGTAGGTGACCCCCAAGCAATCCTCAGTCCTAGAGCCGGCGCAGCTCAGATACTGACTCTTTCTGATAGAACAAGACCGTTGGCGGCGTCTGGGCCACGGAGAACCTCTACCCGGGCCTGAAAACCAACAATTTGCGTGGCGGAATCGACTTCTCTGACTTTCCCATGGATGACAGCTTTGGGGTCGCCGCAGGAGAGCATGTTACCGGAGAAGCAATGCACGAATACCTCAGAGCCTACGCCGAACGATCCAATCTTGGCCATCTGATCGATTTTGAAACTTCGGTGCAGGAAATCTCGCCTCTGGAGGGCCAACAGGGCTGGAATCTGAAGGTCCAGACCAACTCTGGCGCAGCTGGCATGGCTGTAACGCTACAAACCAAGAAACTGATCATTGCAACTGGTATCACGAATGTGCCGCATCGTCCTCTCCTCATCGGCTCCACAACCTTTGATGGACCTATCATACATTCTGCCGAACTAGGAGCGAACGCGTCGTTTGTGCATGAAGATGGCCCATTCAAGAAGATTGCAGTCATAGGAGGAGGGAAATCCGCTTTCGACGCCGTCTTTATCGCAGGCAAGGCATACAAAACCGTGCAATGGATCATGCGCAAGTCTGGCAAAGGCCCTGAATGGATTTTCCCGGCACATACAAAGATTGGCCCCTTCAAATTCGTCCGTGAACGTCTAGCGACGCGTCGCATTATCAGTTGTTTCAGTCCCTGTCTGTGGGAAGACGGCATGGGCTGGATCCGCCATTTCCTCCATTTCAACAACAAGGGAAAGCAAATCACACAGAAGTTCTGGGCCAATCTGTACAAGCAGACACTTGCACAATGCAACATGCTGAGCCATCCATACACTGCTGCTTTGGAGCCTGAGACAAGGTGAGTTCAAACGCCTGTCGAAAACCGCTGTCTAGTCTCTAACTTTGTTTCTTACACAGCCCATTCTGGTACGGCACCGCCTCCGGCGTGTACAGCTACGATCCCACCATCTACGGCATGGTCGCCGACGGCCAAATCAGCATCTACCGGGAAGACATTTCCTATTTGTCCAAGCACAGCGTCATACTGGCCAATGGCACAACTGTCCGTGCCGATGCAATCATCACGGCAACAGGATTCTCAGCCAAACCCACCATCAGATTCACTCCGTCCAAACTGCATTCTGATCTAGGCATCCCATCTGACTTCCTTACCCCCGAACAGCACGAGTTCTGGAATGCATTGAACAACAAGGCCGATGCGACCATTGCCGCGAAATTCCCCCAACTCATCGCAGGACCGACCATAACATCCACTGGTAGCTCGTCGGCAGCAGCTCGCGATTGCCGCAACTACAACCCAAGTATCGATCGGGACCTGTCCAATAGGACTCCATGGCGTTTGTACCGCGGCATCGCACCACCAGGTCTGACGGCGCAAGGCGAGCGCACTATTGTTTTTGTCGGCATGTTCTCCAATCTGGCAAACACTCCTCGCTGCGAACTCCAGTGTCTATGGGCGTATGCGTATCTCAATGGACATCTTGACAACAAAGACAACAACAAGACCAGTCGCAAGGGCAATGGCAAAGCCAAAGCTAAAGCCAATGGTGCCGCCGGTGGAGGTGGTGTCACTGGCTCAGGTGCAACAGGTAATACAGTTGCAGGTGGTATGATAGGCGACTTTGAAGCAATCTTCGAAGACACGGCCCTCATGAGCCGCTACGCCAAACACCGTGCCCCCTATGGCCACGGCAACGCATTTCCCGATCTCGTGTTCGACCAGTTGCCTTATATGGACCTGTTGCTCCAGGATCTCGGCCTCAAGTACTGGCGCAAGAGTAATTGGCTCAGCGAGCTTTTCGGATCCTACGTCAGTTCGGACTATGCTGGCGTGGTGCAGGAGTGGATTCGGGCGAGAGATTTGAACAACACTATTAAAACGGACTGAGTGAGGGACCGAGCGTCAAACGTCAAGCGTCAAGCGTACCGCGGCTAGGAATGAGAACGAGAAGTGCTGGCATAAGTGTCAATCAGCGACGAGGAAATTGACTGTGGTGCAGACAAAATGTCTTTGCTTGTCAAAACGAGAGCGGGCACAGTGCTTGCTCCTGCAGACAGGGGTGCAAGCCCACGTGGACATTGACATGGACATGGGTCATGTCCAAAGGTGTTTTGAATGGTTAGAGACAAAACACACAGACAGACCAACACCAACTTGTTGAGGCAGAAAGGAAGTGCCACCACAGCCACTAGTGAGCTGAAAGCAGACCGCTCTCTTCTACTTGAGCTGACGCATAAAGATACTGTGTAAACCAAACCGCTTTTCACTCTTTTGTTCTACTACATGTATTCTAACTGACCTTCTGCGATCATATTCATCTTAGACGGCGAGCTACTAGTGACAGAAGCTGGGCTTAGTACCGCGTAGCTTCCTTGAAAATAGGCACGGTCGTAAAGTCCTCACAGTTCCAGACAATCTCGCCGTCCGCCGTGAGTTCGGCCCCATCATCCGTGCTAGGCAGACCGGCCTTTTCGTTTTCCGCCACTTCATGCTTCGAAAGACCCTTTCTGTCTCGTGGCAACCAGACCGTCGGCGTCTTTGAAGTCAAGGCCGGGTTTCGATATGCATTCTTGAGCTGGTCGTCGCTGTACGAATTGCTCTCATCGTACTCGGCCTCGGGATCTTCGAGCCAAGGACGCAGGGCTTCTTCGGAAGCGAAAATGTTGGGTTCTAGATACCTCGCTAGGGGATCGAGTAGGACGGTGGGCACTTTTCCTTTGCGGCCGATTTTGTAGATGCGGGATTGATTCCTTGCTCTTTCTTCTTCTCGTTCTCCTTCTCCGCCATGACTACCACCGCCGCCACCACCACCACCTAAAAGTGGTTGCTGCTCCTCGTCCTCATCGGACAAGATCTCAAGTGGCAAGTATTGCTCCAGCGGTGCAAGGTATTTGTTCACGGTGTAGTGATGGACGGCCGTGGCGGCCAAAAGGATCGTCATTATGGTCGATGGCCCAGCGGCGCCTTTGGTTCCGAAGAGACCTATCAGACACAGCTCTGCCAGATAGACGCCGGTCATCATGTGCTGGAGTGCTCGACTGTAGCTTTCGCCGCGAGTTTCGGTCTTGACTTGGATCACGTACAGCAGGTTGTAGCGGTAGCTGAGATAGAACAGAAAGATGCCAATTGCCGCGAAGCCCAACACCAGTGGAGCGATGCATGAGTAGGCAATGGCGATGACGGCCAGGTTGGTGAATTTGGGATACACGATGAACCAGCTGATGCCTTTCATTTTCGAGTATGTGTTGAATTTCTGCCGGGGGGTCTTGGACATGAATTTGTAATAGAACAAAAAGGACAGAAGGTCGGAATAGTTCAGCACGTTGTTGGATGCAGTTCCAAGACCCTGGATTATGAAGTAGGTCAGATAGAAATTGGACGCCTTTGGCAGGTTCTTCGCTAGTAGTGTTGGGGCAGAAGTCGGATCGTTTGCGAGTCGGTTTGCAAGGGTGGCGGCGCCGGATGAGAATGTGGTGATGAGAAACACTTGGACCACCTGGAAGACAAAGTACCATGTCTGTGCCCACTTCACGGCTTCTTTGGTCGTTGGCTGTCCTGACAGACTTGCCATGTACTGGAAGAAATACGGGACGTATGACACCACAGTGCTGAGGAGGAGCGGCGGGAGAAGACCCGTCAGAAGACCTAGGATGGGCTCTGGGAGGTTGTTGATGAACCGCAGAAATGCGAATTTGTCCGCTAGGTATTGGATGTTGGATATTGTGCCAATGATTCCGACGGGGATCGACCACAGAATGATTGTTGCCACGGCCAGCGCAATCGCCATGTAGGAATAGGTGATCCGCAGCGACGGCTCGATATTGAGGTTTTTCCATGTAACTTCTTTTGGTTGAACGCCGATATATTTCGGCTGCAAGGATAACGGTGATGGGTGTCGCACAACCTGGAAAGCCTCGTGGGCACTAGCCTGGTCTTTGAACTCGACGAAAATGGCCCCGGTTCTCTTGCTCGGCTCGTCTGAGTCTGTCTGCCGGATGTGGTCGAGGTCGGATATTAATCCGGAGAGCTCGGCGCGTAGTTTCGCGATGCTATCGATATCATCCCCAAAGATGTATTTCGACTTCGACCTCGGTTTATGACGGTCAATCTCGGGCTCGACCGGTCCATGAGAACTGCGTGCAACAGCCTCACGATCGTTGCGTTCATTGCCTTTCTCCTTGTTTGCGTTTTTCAACAGTTCCACTTCCAGGCCCTCAAGACTGTCGATTTTGCCATCTCTCTTGGCGACGAGCTTTTCGAGATGGCTCAGATTTGAAACCACCCATGACCTGACCGCATCTTTCCCGAAGTAACGCTGGAGATTCTCCTCACGTAGGCCTTCCGGTGGGACAGACAGGTACAAAACTACCCGCGAAGACAATCGAGTAGCGTTTAAAGGGACTTTTTGGTATGCCTGACGTAGCCCCACGACAAAGAGTCTCTCTCGAGTCATCAGAAGAATGATAAATGCTAAAAGAGGTCAGCCAGTAAATGGCAACGAGGAAGAAGGAATATTACCAAAGAAGAGGCCCCCAATGATGGCGTGTGCATATAGTCGGTTGCCACCTAGGACATTGCTGAACGAGAGCTTGTCAAGTTGAGACGAGTCACCCCCTCCGGTATAGTTGACGGGGAGGAGAATCGGCCAGGTCAGACAGCAACCTACTACACAGATCAGGACGATCATGCGTAGATACCGCAAGAAGAGATAAGCCTCCAAGGATGAATGACGAAGCACGAACTTGTCATCCAGGGCGCGGAAATCGTGGTACCAGGACACCGAATCATGACTGGAGGAAGGTGTTCTGTCCCTTGACAAAGTCAGCACGGATACTCATACAATCCAATGACAATACTTACTTCTGGGGTATCGAGCGGAAGTATGTCCGGGGCGCGTAGATGTTTCTGTACCTCGACCTCAAGGCCAAGAAAGCGAGCAAGAAGGCAGCCGCTGTGATGAGCGTCGGCACCAATGCCGCAGCAATGGCATTTGCTGAATTCGAGCCAGCATTTCGGTGGCCACCAGCACCTGGATCCTGCAAATGTGAGTAGGATTTCTTCAAAACTGCCATTCCGCAAAAGGACAAGGTGAGGATCCCTGCAGTATTTCACTCCTCTGCAGTCGAGCGATTGTATGGGACGAGCAACCAGAGCTTGAATTCGAACGAGACACAAATATGGGCACATTTTGGGGCAGCTCCTACCGTTTTCTCCAGGGTATTCATGACGTCCTAAAAGGCCGCGCGCCTAGTAGGTAATGTAGCTGAAACACTTCGAACAAATCCGAGGTAAACAGGCCAATTCCGTGGATGCAAGCCCCAGGGCAAGAGACGACGCGTTATCAACCAAGCAAAAGACCGTGAAAAAGAAAAACGTACTGGTCAAGAAACTGGATTTACATGGAAGCAGGCTGAAGACGCGGACGATGGAAGTGGACTCGAAGTCGTGACAGGCTGACATCATATTCGGTGTCACGTGACTGCACCCTCTCCGTCATGACAGGCCAAAAATCAAGATATCGATCGTATGCTGTCCAAAGATATTAAGCAGTGTCCCACCAGCAACGTGAAGACTTTTCCATAGCCCAACCGACTCGTGGGTTTTGCCATAACACCAATTTCACTGCCCATGCGGACCTTGTCAAGTATGAGAAGAATCATGCTAGGATGATGCTAATCATCTCTGGCTGAAGAGGTTCGCCTCTTTTGTAATCTTCGGGTGTCTGGTTCTACCGTCGGCGAACTGGCCGGGCCCGCATCATCATCTTCGGGCATCGGCGTTGTTTGTAACGTATTCGGCGTTGACACAGATCTGTTCTGGGACGGAGCCGGTCCGTTCGTTGGGAAGAGTCTTTCACTAACACGGCGTCCAAGCCCAGACCGTTTCGTATCGGGGTCCAAGGCCGTGTGTTCGGATTCAGGTTGTGAGGGTACATGGTAGTCCCGCCTAGGTCCATCTACAGGGGCGATCTCATCCGCAATGGCATCCTCGTAGCTGGGTGGTGCTTCATCGGGAATATCAGGCTCTTGTTGTACACTGTAGGAACCAGTCTGGGCGGGGAAGAAACCGTTGTCCTGGAATGGAGTGGGTGGCGTGGCTAGCGGCGTGTCTGGCTGCAAAGGTGCAGCAACACTCGTCCCGTTAGCTGACGGTCGAGGGAATAGGGGAGGCGGTGTAGTGGCTGCTTGCGGGCGGGGGTTGTTAGCCATAGCCCGCAAGAGCTGAGGTGGAGGAGCAATGCCAGAATAGACCTGGACAGGCAGGCGCAGAGGTAATACCATCACCTCTGGCCGCATTCCATCGGCCATGGCATGTGCCAGTCCAACCCGGACTTCGAGCTCGTATCGCCGAGAAATGTTGCAGGTCTCGAAAGTTGGGCAAACAGTGTTCGGCACGGGACAATCCTGCCATAGGCGAGATGGCAGTTTCCATTCACGACACTGTTTCTCGCTCGCAGTCCCCAGCGGCATGTTCATATTCGCTTGAGACTTCAAGACCCAGCTCGTGCTTTCAGTCCTCTCCAGATCATGGGCCCTTATCCGAGTGTAACCGAATAACTCGATCTGCAACATGCTCAGGAAGGCCGTTGCCGAACTATCGTTGATCTTCTCAACAAGTATGCGTAGAGGAAGGGGTTCATTGCAGGTGATGATGGCGGGACTCGGAAGCCGGACATCCACTTGGAAGGCAGGTGGTTCATCTTCCGCCGAGACTGGGGTAGATGATTTCTTGAAGAGCCCCTTTTTGGGCGGTGGAGCAGACCGATTGAATTGCCTCTTGCGGCGCGCGAAGGTTTCTTGGTGTCCATCTGGACGGCGGGGTGGTTCGATGGGTAGAAACTTGATGTCGCTAATCTGTTGCTAAGTCAGTAATCGTGCTGATAATCTAGTAAGCTTAGCCGCCGTACCCATCGAATGTTCTCCTGAAAGAACTTAGGCCGCACAACGGTCGCCTTGACATAGTATCTGATTTCCGCCTCGCCAGGGAATCCGCTCAAGGATGGCGGCAGCGTCCGCTTCACATGGTTGCAGGTGTCACTTGGGAGCTGAACATTCAACTGGCCCACTTTGATATCCTTCAACGGATTGGGGTTGTTCAGGCAGTCATTATTGAATGGAAACTAAAGTCGAACGTCAGTCAAAGTCGGGCGCGTTGAGTCCACGAGAATCCTACTTTGAATCGAAAAGGGTAGAGATACTGTCCGGCACGCAGGGTGTAGCCCGAGCCAGAGGCCCTCTCCTGAAGCTCAGGCGAAGGAAAGACCGTGAGAACTTTATACAAAAGCTGGGGCCTGGTGTAAGCGCAAATTTGTGGTGCAGTCGACAGGCCTTTCCCCCACCTTGTGATATTCTAACTCGGTCCTCTTCTTATCCGAACGCTCATATCCAGGATATTTTGGCCCTGCGAGTCTTGTACGACTCTCCCCCTCAAGTTTAACTGTAATAGCAGAGACGGTGGCATCATGGGGGAGGAATAGAACGACGGTGCCGGAAATAAAGTCGAGGTTCGTGTAGCACCTGGATTCCGGCTGATCAAGTTGGATGTGGACCGACATCGATCCCGGATGAACAAGGCATGAGAGCAGGTGTATCCCAGGCAAGGACACAGATCAGCAGGGCGCGAGGCCTTTTGGTGGTGGAAGTCAGTCGACAACCCATGCGGCACGGTACGTGGATGCGCCTTGCGAGGCTGAGCGCAGTTCCACATTCAAATTGGCTGACACTCACCTACAATTTAGACGCTGGCACTGTGACTGTGACTGCTCTCTAACAGTCAGCCGAACGGGTGGAGGTTCGGGATTGACGTTTCTCCGTTGTTCCGGATCGACCAGTTTACATAATCGTCGAGTTGTAATGGTTTAGCGTAACACTTGCACGCACGAAGATAAGCCGAGCGCGGGGATACGCTACTAGCAAGATCGATCTCCGCTCAACAACCTCGCCTTATCTCTCCCGACCCTGGTTTGAGGGGAACCACTGGCATCACTCTGGGTTGGCAGTTGATATAAGTATGCCACACCCCTGGCTTCTGCTGTCCAGCGGGGAAATATCCCGACCTTGTCCCACGATAATGACCCCTTTGGCTGCTTTCAAGTCTTCAGCCTCGCAGCCCCCCCGGCCCCCGAAATGTCTGCAAGTCCCCCATGAAGTCTCCTAGAAGCCCGCGTAAACGAACGAAGAACCGGCCGCCCATCAAACATACAAAGACCTTTTCAGGTTGTTGGACGTGCAGGGATCGACACGTAAAATGCGATGAGGCCCGACCGGACTGTACCCGGTGCCTGAAGGGCGGCTTTGAGTGTCAAGGCTACGGCATCAGGCTGGTATGGGTGGACTCCAATACTCAAGAACGAGAACAGAACATCCGACGTGCCATTGACACCCCGGCACTTTATGAGACTGCTTCTCTATGCAGCCAGATTGATGTTCATGAGGCTCTCGAGGCAATAGAGAGGCTGTCTACGAGAAGGCAATCGTTATCAACTGGTCCGTTCTCTGTCTTTGCACTGGAACAGTTCACACAAGCATGTGATGAAGCTGTGAGCGAAGGCGAGACTTGTCCTTTGCCAGTTAACGTGGGGGACTCTCATGATGTGGTTGACTTCATCGAAGCAGAGCACAGCGATGACGAGAGCATTGAAACTATCGTTTCCCCTTCACTGTCAGATACTACAACGGCATTTCATGACTGCAATGATGTCGACCTTACATTTCTCGACACTTTGAGCGGTGGATTCCCTCCAATATCTCGCCATCTCGACCTGCTTCCCCGGCCTGCGGAACAACGTGAGCTCATTGATCACTGGACTTCATTTGTGTGCTGGCACCTCGTCCCCGTGGACAGGCCAGACAACCCTTTTCGAAGCGTCTTCACGCCCATGGCACTGGCCGGATTGACATTGCCTTCGCAAGAATCCAGCGGTCAAATCGCGCTATTTCACGCTATATGCGCCACGTCGGCGTTCAGCCGTGGTCAACTACTCAATAATGACCAGCAATCACTTACCCTTGCCACCAAGCACTACCAGCTGGCCATCATGCACCTGCGGCACAGTTTGGCCAGGCTCAAAGATAATATGGATTCGGAAATTCAACGCGGTTCAGTCCTGGCAACTATCACCGCATTCTCAGCCATGGACATGATCACGGGCCGCTCTTCGGAGTGGCGCACTCACCTTCAAGGTGGTGCTTCCTGGCTTGCAACGGTCGAAGGTAGCACATGGGATCGCGACAAGAGTTCGTCGATGGTGTATCAGGGCTATGTGGCCATCGCGGCCCTATGCAACATCAACCTCCCATCAACGGTCAACGTTGAGTCCGAGGATTGTCTCAGTCAGAAAAACTATGTCCTGGATCGCTTTTTTGGCCTCACACGACCAATACTGAAGCACATCGTCATGATGAACTCGTTTATCAGGAAATGCTTCCCGACCGAAGAGCCAGGTGGTGCGGAGGCTCTGGATGAATTTGAATTGCAGCTGTACGAACAAACACCCGAGAGTCTTGATCTTGAAGGCCTGGATCCGCTGAGCCGGGCATTGACCCGCCACCACGCCTATGTATTCTATTATGCTTCCCTCATCTACTTCCAGCGTGCCGTCCGACGACGACCCCCAGAGGAGGTACAAGGGCTAGTCGAGCTTGCTGTGAGCCGCCTCGAAGAAATTGAAGACTTGGGAGGGGATGCCATTGGGTGTACCTTGGTGTGGCCACCCCTTGTGGTAGCGTGTGAATGTCTCAGCGAGGATCTACAGCAGCGAATCCTGTCTTGGTACAAGGTAAAGAGAAGACACGGGTTTAGAAATCTAGATATTTCCCAAGATATTGCGAAAGAACTGTGGCGGAGACGGGCTTGTGCTTCCAATGAGGTGGACATTCAGTGGCAGGATGTATTGAAGGATTTGAACATGGATATAGTACTTGCATAAGCGGACGCAGCATCTCATGTCGGAAGCATGACTTACTCAGATAGTATGGTCCACATCTGTCTCACGCCATTGCAAGAAACTTGAAGGGGCGTCCTTGATGACTGTCCTGCTTCAACCGCGGTAGAAAGTCTAGAAACTATACAGGTCTGACCAAAAGATTTTGCCATTTCTTGCACCAGGCCACGCGGCCAGACGTTCAAATGACCATTTAGCGACGTCCTCGCAGTTCCCGAGGTCGACTGGAACCCTGCGATTACAATGTTTTATTTACTTGTATTTGTATGTTGATCTCCAAGCAATAAGGCGCGCTTTCGGCAGGAGTTGATGCTCCAACAAGTTGAGGAAGACGTTCCGTAGACACCGTCTACATCTCGACACGGACACGCGGCACGATTTGTGCGTTTCCTTCTCCGTCGCAGGAAAGGAGACTGCACACTGCAGACTCGACACGCCGCCGGCAACGATGATATACGTGGCCCTGTTCGCGTTTCCGTTTTCGCTTCTTTTTCCTGTCGTTCCTTGAACCGCGATTGCAGCGCAGCAAGACCAGTCGATCCTGATTCTATATAATAAACCCTACCCCGAACGAAGATGTACCATCTCATACGATCACTATACCTCTACGCGACAAGCAAACCAGAATACTCCATCATCCTGCTCGGACTAGACAACGCCGGCAAAACGACGCTCCTTTCGCAGATCAAAGCACTGTACAACACCGCGGCGGACCCATCAGCAGGCCAGACGGGCGACGCACCGCCATCCGAGACCGCTGGCAACACAGTACCGACAGTGGGACAGAATGTAGCCACGATCGACTTGCCGGACATGTACCTGAAGATCTGGGACGTTGGGGGCCAAATGAGCCTGCGCCGACTATGGACCAGCTACTACAAGAGTGCGCATGCGGTGGTGTTTGTGCTAGACAGTACCGACTTGGGCAATGGGGAGTTGGACGATACGCCCAGAACGCCAGGGTGGCATTGGCATGGGCGGAAAAAGAGCTACGTGGGTGGAAATAACAGACCGGAAGATGATGCGAAAGATGCTACAACGAATGCTGATAACAATCTTGAGCCGCCAGAGACACCCTGGACGCCAATGTCGCCTGGATCCATTTTCTTCCCGGGCCAGAATCAGCAGGGTCGTTTGGACGAGTGTCGCGCCGTGCTGGAAAGTCTGTTGGAGAATCAGGATACGGCTGGGATTCCTATCTTGGTACTGGCGAACAAACAGGACCGCGAGGATTGTTTGGAAGTTGTGAGGATCAAGGAAGGCTTTGTCCGCAAAGTGTTCGAAGGTGAAAAGGGCGGAATGGTCCGAGATAGCCGTGTTCTACCTGTGAGCGCGCTGCGAGGGACGGGGGTCAAAGAGGCGGTGGAGTGGGTTAAGAGTCGGGTTGTCTGGAATAAAGAGAGTCGACCACCGGTTATGAGATGATTACATGGGGCACAAAGTCTGGATTGCCAGTTCCTTCTTGACATCCTCTTACAAAACCCCATTCGGACCGACTGAAACGTGCCCGTCCCCGCCCTGAGCTGGTTTCAGCTTGGCCGAACGGATATTACACACGGCATTATACGAAGACACGACATTTCTGCTGCACCACAGTTCCATGATAGATCAGCTATCATCTCTCAGGCATCAAGGGCCTCCACTTCGAGAAGTGCAATGGCGGTATCCCTTGCGGTCTTCTCGAGATTAGTCCACTTGAACTGGAAGACTTCTTCGGCCTCATTGGTCTCGAACCTCGGCAAGGTCAATGTCGAATCTTCGTCATTGTTCTCGCCAATACGTGAAGACAGATGCAGTTCTGGATCATTGCGCAAAGCATCGGCAAATTGGTTGAACAGCATGGGATGCCCCACGACGAAACGCTTGTTCGCGGCGCTAGGCGTGGTCAAGGCCGAAATCTGGAGCTTTGCCAGATCGCGGACGTCGATCTGCGGGACCGGACCTTGTCAGCCATTGAACCCTTCAACTCGAGGGACCATATGAGGAATGGGGCTTTGAGCAGTGCAGTGCAACGGAATCCATGTTCTCACTCACATCTCCAGGAAACATAGTATTGGGAACCTTCCCACCCTCTACCTTCGCGCTGTTGAGTATACTGTGGAATTGGCGATTGCTGAAATTGATCTTTGCGACACTCGGCACTTTTTGGAACATTGGGCCGAAGATCAACGGCGGCATGAAATTGGTCACGCTGAACGGCGGCTTTTGTTCGTCGACGAACTTCCAAGTCGCTTGCTCGGCGAGTTTTTTGCCTACACAGTACGAGATCTGCGCACGGAATCAACGAGTTAGCTACGGCACAGTAGCTGCGGCTCGCCAACGGACCGTGGGAAGGATTTGGAACGACTTTGTGTATGTTCACCAAAGAAGTTGTCTGTGACGGCGGGTGTGTCAAAACTCACATAGGGATCTTGCGCCTTGATGGCGTCCTCTCTTCCCAATGGCAGCCAGTCTTTATTGCCAAACGCTCGCTTCTTCACATCGTCCTGGTCTCCCAGGGTGATGGCGTTGATGCTCCCCGTGACGCTGATGGCTTTGACGTTCTTGCCATACCTCAAGGCCGATGTCAGCAGACCCGTGTTGCCAAGAACGCTGGGCTTCTCAAAATGTTCGACGAAATCCGTGTTGTGGGGATCGTCGAGCAATGGTGCCGCCACATGCACAATGTAGTCGATCTCCGGGTGTTGGTGGAATACTTCGTCGAACACTCCTGGAACAGTGAAGTCGGCCACGCGAGCCACTGAGATGTCCTGGATTGGCCATTCTGGGTGCTTTGAGACTAAGCCTTCGGCGCTCGAGGGTGTTCGTACGGCTAGGATGACTTTGTGATTCTGGGTTATTAGCTCGTTGACCACGGCTGCACCAACGAAGCCGTTGGCGCCGGTGACGAGTGTGGTGGGCATTGTAGTACGTGACTCTGGTGAAGGGCTTCGGATAGACCAGGCAAGAGGCACCAGGTAGCGAGATGCACAGAGTCAACAACAATGTACAAGATACAATACTATCTGGACAAAGTTTACTGACCTCCCATCACTGGAGGACGTCCCTGTGGTTTATGTAGTAGATTGCTTCATTCCGCTGAGACCAGGCACTGGCATTGAAGTGCTTCAAGCCCCGCCGGCCTGCAGCATTACTCAGCATTTTCCTGGTCTGCTTATAAACACATGCCTTGGGACCACAGAGTGATCAGATTCACGTCGACTATTCGCTAGGAATACTGAGTCTGGGCATCTCAGCCCAGACAGCAAGATATGCCGGTACGCGCTGTCCTCCTGAAACCGAAGGTTGTCTCCGAGTCTGATGCATGTTGCGTAGGTGAGAGAGCTCGACCTTCCCATTGGCTAGCGACCCGATCGGGTAATAGGTGGTTTCCTGAAAGGGCTGAGCGTTTGGGTCACCCATTGAGCGCTGGTATGCAGCCAAAGTCCTCTCATTCTACCCACCGTTCGAGGTCTTCGTCGTACCCGATGACTCGCGGGTCAACATTCATTTGCCGAAGCATCATTTCCATGTTGAAGGACTGCAATTGTCAATTTGGTGCGCAAAGGGGAGGGTCAGGTTCAGAGTAAAACCGGAAACACAGACTTGAACTTACAGCTTCGCCTTCATCTTCATCGAGGTCGTTGGAGCCATCCAGGTCGTCATCGCCAACCAGGGGACTATGCCGTGCTGTGTCGTCGCACTGGCCGTCAGGTTGTTCAGGCCCATTGTCATTCCACAGGCGGGCATCCTGTTCATTGCGTCGTTGCCACGCATGAACTCCGCCCATTGCCTGGACTCGCTCTTTGGCATCAACGAACAGTTCTTCTGCGGCTTCTTGAGCCACAGCTCTCCATTTAGAAATCAACCCGCGCAGTTCGACATCTTGGTTCGACGTTTCAATGTCGAGAGCTTGCTTAGCTGTGTCGAGAGACTGACGGAGCTGTGCAAGCTGTCTTGAGAGTGCTGAATGCTCTTTGCGAAGGTCTTGATTCGCAGCAGCGGGCACAACGGTGGATTCGAGAGCTGATGAAGATGAAGACAAACTCCTAGGCGGAATATCTGAAGTGTCAATGCTAGACGTAGGCGCCGATGTTAGACGACGCTCGGGTTCTGCTCTATCATTCAGGTTCCCGTGTGGCTCGGCTTCACGGATGTCAGCTCTTTTGAGGGGTGAGCGAAACGGCTTGTTTTGGAATGCCGGAGATCCGTCTAGCCTCCGCCTCTTCGGGCGGTGCATCATTTTTTGCTAAAGCAGTTATCATCTCAGATCATCTGCGGCCCATGATGTGGTGATACTCATTGGCAAACACCGTGACGGGGCTATTGCCCCACCACCAGGCGAGGATAACTTCCGAGGGAAGACAGGTGCTGCACAGTGCTGGACGACTCGGACACCTATGTTGTCAGCCGGTGCAGCAAGGATCTGCGAGTACTCGACGCTCTCAAATCAGGATGCTGGCAGCGGCGGGCGAATCTGACGAATCTCTTTGGGTCTTCAAAAATGACAGTGTTCAGGCTCCAAACGCTTGCAGCAAGCGAGGTTTTAGGCCAGTGTCTACTCCTGACTAGACCCCAAGACGCAGGGAGGGAGAGTCAGCGTAAGGGCAGGGTCGAGATACAGGTGGAAGCTTCGTTAGTCGCTGCCAGCGGCTGGCGGTGCAGTGGGTGAATGTGGTTAGTGGGTTGCTTGCTAGTTTTGTCGCTAAACGGCAGGGTTAGCAGTAACCAAGTGTCCGCTAAAGTGTATAGCAGTAAGGCTACACCCCTACATCGTTAGCGGTGCGCCATTAGCCACTGGCACTAACCCAATTTAGCCACTTGAGGGCGTTAAACCAGCGGTGGCCTCTCGCCGCCTTTGTCCCTTCCGTCGCCAACTCCGCAACCCACTTTATTATGCTGTTAATTAATTACTGCGTGTCACTGCGCGCGCACCCCTTCACACGCTCGCTTGCTTCCTGCGTCCGCCCTCAGGATCTGATCTGAGCCAACCCAACCCAACCCAAACCGCAATCCCAAGCCCATCGCATCCGAACACCAACTGCCAGAATGATCCGGCCACACAATCACACGCCAGCTCCAGCACTGTCTCATTATCCCCTTCCTCGCCCACCTCATCATCACTCTTCCTCCTACACTCACCCACCTTGAAACATCTTCACCACACCCTCCAACCACCGCCGGCACCACTCAGCTAGAAAACTCTACAATAATATCTCAATCGTCAGCTCCACCAAGAAATAATTTCAGCCGCCGGCCTTCAGAACTAAAAACCGCTCAGACAGTCTTCGAAAGGCTGCACTAGCTACGTCTGCTGCCTGTCGCCTAACTTTCTCATCGAACCACGATACCACAACGACACTGTCCACCTATGGCCCTGTCGTCCTCAAGCACCGCAGGCCGGTCGCCGTCAGCCTCGACTGCTCGAGCGGACAAGAACAAAAAGCAAGGCAAGATTATCATACTCAAGCTGTCACCAAAGTTGCTACGGCAATTTGAAGAGCCTACGGCCAAACCAGAAGAACAGTCGACAGCATCGGTTGGTTCCTCGCCGACGCCTCCAGATGAAGATGCTTCCACACTCAAGGTTCCCGAGGCCAATGACAACGCCTCAGAGTCCAACTCAACACCTGCACCTACACCCACCGACCCTGCTGCTGCCGACGGCTCAAAGAAAAAGAAAGGCGGCGCAGGAGGGGCCAAGAGGAGTCTTGGGCAGATGATGGAGTCGAATGGGACACCAAAACCACGCGGCAAGCCAGGTCCAAAGAAGAAACCCAGACTGTGTGTACCCTTCCTTCCGCTCTCACAGCATGATGCAACGTTTGCGGGATCTGTTCTAACCCAACCTAGGGAAGATGGTTCGATTGACCACGGTGCGAACAAAGGTTCGGTCACCACAGGCCCCGGTCTTGGTGGTCACAAGCTAGGACCAAAGGCCAACCAAGGCGCTATCAACGCAGGCCTTCGAGCTCTTGACCGATCTGGCAAGCCTTGCCGCAAGTGGGTGAAGAAATCCTTCACCTTGAAGAGCTTCACTGGGGTTACTTGGGAACTTCCTTCGTGGAAGGGTCATGAAAGACCTGGGCAGGTGAACGGTGAAGAGTCGAGCGAGACAAAAGACATCTCACTGCAAAGTAGCAGCGATGTCAAACCAAATGAGAGCGACGCCGCCATGGACAGCAACGCCGGTGACCAACCTGACCCCATGGCATTGTCTACACCGGCTGCCAGTTCTCCGCCTCCCATTCCACCGCAGTCCTCAGCTATCGCAGCACACGGTTAGCCAGAAGATCTCGGGAGGGTATGTTACAACTATCATTCAATGTCTCCCTAGACGAGATATGGATGGTCATGGTTCCACTAGAGTGGCATACGACTCTTCGACTGATCATTGATGCATATCAGCGCTCTCACGACAGCATAATACGGAATGACGTTGAACGGTGTACTGAGTTGGCGACAGGCAGAGTTGCGAAAATCGCGATCATATGTTTAGCACGGCGTTATGGGGGTAGGGAAAATTTGTCCGATGGCACAGCGGCGCAACCAATGAGTCTATGGGAAGGGGTGTTCCTTCACGCTGGAGAGCAGGCCTCACAGAAATAGGCAAAGCGGCGCCGATACCTCGAGGACAAGTCGAGCTTTTTCGATTTTCCGCCTTGAATACAGCCTGGTAGGTCATGTTTATGTATGAATAGATGCGACTTCAACATCCGAGGGCCTACGCGTACTTCCAAATTTGGGCAGTCACGCCCAATGGGTCGAGCTATCGGGCAGTCTCTGTATGACCGCCGTAAGAAAGAGACAAACTTTTGCCTGGTATACACCTCGTAGCCGTCAATAAGGATTGCCACCGGGTGTAGATATTTGATGGGCTTGTGCTGGTGGTTGTAGCGGGTGCCTTGGCCCGGCGAGCGTCTATCAAGTCCCCGCAGGTTGATGAGTGGGTGGACGATCTGCCCAAACCTGCCACCCCCGAATACCCGCCCCGACATGATCACGATGGTACAGTAGACCACTACTAGGCATTGCATCAACAGCGCCCATACCGACGTGACAACAACATCCGTTCGACCTCCTGACCAATTCGAGTTTGCCGACACCTGGAGCCTTCGCCGATACGTGGTCGCTCGCAATGTATGCCAATACGAGAACAACCACACCCTGATCCAGCATTCGACTCTTCGGACCTGAGTCCCCGACGATCTTTCCCGAGTATCGGCCTGTGGCCTTTGACTTGAATCTCTCGCTCGCTATCTCGCTCACGCTGTCGACCCTGTGAACTATCCGCCTCGTTGAGCCCGAATCAGCCCTCCATGGCGGATGTGCCAGGATCCGGCAGCAACGGCCGGCCAAGTCCATACGGTGGCAATGTCCCTCGACGACTGTCATATGCATCAGTGGCATCAGGCGTGACCGCTCAGGATATAGCTCATCCCGCGCGCGCAGGAGCCTTCTCTCATCTAGTCGGTACAACTCCGAGCAGCTCTTATCCTCCACAATATCAACCAGACCCTCAATATCGCAGGCGACAGTCCGGGCTCGAGCACGATCCTTCGGGTGTCTCTTACTGGCGAAAGCCAACATCTTTACCGTCTTATTCGAGGAAATTCGCAGACATCTCGGCCCTTGGAACGAGTGCCATGCCTTCAAACCCTTTCATTATACCGTCCTATCTCCGCCGTTCCAGATATGCCTCGAATCTCGAAGCTGCGCACAAGGCCAAGATGAAGAGAGAACGAGAGCAGCCATTGGGAGGAGCCTCTTCTATGAACTCCCTCTCGAGCGGTGCTGGGCATACAAATATACAACGAATAGCCCCGTCACATCGCGGCATGACATATGATATTATCGAGAGCAATCCTCCCAGCGAGGATGATCAGCCCATGCCTTTGCCTTCTCGATGGAGCGAACAGGACAAGTATCCCGGACTGGACCTTTCAAACGATGGCCGGGACGTGAAGTACAGCGGGACATGCAGCAAAGCGGATATTGAAGCAGCTTCCGTCCGAGCAGACTACCCAATGTCACCTGCCTGTGGGATATACTACTTCGAAGTGGAAATCAAGAATAAGACTCGGGATACCGCTATTGCTATTGGCTTCTCCACGGCAGAGGCGTCGCTAGAACGATTACCGGGCTGGGAAACGCACTCCTGGGGCTACCATGGCGACGATGGGAAGATGTTCTTTGGGGAACACCAAGGACGGAGTTATGGGCCCACATTCGGGGCAGGAGATGTCATCGGCTGTGGCGTCAACTTCAATGCAGGGCACGCGTTCTTCACTAGAAATGGACACGATCTTGGGATCTGTTTTCGAGACCTAAGGAAGGATTTCACGCCCTTCCCTACAGTGGGAATGAAAAAGCATTCGGGGGCATGGGTGTCGACCAACTTTGGCGAACGACCTTTTGTTTTCGACATCGACGGAAAAATGCTATCGGAGCAAGCGCGAGTAATGAAGGACATCAACACGTCTAAAGTCTCTGCGCTACGCCTGGGGAGGGACGAGAACACTCTTGTACAAGAACTAGTGGCGCAGTTTTTGGCCCATGATGGGTATGTCGAGACAGCCAAAGCTTTTGCAGAGGACCTCAGAAGAGAGAAGGAAGCCTTGAGCGATGCACTGCCGACTGGAACGTCAAATTTACTGGAGGGGGATGATACTGAGTCTGTTTATCGACAAAGTAAGCTCCTTTTCTTCTATGCGTTGTTCGCTACTGATTACTGGCAGAGATACGTCGAGCCATCCTTGATGGAGACATCGATGAAGCACTTGAGATCACCCACGCTCGCTTCCCGACTGTCCTAACGGAAAACCCTGGCATTGTCTTCCGACTCAAATGCCGGAAATGGGTCGAACTAATTGGCAAGACCACAGAATTGAACGCGAAGAAGTCGTTCTCCGGGCAAGATGTCAAGTCAACAAACGGGTCTGGCAAGGCAGTAGCCGATGACGCAGACTTCTCTCAGGAGATGGAACTGGATGAAAATGCCGGTGGTGGAACCCAGACTAACGGTCTAGAAAAGCCGTTGGGGGATGATACTGCGCTACGATATAATCAGCTTCTGAATGAAGCAATGCAATACGGCCAAGAGTTACAACGAGAATATCGAGATGATGATGGCGAGTATGCAAGGAGCTTGCAAGACATATTCAGTCTAATGGCGTACGACGATCCAAAGGGGAGCATTCACGGCCATCTCTTGGACCCTTCCGGAAGAGTTGACGTTGCTGAAGAGCTCAACTCTGCCATCCTTGGTAAGAAAACCCCGTCTGTTGATACAAAGCAACTGCTTACATGGACAGTTTCTCTTGGGCGGTCACCTGCAGCTGCGGTGGAGACAACCTGGAAACAGACCGAAGCTTTGATCGATGTACTGGCTCAGGACGGTGGGCCTGCCGCCTTTGTCAACCTCCAAGCAATGTTCTCGACGTGACCTTGATTGCGCTGGAATCTCTAACGTACCCTCATTTCTGGAAGGAAAATGTCGCGGCAGTGCTCTTTGCTCTTATCTGGAACTCCCGGCCGGTACCTGCTGGCTGGGCGGCCAATGCACACGGCCCACAAGAGGGCTGCTGAGCTTGCGTGATTGTGCTGGGAGACGAGCAGTGATGAATTCAACACCAGTAGGTATATACACTTCGCATTTAGCCATTGATAGAGGCAGGGAACCAACTCGTCTACACGGTGCGGCGGCGTTTGATCATGCGTTTGTTCTTAATGCCGGCAGGTGGGCGGTGGGCTGGTTTGATAAGGCTTTACGATGGGCACTGTATGATCTTCTGTGTATATGTATCTACACTCATCCGCACCCCGTCGGTCCGCTATTGGACTTTATGGCAATATCGACACGATCCCAAATACCCTGAGAGACTGGTGTAGCATGTTTCCTTTTTGCATAGTCTTCGTCGTCTCGCTTTTTCCTAGGTAGATATCTACAACCGACCACCGGAAAGCTCTATTTTCTTTTACAGCTCATCCTCGCGAATCAAGACATCTCGGTTCAACACATCCGGCGAGACTGAGGGGATACCAGCCAGATGCAAGGTCAATTCCAAATCGCCCAAGAGCGACTTAAGGACATGGTTGACGCCAGCCTCGCCACCCAGGACCAAGCCGTAGACATAAGGGCGGCCGACGAGACACAGTTTTGCCCCAAGAGCCAACGCTTTCGCGACATCAGCACCACATCTGATGCCAGAGTCGAAAATGACGTCGAGTTTGTCACCGACAGCATCAACGATACGCGGCAACATACCCAAACTCGAGACGCCGCCATCAGACTGTCTTCCGCCATGGTTGCTGACAACAATACCCTGGACGCCGGCCTCGACGCACCTCTTTGCATCGGCGACAGTCTGAATACCCTTAAGGACGATAGGACCATCCCAATGTTCCTGGAGAAACTTGATGTCTTCCCAGCCGTGACTGAAGCCCGGAAAGACGGTCTTAGTCCACTCGGCCGCGGCGGCGCCTTGGTCGTCCTCGATTTCCTTGTTGTCGTGGGTTTGTTTGAACTTGTGCCTGAAGACTGGGTCCGTGAACCCAATTGCCACGCCGATCTGGTCGCTCCGCAAGAACGGGTTGTATCCGTTGTTCATGTCGCTGGGCCGCCAGCCCAGGATGAACGTGTCCAGCGTGACCACGAGCACGGAAAAGCCGGCCTTCTTGGCCCGTTGGAGCAGCGAGATGGTGATGTTGTCGTTCTCCCGTGCCGGCCAGTAGAGTTGGAACCAGCGCTCCCCGTCGGGTCCGTTCGCCGCGGCCACGTCTTCGATCGATGTACTGCTCGCTGTGCTCATGATGTATGGAACCCGCTGGGCCGCGGCGGCGCGCGCCGACGCCAGTTCCCCGTCCGGGTTGAAGATCCTTTGCACTCCGACGGGTGCAATGGCGATAGGGAATGGGAGTTTGAGTTTGCCGCCTGTTTGACCGGCGGACGAGGCTTTGTGTTGAAGATGCTTGCCGATATGGTCTAGGTGGATTGATAGGTCTGAGAAGGTAGTGGTTTTGACGAGTCGGCGCGGTAGCAGTGACCATTTCTCGAATGCTAGTCGGTTTTTGCGTGCCGTTTCCCCTGTTCCCGCGTTGCCTGTCACGTATCCCTTGCTCTCGGCCGACATGCGCTCGCATGCTAGAGGTTCCCATTCCAGCGCGGTGAATGTGAATGGTGGGCGGGAGTAGGATAGCCCTTTCTGGTAGATTTCTGTTTCGTATGCTATTGGATCCGGAGCGGAGTCGGCGTCCGACGACGAGGACTTGGTGTCTTGTTTGTTCTGAGTGGGGTCCCCATGTTTGGCCATGTCTGGCCTTGTATATGTAGGTGAGTCCATTGCAAGAGCTGGTTGAATTGTGCGTGGGTGGACTGATAGGATGTTGTGGAGGAGAAGAGGGAGAAACACAGTTACCCTTTGGTACAAATGTATTGGGCTTCGGGGAAAGGGCACTTTATATAATGCCGCGATGTCCTTTCAATATCAAGACCAGGAAGCTTACTACTGGTAAAGTCATACGAGCCGGGGCGGGTGGGCTCATGAGTGAGCGGAATTTCGGAAGTTGTGCATGGGTCTGTACCTGTGTGCAATTCCTACCTCATCCGGCTACTCTGTCGTCATTGAAATAATGATCGCAGCTTTCATGCAGTAGTAAATAGTGTAACGAAACTGAACGAGTGAACTAGACCTCTCAATTCGCCCATGTCGGTGTTGAAGCCAGTGGCTCTATGTGTCGTCGAGGAAAGAAATGCGAGGTTCCATCGCGCCACTAAAATCAGGTACATCGATGTCGAGTCCTCAAAGCGTCTCAACCGGATGTGGCGGATATTCAAGAGTGCTTCTGTCTGTAGCACCGGACAGACATCTTTCTCCCCGAAAGTTTGACAGACTGTATATATGCAGTCCGGTGGTGTTCTTCCCGGCCCTAGGATTCCATGCAAAAGCCTGTCCTCAACCATGCATGCTCTTGGGTCGCGTGAGACACTGGATGGGAGACCTACAGCTGAGTAGTTCCCCCTTCGGCAACAACTCCGGACGTTTCCCTGATAGAGTTCAAGGACGTAAATTGAGCTTTAAAGACCGGTTCTGCTGCAGTAAGATTGGGCACCGTGTGCACCGATGGATGGATAACATAATCCTGTCCTACAAAAAGTTGAGACCGTGGAATACCTGGTAGCCCGTTCCATTAATAAGTGGCCGTACAACACATGTGAAAGTCGGCCAAGCCGGCCCTGTAAAAATGTTTCTCCGGACGCCGATGATCTGCCGGCGCAGTGCAGTTTTCAAAATTTTGTATCGTGATTGAGTCGCTCGTCGCAAGACTGTGAATACTAGCTCATATCTCGTCTACCTTTTACTGTGCGTCAAGATGTCGGCCCAGGTGGATGGTAGACATGGCTCGCCGTCTCACAACCTCGATTCTCTAAACACTCCCAAAAAAAGGAAACACCGGGCCGACGAGAAAGAGTCTTCGGAAAAGAAAAAGAAAAAGAAGCAGCGGACAGAGGGACCGGCGCCAACGACTGAAGAGCCTATTGAAGTAGCTGCACAAGCAGAAGGGCAGACTCCAACTGGAGGGGACAAGAAGAAAAAGAAGAAATCCAAGGATAAGCAGAAAGAGAAGGTGCCGACGTCCCCCGTTCAGGAACCTGCAGAGCCCGAAGACGTCGAGCTACCGGACGCACCGTCACCTGAGCCAGAAGCAGAAGAAGAAGACTCGACTACGCAAGTGCCACAGGCAACTGCATCAACAACGATGGATGGCGACGATGGAGCAGCCGTAGAACCAGAGTTTATGGCCGACCTACTGAACTCGACTGAACCTTCGTCCTTCAACTCTACCCGACTGTCTCTTTACCTGTCTATTCCTGCCATTGCCCTCGAAGCCAGCAGTTCGGCCATACTTGCTACGCATTTGGCGCCGTTGCTCCTTACGTATTTTCCACCAGCACAAGGCATAGTGCTTGGGTTCTCTGATCCCGTCCTGTCCGCCAAACCTGACACTGCCATCAATCTACCTCTTCTACCTCCGTCAACTGGCGATGTTCATCCTCAAGCCGAGGTTCTAGCGAAAACAGCCGACGAGTTCGGGGTGTGCTGGGTCTGGCTTACTGTCACGCTCCTTGTGTTCCGACCTGAACGGGGAGATGAGCTCTACGGATGGACGAATGTCATGTCGGAAGGGTTCGTAGGCCTCGTGAGTTACAACTACTTCCAGACGGCCGTGGCCAAATCCAGAATCCCGCAGGACTGGACATGGAACGGGCCCAGCCGAGAAGAGATCAGAAAGAACAAAAAGAAAGGGAGGAAGGGCCGGCTGCGGGACGAGGATGGTGCGTCAAGCCAGACGCCTGAGAACGAAAACGCGGCCGTGGAAGAAGGTGACCAGGACGCTACAGTATCTCAGGTTCAACTTGCGGATGTTGGTTCTTTCGTCGACGCCAAAGGGTCCAAGATCCCGCCTACGCAGAAGTTTCGGGTCGTGGACACAGAAGTGGTTCCTTCCCACGACCGGCACAAGTGGTCATTGCAGATTGAGGGAACGCTGCTTGACGACGAGGCGGAGAGGCGCATCGTCGAGGAAGAGCGCGCAAAGTTCGAGATGGCCCAGCACCGGAGTCAATCCCAGACACCGGGTGATCGAACAGGAGATCCGAGTGTGTTGATGAGTGGGGCATTGGCCAGAAGCCGAGAGGGCAGCGTTGCGTCAAGACTGTCGGGGCCGGTTGTCGGTCAACGACATCGAATGACATATTGAAGATCCGAGCAGCGATATGATGTGGTGCTGTACCGCTGTCGTGGTTTAGGGATGGATACTGTCCGGAAGCTGGCGTTACTTCGGTGACCTCGATTGCACTTGCTGACTAAAATACTGTATGGGCCGCAACCGTCACGTGATGTTCATTTGTCTTAACAATTCCTGACACTCCATTGGCCAATGTCTATGCGCAATGGAAACAATGACGCAAGTTGGGGCCCTTCTTACTCGCGATTGTTGATGCGCTGGAGCAATTGAGTGCAAGCATCATCCACTACTGACATCGAGCGTGGTGTGTGTATCACTCCCTGCAGTGTGTAGATGCTGGTATCCTCTCGAACCGTGAGCCGACCAGTGGTCCTCAGGCTGCGGTCATCACCACCACTACTACTCCATCCCACTATATGCCGATGGCAGCCTCAGCAACCGATTTATACATGTCCAAGTCCTCGTTATTGAACACCCTCCCACCGTATCTCTCTGTCTTTCCCCTCCTGCCAGTGTCGGGATTTCATGTTCGCCCGCTCTACCGCCCGCTTGTTTGCCGTACATTGCTCTTCTGCTCCTTGTAAACCACTTCTGTACAAGTCAACTTCCGCTCTCGTCGCGCCCCGCTCTGCATCCGCAACTGCGTTCCTCACCAGACCTTTTTCACACTACCCCGCCAAAATGGCCCGAGAGTTCAAACTCAAAGGCTTGTCCAAGCTCGAACTGAATGACCTAGATAAGGTGGAGGCAGAGGTCGAAGGCATTGAAGGTGGAAAGGTCCTGCTTGTCAGAATCGGAGACGAAGTATCGGCCCTCAACGCAAACTGCACACACTATGGCGCTCCACTGAAGAACGGCGTGGTCACTCCTGAGGGCCGATTAACCTGCCCGTGGCACGGCGGTGAGTTTGCCCTTGTTCCAACCGTGCTTGAGGCTCCAGGCAGTTGCTGACCGTTCATGGATAGCATGTTTCAATGTCAAGACTGGTGATGTCGAGGACTCCCCTGCACCCAACGCACTGAACAAATTCGATGTGATCGAGAAACCGGATGGTGTATACATCAAGGGCAAAGAGGCGGACATCAAGGGCGGCCAGAGAAAGGTTAACATTAAAACCAAACCGACTTCTTCAGACAAGGTGGTCATTGTTGGGGGGTATGTTGATACTGCTCAGATCTTGCCTCCCTACAAACCAGTGTATACAACTATACTCACCATAACCACAGTGGCTCAGGCACATTCGGTGCGCTGCTCAAACTCCGAGAACTTGGGTACCCCGGTCAAATCACAGTCATCACGACCGAAGGATACCCGATCGACCGGACGAAACTGTCCAAAGCCCTCATCACGGACCCTTCAAAGATCTATCTTCAGCCTGAAGAATGGTACGCCGACGGCTCGATCGAATTCGTGTCAGACACAGTCACCTCGGTTGACTTCAATGAAAAGGCGGTACAGACCAAGAGCGGCATGCCGTACCCATACACGAAACTCATTCTCGCCAGCGGCGGCACGCCCCGACAGCTGCCACTTCCGGGCTTCAAGGACCTCTCCAACATCTTCCTCCTACGCAAAGTCAGCGATGCCCAAGCCATCGTCAGCGCCGTGGGAGATAAGGGCAAGAAGATTGTCATTATCGGTTCCAGCTTTATCGGTATGGAAGTCGCCAACGCTCTGGCCAAGGAGAACTCGGTAACCATCGTCGGGATGGAGTCTGCACCGTTGGAACGAGTCATGGGCACGGAAGTCGGCCAGATATTCCAACGGATGCTGGAGAAGAATGGCGCCAAGTTCTACATGAACGCCAGCGTGGAATCGGCAGTACCGGCTTCGAAACTGGCAAACGCGCTGGGCCTCAGCTCCGTGGGTGCCGTCAAGCTGAAAGATGGAACCGAGCTCGAAGCCGACCTGGTGATTTTGGGCATTGGTGTTGCCCCGGCCACCGAGTATCTGCGCGACAACCCGAGCGTCAAATTGCTGGAAGACGGCAGTTTGGCAGTCGACGAGAACTTTGCTGTCAAGGGTCTCACAGACGTCTATGCCATCGGAGATATTGCGACCTACCCGTATCATGGACCTGGAGGAAACGGTTCACCGGTCCGGATTGAGCATTGGAACGTCGCACAGAACATGGGCCGCAGCGTTGGCCAGCTCATTGCACAGCCCGGCAGCAAGCCTAAACCATTCATTCCCATCTTCTGGTCCGCCCTGGGCAGCCAGCTACGATACTGCGGTTCTGGGGCCATCGGATGGGACGATCTCATTATCAAAGGTGAGCCTGAAAACAGCAAGTTTGCAGCCTACTATGCCAAGGGAGATAAGATTGTGGCCGTGGCCAGCATGCAAATGGATCCCGTCATGACAAAGTCGGCCGAGTTGATGAGGCATGGAAGCATGCCGTCCAAATCGGAGATTCAGGGTGGCAAGGACGTGCTTCAGGCGAACCTGTAGGTTTGTTTTTGGAGGATGAACACAACTAGATAGCCCCCTTTAATCAAGTGGCATCCTAGGATCTTTGGAGCTCTCTCTCCCTCTCTCATGCAAGCCTCCAGGCGCACGTGGTGTATGATAGCCGTTATTGAAGCGCACTTGAAGGGATAAAGGGGTAGTTAGTGCCCCGCCAGAAACTAAGGTACCTAATAGTTGAAATGTAATGAAATGAAATGGGAAATGGAAGTGTAACCATTCCCAACGAAATGAAATGTGACGCGTCCTTTAGACTTATCCCAGATCTGAATTAGAGCAAGCACTCGTGCGGGTCAAAGCCAAATTGGAATGATTTGTGTGCAGTAGTACCTTCTATACATCGCACATGTCGCGAAATGCAGCATACAGTGAGTGGTTCGATTGCTTCAACCTCGGACTGTACAACTACGACAGTAGCAATCTAGGCTAGGTACCCTGATCAAGACCTATCAACGCGGCCACTGGTACCAGGTAATCGTGATTGGGTCTTCTTCTCCTTAGGTCGTAATAATGGAACCCTCGACGCAGTAGGTGTACTAGACAGTATTGATCATGTCTTTTCCCGCGCAACGATGTACTGTAGGTAGGTGATAATGAGATTCCAAGGAAAACAAACAGCCAATAAATAGGTATGTATTATTGTTCGGTCACGGTTAATGAGTACATTATATTGCGGAATTGAAGGCAAGAACCCCGAACAGTTCTGCGTATACAATGAATTTGTTCACAGAATGACACAGTGATAATAAAATGATATTATTGATCCCTCTGGGCTGGGATGGGGACCGGTGGGTGAACTCCTGGTCAGTAGCAGCACAGTAGTACAGTAGTAGTGGCCATGGAAGAAAAAGTTAACACCTGCAACATTATTGGGGGTGAGGTCTTGTCCGGTCTGGTCCGGTATGCCAGTAGTGGCCTGTCTCTCCATGGATTCTCCGAGCCGGTACAGTAGTAGTTGTAGTGAGGATGCCCACGGCGAACTTGAAGGTCGGGCCTCCTTTTGCATGTTCAAAGTTGTTGGTTTTTGTTCTGTTGGGTCAGTGTTAGTTTGTAATTTGGTAGTAGTAGTATAATAGTAGTCACTCAGGTGTCACCGAATCGCTGGTGTTGGTCCGAGAGCGAGCTGAATGCAGGACGATGTACCGTTGCATAGTCAGTAGTAGTAGCAGTAGTAGTAAGCCCGCACTGCACGCCGCACAGACGGATTTGACGTCCCGCAATGCCGACATTAACAGTAGTAGTCGCTGTCGTTCGGTTGCCTGGTTGCAGAAGCGGAATTTGGGATTTTAAAGAGGAAGGTGGGCTTCCCAGGTGTCAGTGGCAAATGCATCGATAACTTGAATTTGAACTGCAGATGTTCTGCTAGTTAGGTAGTGTGGAAAGGTGCCAGTGGTGGTAGCTGCATATCAGAATGCTACTAGTTCGGTATAGTGGTAGTAGTGGTGGTGGTGGTATATGGCCACCAGGAAATCCTGCAGGTGGCCGTGGCAGCTGTCTCGGACGTCTAGCTGTCAAAAAAGAAAAAATCGGGGACTTGAGTAATAATAAATCCTACTACTGCAAATAGTAGGTGATGGATCCGTGAGCAAATAGAATTTTGTAGATCAAGACATGAGCGCTGCACATGATGGTCGCTGGGAATGTGGTGATTGAGCGGATGGTGTAGGATGTACAACATTGTACCTGAGTGCTGTGTTCGTGTTGTGTTGGCAATCTGATTGCCAATTATGCAGGGCCCGAGGCGCCATGCAACTCCCACAGAATTCGATATGGTGTGATAGGTCCTGATCGAGGCTGGGGAGCCGGTCGGTCTCCCGAAGAAAGTAGTTGTATTGCCTGGAAGGGTCCTCGGTTCTCTATCCAAAACAGCAACCAGCAAGTAGTGCAAGTGGGGCTGCTGGTACAACGGCTTTGGGTTCCTGTAAGCGATATTTCGACTAGCCAGGGTACTCACATAGTACGCTCGACCATTGTGCAAGCGAGATTCCTTCCAGAAGCAACTAAATAAGCATCTCGAGCAGGAAGTAAAATGGAGATGGTCAGTAGTATCCGATTCCTTGGATGAGCACTGCCATGTGGTATCTGCCCTGCGCATCTCAATGAAGTGGAAAGGTCGTACATCGTCAATTGTGAAAGGCACAACTTCCGCTTCGGGCCGAGGGTAGGTCTGGTGTGCCCTTCTTTCGTCCAAGGCATAGTGCATGTGTCCCAGTAGCGAAACGCTTGGGTTCTTGAGCCGCCTACCGTTCAAGTTAGTAGGAACATACCGTTCAGCTCAACGCGTAGTCGAGAGAGGATTCCTCGTGCCGAAACACGTGCGGGAGTAGTAGTATTGTGGTTCTGATCCTGGATATTCCAACCAAGGCATTGGCGATACTCATGTGGTTCAGATTTAAAAGGTATGCCCTGTACCTACAACATGGTACTTTTTGTGCCGGTGGTTGAGAGCGGCGTGAATGTCGTCTCCCCTCCTACTACTGCAGATGGACTGCATGGTCAATCTCGCTTTTGCCATCATCATGATTTGGAAATTTGTCGACGCATTTCGAGCCTGAAAGCCGGGGCGGAACCAAACCATGGCATTATTGTAGCTGTCCCCATTGCCCCAGTTGTAGCAGACCTACGTCGCAGCTAGACTGCTTTCGGGCAGGACAGGTCAGCCTCAGTTGGAAAACCATTTGCGGACGCACTACTCCTTCGGTAGTGAGGCGGGCCATCATTGTTGAACTGCAGTGGTGGTATGCCGAATGTATTAGCGTTCTTTCGCTTCAGAAGAAATGTGCCATCCAACGGTCCGGGAAGCCTATGCCAGCTCATGCCAGAGACGGTAAGGCTCGCAACCTTGTCCCACCGGGGTGGTGCAGCCGCACTATTCTCAGTTGAGTCAAGCTGCTTCAGTAGTAAGACAGCCTTTGACAGGGAGCCGGGTCGAGTTTGACGTGAAAATTGCAGGTGTTGCCATGTTCTCCAGGGGGGGGCCATGACTAAGTTGTAACTGGTACCATCGGTAACTGGCCACGAGTCCCAAGTGGAGGGTCCGACAGCTCCACGGGCTACGTAGCAGGTGGGTGAGTAGCCTCCGTCACTTGCGGTCCTCTCGTTCCTCCACCTCGCGCGAAATTTATGGCATCAGCCGGAAGGATTGGAGAACGCGGAAAGGTGACTGCGTCTTGTACTGCGTTGTCCGCCGAAGAAAACCAAATGCGCAAAGTCCATGAGGAGAATACAAAACATAGACAACGACTATTCCGGACAACGAGTTGGGCACATTTTTTATGCACAATAGGTCTTGTTCATTTTGTGCATTTGTCGCACCATTTAGCTTCGGTCCAGTCTCCGAACACGAACTTGAAGCGACCGCGACAGCTCATGGGTAGCAATGCTACCCTGGTCGGTCACCGTAATCAGGTCCCGTAAAGAGTGCATTATTAGCGCCGCACCATGTGGCCTGCTGGGATGGTCGTATCTCGCGGCTTCCCTGGTAGTTCAGGCTATAATCGCTGCAGCATCGGTCTAGATTGAATTTCTTAGTGGCTTCCCTGATGTCTCGGCTTTCGCTTGCGATGAGCTTGTCCTGAAGAGCCCCCCTTGAAACTGGGGCCTGATCAGCGAGACGACAGCCAGATCCCCCGACTTCGAGCCTTCCGTTGAGGGTCAACATTTGCCACACAGCACCGTAGACGTCCGCCGCTGCGCATAGAAGGATAATCTCGCATTGGAACTTCGGAATCGCGGCCATTGCTCTCTCGATCGTTTGCTGTGTCACCATCCATCATTACCTAAGGAAGGTGTCTTGAAGATAGCATCGCCAATATGTATCTGTGTATTGGTGACTGGTTTTACAAGGGCCCCTCGAACAGTTGTACCAGACTGACACAATCGTTGTTAACAAAGAAGGAAGTATTCATACATGACTTGATGTCGTAGTCGCTCCGTTTCCTTGACAGTGCAAGCCAAGGGAACTGCACCGAGCAGAGTGCCAATCCCTAGGAATACCGCAAGCTGAGAAGTCGCTGGAAAAAAGGTAGCCGCTCCAGTACATGAAAAGGCCACTCTATGCTGCAGCCGGAAAGATAAGCTAGTTTGTCATTTGCACGTAAGCTCAACCGTGTGACATTGATAGATGAGTTGACACGATCCCGAGTTAACAACATGTCGTACTCAATCGTATTCCTGTGTATCGTGCTGTTGCCGACCGGACCGCAAAAGGTTTCGATTGTTTAATATCGTGCGATTTGAACAGTTGTGGTTTTCGTGATTCCTGCCCCAGCAGGCCTTGCCCACTCTTTGTCGATTGCAGCGGAATGGAAATCTGGTTCGAGCATGACCTTGTCGCTGCTATCGTCTCCAGCAGTCACTGTACTGGTCACACCTGCGACTTTGTTGGGATCTTCCGGCGGAAAAGCGTTCTCACTAGCACCCCTGCCTAAATCTCCCAGCTCGGTGGAATGTCGAGAGCCGAACGCGTAGTATTGTCTGGCCGGATTTCCAGTGCCGCCCCGGGCGTTGGACTTGGTCACCCGGTAGCCCAGCCCATCCGCGTCATAATTGGCGTAGTTGCGTCGGTTGCGCCCTCCGCTGGAGGTAAGTCTCTGGGTCGCCCCGAGTAGCCTCACAAATAAAGGACGAAGCGAAGGCAGAGACGCTGCCACAATACCAATTGTGAGTTCGAGGAAGTTCCACATGAAGAAGGAGTCATGGTATGTCCAGTCGGGTTCCTTGAGCGCAGTAGCCTGATATACCGTCTTCACGATACTTGCAGCGCAGGCGAAGAGACCCAGACCGAGAATGCCCACCAGCGTGATCTTCGTCCTTATGTTGGTCTGAAGTTTCCAGACGATTGGCACAGGGAGTAAGGCGAAGAGAACGTCGGTCGCGATGTTGATACTGCTGTTGAAGATACCGACGTTGGTAAAGGTCCTGTTGCTGAAGCAGTGGACATTTGGCGAAGCCTTCAATTCAAAGTCCCAGTTGGCGGAGATATCTGTGCCGCAATTGAAGATCAGGGTTCCTGCGCATGAAAGCATGAAAGCACACAGGAATATAATTGATCCCAGAAGGAAGCGTTGGTAATTCCTGTTCGGCACAAATCTGCGCAGGAAGCATGCGATGGAGACTTTGACCAGACTGATTGCAAACATGACAATAAGTGAATGGAAATATCGCCAATGCAGAAACAGGGACCAGTCATGGGCCGACACGAGAGAAGGATGTTTCCCGAGTCCACCTGCGACAGCCTCCCCTATGAAGCATACCAGGGTCGCGACCGCGAGGACCTGCACCCCAAGCCTTGTCAGCATGCATCCCGCCAAATTGCAGCTTCCTCGAGGGTTCCATTCTCTCGAGGAAACGGCTGGAAGCGGGGGAACTTACAGTTGCTGCAACCATGACATAATCATCGGCGCCCAAGCTCTTCAGCATGAATATTCTAACATAGAGTCTCAGAAGCACTGTAACAACCGCAAGACCGCAGAAGGTCCCGTGGATGGCCATGAGATTGCCCGTGTTGGATTCATTCTTGTATTGCGGACTTGAGGCGGCTTGCCGCTCCACCAAATTCGATAAGACGCCCGGGATAAACATTGTGGCAGAGGCCGCACCGCAAAAGAGTGTAAAGAGATGCACTTGCTCCTGATAGGGGAGTCCGAGCTTTTTTAAAGACTGTAGGGAGAGACAAGTGGATGGTATATGGCGGCCTCCATGTAGCGAGCTAAGAACTCTGGGGGATCAGCCCTGAATAAAAGTTACCATTCCCTGCCACACAGAACATGTGTCGTACCAAGTTAATAAAATGGGAGCTTTCCACAAGGACGAACGTGGATGATCCGGAGAACGGGAGGGGTTGCGAATACTGCACTTCCCTGCCCAGACTGGCTTGGCTCCGGTAAGCCACAAAAAGGCGTTGTACTTCGTAGTAGTAATAGTGATAGAACTTCTCCTTGGTCTTCCCACCAGGCTGCCCTAGAATTCTCAGGTTGTGGAACCTGTCACATCTCGAACGAGCTGGACTGCTATGATGATGGTCAGAATCGCTGAGACTCAAGCCTCCACCAAGGTTGCAAGGGGCCAATAGTGGGCAGATAGGGCTCTGAATTCCGCGACAAGTGTGGTATATAGGAGGCCAACCGGTCCGAGGCTGTGGGCCCCCTAAACCCGGTGGCGCGCTCCCTTATGAATCGCGTGAAAGACTTCGCTCGCCTCCTTCACGAGACGCTGGTGGGCAGGAACCGGAGCCTTGCCAATGCTGATGTGGTTAGATAAGACCCACCACTATCCCGCTCAACCATTCAGCAGACCAGCAAGAATGCGCGGTGTACGGGGAGCGTGCTCGTCTACCGCCATGTAACTTGACTAATCCTACCACTGTTAGAAGCTCCGTCGCGCATGCACGAGGACAATAAGCGTGACGAAGCGAAATGGGGTCTGCCATGTCTGGCCCCTGACGTGACACAAATTGAGGCTCTTGATTCCAGATGCACTGTAACAGATGGGACACCTCTGCGCTGCCAGGCAAGATTGTGGGAATAGAATAATGCCCTGGGGACGAGCATGTCATCATGATCAACTTCTCTTCCCCAATGGAGCACAGATCGCGGCTCGGAGCAACCAAGTCTTTGGTGTGGAGGGGTCTCAGCTTTTGACAGCTTTGACTGCAGTAAGAAGCCGAAAAATTGCAGCGTCGCCCGGCGGAAACCGAGGTCAAATTTAGCGCGGGTTGCCAAGTGGCGCTTATCCCTTCCAGACTTAGCTTGCAGTCTTAGTGAACGTTTTAGTGCCGGGGTCCTGTATCCACTCGGCAGCGCCGCCGGGATCAAGCTCTGGCCACGAACCCTGTGCCTGGAGGCTCTGCTCACTTCAAGTTGGCCTCTAACATCCACAATCAGAATGGGAAGAGGAAAAGCGATTGAAGCGGTCTCCATGCTAGAGCTTCCTCCTTGCCTTTCGTGTTTCCCTCAGCCCACTGCTGGGTGTTGCGGCCTGCAGTTTTGCCATTATTATCATGCAGCTTCCTCGCCACCGCAGAGCCATCAGATCGGGGCGACTTTGCCAACCCTTGTCGTACAGACTGCCGACATACGGTGGCTACCAGGTACGTTAATAGTGATGTTACGCTGCCCGACAATCGGGATGATCGGCAACTGCTGGGCAAAAGGCAAACCTTCGAGATGCCACCCGCTGTCAAGTACCATCTGTATCCTCCAATCTTCTCGACTCACTCGGTGTCCCACGTCTGATTTCGGGACTAGTTGAGGAGCATTTTCCGAGTTTGCAATCTGACCCTTGTCACTGTCACCCTATCCCACAGCTGCGTTCGGGGACCCGTTCGAAAATCACTAGTCCTCTGTGCCGGTCAACAGCCACACGACTCTAGTTCTAGAAGTCGAATGTTGGACACGCAGCTCCATGGCACCATGGAGAGCTGTTGTGTTTTTTGTTTGGACCGGTTTGCCTCTTCTTCCCACTCTTTTGCCTATCTGAGATGACGGGTGGGCGTGGATGCGGCCGGGCCACGTGGTGCTGATACGATTGCTTGAATATAAGCTCTCTGTTGTTTCTCTCCTCCCATCTTCTTCTCCTAGGGATTTTCGCTCCCCACGAAGCTTGTTCTGTTTCTCTGGGATCCTCGGCTGAGGTCCTGTTCCGCCGCTCGTTTGCTTAAGGTCATTGTTTGTCACTTCAAGTAATCGAGCAGTCATGCAGCTTCGACACCTTCTCCCGGCCTTCTTGGCTGCGTACTCCGCTCAGGCTGCTCCGGCGCCTTTGGAGGATGCCGTAAACAGCTTTGCAGAGCGAGACGCTGCTCTGTCGTCAATGTACATCCCCGCGTCGACGTTCCAAACCGATGTCTTGGCCGCCCAAGGCCTCGTCAACCTGGCGGTCTACCAGATCACCCACCCTTCCGGCAAGTGCAACCTCCTCAACGCTGCGATCCGGCGAGAATGGTCGACTCTTTCCAAGCAGGAGAGACGCGCATACATCGACGCCGAATTATGCTTGATGTCGAAGCCATCGAAAGACCCTGCATTCGCTGCTGGGGCAAAGACTCGATATGATGACTTTGTTGCCGTGCACATCAACCAGACGCTGTCCATCCACGGCACAGCCAACTTCTTGTCATGGCACAGATACTTTACCTGGGCCTTCGAGCAAGCGCTCCGGAATGAGTGCGGCTACACAGGCTACCAGCCATACTGGAATTGGGGAAAGTACGCCTTTGACCCGCTGAACTCGCCTCTCTTCGACGGCAGTGAGTACAGCATGTCGGGCAATGGTGAATACGCACCCCACAACTGCACCAACGCCATTACCACGAATCTGAACTGCATTCCCCCGGGGTCTGGCGGTGGCTGCGTCAAGACCGGACCTTTCAAGGACTACGTCGTCAACTTGGGTCCAGTGTCACCGACGTTGCAAGTCCCCGGCATCATCGACTACAAGAGTGATGACCCATTGGCCTACAACCCCCGCTGCCTGCGCCGCGACATCTCATCTTGGGTCTCGTCCAACTGGACCAAGGACTCGGACGTGTACGACCTCATTGCCAACTATCACGACATCCTGTCTTTCGAAAACCGCATGCAAGGAAACTTCACCGCTGGCTTCTATGGCGTGCACACTGCCGGCCACTTTACCACCGGTGGCGACCCAGGTGGTGATCTTTTCGCTTCGCCTGCCGAGCCAACCTTCTTCCTGCACCACGCCCAGATCGACCGCACTTGGTGGATCTGGCAGAACCAAGACTTGAAGAACCGCGGCAACGCCTTCGCCGGCGGTACCTCGACGCTCGACCCCACCGGCAGCCCGCCTGGAAAGTTGACTGACCCGATCATCATGGGCAGTCTGGCCGAGGATGTGACCAACCAAGACGTCATGAGCACCACCGGTGGACCTTTGTGCTACATCTACGTATAAGCGGACAAAAAGTGTCTATTCAAGAATTGCAGCTCGAGTGGATTTTCGGCCGGCATACATTGGGATTTCTTTGGGTTTGAGCGTCAGCAGCATGGCAATATAATTTTTGCATATAATTGAATATGAGTCGATTTCACTCTCCTTGCTATATGTCTCTTGCTGTGTGCTTCAGCAGACTATCTTCTACGTGGTGGGGGAGTAGAGAGGTGCCTGGGCTGGTCATGAGAGGCTGCAAGGATGGCTGCGCCTTGAAAGAATCTGGCCTTCAGAGACTGGAGCCACAAAACACGGGATAGAGTCATAATAATTCAAGTCCTTCTGGCATGAGGATATTTCTATTCGATTTTTGAGAATGCCTTATCGTTTTGCCCTGAAAGCATTGCTGAATCCTTCTGTGTTTCAGATGCCCGACACAGCCACCTCCGACCGTGCATTAGACGAGGAGGTGTCCCAAACATCGATCGTTCGACCATTTCTTCGAAACAACATTATACTTGGAGGCCGCGAACTTTATCTTCTATCGTCCGGATGATCCTCAATTCTTGACTCTTCTATTGACCACAGAGCAGTTGTTCGCAAGGCCATCGACTAGTGGATGAAAAGCACAAACAACGCCCTGAGAAAAGCTTCCGCTGACTATGGAGCTTATCAGCTGGTGGATGCTCATATGCTGCTGGTGCTGCGACCGCAAAAGCGACGACGAGAAGGCGTACGAGCACGAGCACCATCACGACGGAGCGACAACAGTTGAGGAAGGAAATACCATTACGACCGGCACGGGTCCATCCATTATCGCCCAAGAACCAGGCAAAGTTGAGATACCTCGACTGTTCCATGGCCCGGCGCCTTAATGGCAATCTTTTTGGATGGACGACTCACAGGAAATGAGACCCTCATGGCTCAGACAACCATTTCTGGCCTTCAGCTGCAGGAAACCATCTGTCCACCCAGGCGCTCGAGAAAGCAGGCCAAGTGCTTGCAGTGGTGCCCAGCTGCACTCAAACTGCATGTGCCTCGATCCACAGATAAGGTACCCAAATGGCAATCCTACATCTAATCCCGAAGAAGACTTCGAGCGCAACCGATGCGATAGACTACCTGGGTTTCGGATCACTCACTCCTCGCTAAAACTCCCGCCCGGCGGCTCTTCCTCATACTGCTCCGCCCCGGCCGGTATATCAACAACGGCCGACTTGGTCCAGATATGCACGGCGGTCCGCAACATGTCCCTAGTCATACCGTCCAAACAGCCCGACTTGACGCTGATGACCTTGGCGGGTTCTCCCGAACGTGACACGGGACGATGAATCAGCCGCGACCCGCACTTTGTGCAAAAGTACCCGTCTGTTCGTCCATGCGGGTTTGGACGGCTGTGAATGGCAATGGCGCCAGGATAAGGCGGCTCGATCTCAAAGGATGGGAACAGGGCTGTCATGCCGTATGTGGACGATGACTGGTGCCGACATTCGGTGCAATGGCATATGTAGATGGCGATGGGGTTGGCCGTGGGCGTGGTGAAGCGGATCTGGCCACATTGACATCTACCGTCCATGATCTGCGGATTCTGCGGGTTGCTGTTCTCTCGTGGATCAGCGCTTGCTGTGAAGCTTTACTATGCAGTGGTTCTACAATGAGTTCGCCCTTGACGCGATGTGTGTTTACCTAATGCTTTACAAAGATCTTGCCAAGGGCCTGGTCTACAGTGCCAGCCCATGTGACATGTAGCATTTTATACGAGTTTCGGAAAACACCCACGGTCCGCCAAACAGTTGAGAGTACGAGCAGACTACAGATGACCACTGGGATGAGTCGACTCGTTTGTTAGTAGAAGCAGGATCCGTCAATGGCTGGGTTTGACGTTCTCACGCCAGCAAGTGAGTCGACAACAGGCTATTGACAGGTGACTACGATAGTTAGGTAAAAGGCCATGCAAAAGAGGGGGTATCATTTATTGATAAATTGGGAGTCTGTTCCAATCCGTGCAATGAGCTTCAAGTTGGGTGCAGTTGTTGCTCTGCGAAATGCCTGATGCCTTCAAGTTGTTGTTGCTCGCGGTGCTGAAAGGTGATTAATCGGTACATCTGGTAGGCTTGCGGCCCTTCTACACTGGATTTTCAGGCATCCAACTTGAACGTCAACCTTATCGCCAACAACAAGTGGCCCTGCAAGTCACCTTCGATACAGTACCGCTCAACACCCACTTCGAGTTTTTATTAGCTTCGTCCTTCCGGTCACCGGCAATCTCAAGCAGAAGACGTGAGGATTCATGCTGTCCGCCAGCTGGTAGTGAGAGCAGTTAAACCCTCTGCTTTCGGTCGTCAGACTCTTCAGCCCGAGGCTCGGGAACGGCGGTAATGTCTGTCTTTCCATTGGCAGCGGCCACTGATTGCACACTTTCAACATCACCAATCCCTACATTTCTGATCTGATGCCTTTTCTTGTCTCGAATTTCGAGCCGGCGAATGACCAGCGTGAGCACGATCAATCCCGCGCCCCAGCATGATGCGGCGATAAAACCCTTGTGGAATCTGGGAGCCTCGATGGTCCTCCAGAACGTGATGGTGAACCATATGGACTGGATATAGCTGAACATGTTCGAAGCAGCAATCATGAAACCGCGCATCTCATGATCGTGCGGCATCAAGTCCGGATACCACGCAAAATAAATGCCCGGCACGCCTGCGGCGGAGTAGGACAGATAGTATGCGAAATATTTGAGCCGGTCCGGGACATTCCAAACAGCCAGGACAATGGTGCTGAATAAGGTTCCACTGGCCATGACAATCAACGCTTGCCAACGTCTGCCTCGGAGCAGGGGAGAATCAGAGAGCATCCCCGCCAGGACCTGGACCACAACGCCAACGGCCACTTGACCAGTGGGCCACACATTGATCTGATAAACAGAGTGATGCGTGGATTTCAGCCACAAAGCATACACCGGCTGATATACGGGGAAGCTGCCTTGAACGAGGAAATATCCGATGGGCAGAAGCCAGAACTGCCAGTGTCCCATGATGCGGAAGATTTTGGTCTTGTTCCAGGCCGAGGCTCCCAGAGGTTTTAACCCTTCTTGGACCAGGCGGTCTCTTGCCCACTTCGCCTCCTTCTCTGTGATATAAAAGGCGCGTGTTGTTTCCGGGAAATCTGGATACAGGAAATATCCAAGCAGAGCGATGGGCAAGCTGATGACGCCACACACGATGAACAGCCACTGCCAGCCGGCATGGCCGAGCTTTCCGTTGAGGCCTTTGTACGCTCTAGCCTGCAGGTAACCACTGAACATGCCGGCCAAGGTGGCGCTGCAATAGAAGAGCGTGACACGTTTTCCCCGCTCGCGCTTGGTGTACCAGGATCCGACCATATAGATCATGACTGGGAAGAATGCTGATTCGCAAAGGCCGATGAGGAAGCGCAACGCATACAGCTGCGACACAGACGTGACAGCGCTGGTACGGAAGGTAAGGATTGACCATAGGATTTCGAGGCTGGGAATCAGGATGAACGGGCGGACGCTGGTTGCCAGGATGACAGCGGGCAGCTGACCGACCACATAGCCGGCGGTGAAGACATTTCCGGCATAGGTGAGCTCGCTTCCATACATGTGAAGTGCTTCGCTCATTCCAGAGACAAAGGCATTGTTCAAGTTGGCCTGATCGAGGTTCTTGCTAAAGTATCCGAGACACGTCGAGGTGAGGAGAAAAACATCCAGCTTGAACAGGAACCACTTCTCTTCCGCTGGCTTGTCTGGATCGTCCCAGACATAGCGCTGAACGGTACGAAGGTGTCGACGCACTCGGCCGATAAATCCTCCCTTCTCCCTAGGTGTTGGCGCGCTCGGGCCGTCGAAAGCAGAAGTTGAGATTGTGGTGTTATTGAGACCTTCAGGTAAGGCGTCTATCTCAACATCAGCTCCCGGCTTGGACGGTGTAGCACTGAATGTTGAAGGCATATCTGGAGGTCTTCTCCGCCTCTGATCTTGAGTTTTGGGAATTGAATGCCAGGACTCGCTGGACTCTCTGGTACCCTCTGAAAACGAACCAGCCGAACAATCTATGCTCTATATGAAGATCACAACTGTTATATTGCGCCATTCACACCTTGCCCCCATCATTTCGTTGCTACGATGCACCGCCGGTCTGCAAGTGCAACACTCATGGCACCATCGACACTTCCGCGGCGCCTTTGGTCTGAGCGTACCCTGCAGGTGGCTCAGGTCTCAAGATGGTAACATGGTCGGTATCAAACTGCTCCGGGCAGGACGACGAGCCACATGAACTTTTTAGCGGAATTGAGCAAGCGAAATGCATAGACGAAGCACCAGAGCATCACGCTATCCTGAGCTTGTGTTTCCTGCCCTGTTACTGCGCTCAGAGGACACCATGTTGGCCAATCCGTTATCTTTACGCCCCACAACGATCCCTTGCATCTGAGCCCGGTGCCGACGTTGGGCTGATCGAAGCAGGGTATCTCTCGAGCGCTCTCCCGCCGGGTAGCATCTGTGATGTTTGCGTCCAGTCTTTGCCACGAGTGTGATTGGCCTTTATCAGACAAATGTCGCCATATAGGAGCTTCGCACGCCATCTACAAATGAATGTTTCTGTTGGTAGTCAAGCAGCATTATACCACCGGCGTACCTTGCGAATAATCAGAGTTGTGGACTGGGCGGGATCAGCACCGGGTGGTCCCGAGGTCCATTCCATATCCCATATCAGCCAAACAGCAAGGCCCGCATGTTTTGCCTGCACATTGCCCTGTGCGATTTTACTTCGGAGGGTCCAACATTACCCTAATGCTCGAGTTGTACGACGCATCCAGTCACAATCATGACAAATGTGGTGCGGAGACTAAGCGATCACGACATAGGAGGGGATGTTGACAGCATCTTACTCCAACCATCCGGGGTAGGTAACCGTATCGAGAGATAACAAGCATGCCAGCGTGTTTCCGATATAAACGAGATGATCCTGAGAAGCATCCATGTATCGACTTTACACCATAACTGAGCCTGAATCAAGCCCTCTTTTCGATCCCCTTTTCTCACAACACCGCAAAGGGGAAATCAGCCGGAAATGTCAACCACCACTGTTCAGCAGACGGAAGTTGAGGCTCCCTTCACCAAGGATCCTCACCAGTATGACTACAGCCGTCTCAAGCCATATGTACATCCGCCTGAGACCAAGGAAGATCTGCCTTGGTCGGAGCTCGTCACCCTGGACCTCGAAGATTACCACCGCCCCGGCGGAAAGGAGCGGTTAGCAAAACAACTCGAACATGCCGTCCACCATGTTGGGTTTTTCTACGTCAAGAACTATGGTTTAACAGAGGAGCAAGTGAATCAGCAGTTCACATTAGCGAAGAACTTTTTCGAGCTTCCTGTTTCCGAGAAGGAAAAGTATGAGGTGCGGTACGCCGAGGCCGACTACAATGGATGGCGTCGACCTGGACGAAGCCTGCAAGTAAAGTCGCCCGACAACATTGAAATGTACAACTTTGCCAAGTTCACTGCGGATTTTGCGGGCAAATACGACCACCCGGATCTGATCAAGGCCCACCTGCCCGAGATCGAGGTGTTTCATCGGGCGCTGCATAACAACGTAGTGCTGCCATTGCTGCGCTTGTTCGCCATCATTTTGCAGCTCCCGGACGAGGATTACCTGGTCAAGCAACACACCTACGAGAAAAAGAGCGAGGACCATTTCCGGTACATGCTCTACCACCCGCGTACCGAAGAAGAGTGGGCCGCCAGTGACTATGGCAGGCAGAATGGGCACACGGATCTGGGCACGGTGACCCTCCTGTTCCGCCAGCCGGTTGCTGGTCTGCAAATCCTCGGCGAAGACGGCAACTGGACCTACGTCAAGCCCGAGCCGGGAACCATCACTGTAAACCTCGCCGACACCATCAGCCATCTCACTGGCGGGTGGTTGAAGAGCTCCGTCCACCGTGTCGTCGCACCACCGAAGGACCAGCGTCACTATAACCGTACGGGGTTGCTCTATTTTGCTCGTCCGCACAACGACACCGTGCTGGTGCCGATTACCGATAGTCCGGTGTTGCAGAAGGCCGGGGTCACCCCTCGCTTCGACAAACTCGTCACAATGGAAGAATGGGTCAAGGCCAAGCAGACTTTGCAGCTTAACCCTGATATTGCGGCCAAACGCTGGGCGGAGAAAGGGGACGGCACTGTCGAGGTCATTGCTGGCTTCCGTGACAGGAAGTATAAGCAGTAAGCGTTCGTCTTGGGTTGATATAGCGGTAGAAGGCAAAATGTTGAGCTACCCGGTGAAAATAGACATAAGATATGAAGACATCGGAGATGCATACAAATCCACATACTATCCCTTGCAACACGACTAACCTGAGCTGGTTTATCCTCCATAGAGTGTTCGATTAGTGTCTCGAGCATCGCGAAAGAACATTTAAGCACAGTCGGGGATGGATTTACTGTATACATTATACATGCATTGAGCCGAGTCCGGAATATTTATTTAGGAATATCCACTTCAGCCCCTGAACACATATTCATTTTTGGGAGTCAGCATTCCGTTTGCCTTGAAGCCATTATAGCCGCATCAAGGGCTGTACAAATATCAAGAAATACTGAACGGATTCGTACAATGAAAAAGTCCGCCGCCACCATGCACGACCTGCCGGTGTGTAATAAATTGGCGCTTTCGCAAGGCTGCGCAGTTCAAAGTTGTTTGATGGAGGAACTGCCGGAAGACGGATTTACATTTCCCCGCAGAAAGATCATTTACTGCTTCGCGTTCAGATCCTTGCGACAACCTCAAGTGTCTTCGTTGCAAACGAACCTAGTTAACAACTGCTTTCTTATACCTCAGGCACACTGGGACGCGCGCCAATCTGCTAAGCAAACAGGAATGCCTTGAAAGTGACGACCACGGTGCCGGACATGGCCGAAGGAGTTGCGACTCAAGCGTTCTCTCTGGTGGGATGGGCATTCTTACCTGCTGTATGATCCCCTTTGCCGCCGCGATCCAGACATACTCATCTTTCACATAGTATGCAACTGCGTTCCTACAATCGGTTTACTACCGCCTCACGATTCGAGCGGCTCTGCGCCATCCGCAACCTGGGGAGCCTCTCTTTGCCGTCCATAATCGGCGGATACGCATCCTTGTCCTATGTCTCTACTTGCTCTACACACTTGCTCAGGCACTGTACGACGTTAAGCTTACGGGTGACTTTTATGCACTGCTTGGCTTGACTCCATGGTCGACAGAGAGGGACGTCAAGACTCGATTCAGGAAACTAGCCGCGAGATACCATCCTGACAAACTCCATGAAAACGGGCAGTCGTTCCCGGGCGCAGACAGCATCTTTGTGCAGTTCAAACTGGCCCATGATACCATTCTGGATCCTGCGAAGCGATTTGCCTATGATCGATTCGGACCGAGCATTGTCCAAGTGCAGTACCCCGGCTTGAAAACCATCAAGGACTATGTGTATGCTGGCTTACGCTCCAAGATACCTGAATACTTGACCAACGCGGCTGTTCTCGTTGTCCTGAACTACATCTGGCTTCCTCAATGGGGACAATTCTGGCGCTATTTCACCATCGCTTGCATGGCGTTCCTGGAGTTGTATTTCCTAACCCATACATGGGAGCCTCCTCGCCTGGTGCTCCTTTGGGCATCTACCTTTTACAAGGTCTTCCCACGCCTACTCCCGCCGCACCTCCTCCCTTTCCAGATCCTCGGGCTGGCAAGGAAGATTTCCATGTCTCTTAACATCTTCATTTCGCAATTGGCTCCCCCCACGGCAAGAAGTGCCGCTACAAGAGACCTCCAGACCCAGCAGCAAGTTCTTCACTTGGCTCAAGCAGCCGGCAAATTGGACGCTGAAACGGTGGGTCTGCTTGAGCTCGAGTTGACTCCTTTTAAAGGAGATTCGGGCAAATCGGAGAAGCTCCGGGCGGGCATGAAAGAGACCCTACTTACGGGAGCGTTGAGGTCGAATCCACAAGTCCGAGAAGCGCTGAGAAGTGCCCTCGAGAGAAGGAGGCGAAGACCGGTGACCGTGCAGGATGGAGACTGAGGATCGCTCCTTCAGGCAGCAGGTCCACGGCATAGAAATTTATTAGACATGTCGGCAACATCCACCGAATTTTCAGTTCTTGAAAAGTTTGTTTAAGCTACTACTACCTCGAATATTCGTATATCATTAGTCCCTACATATTGTTTTGATGGCTGCCCATAGCTCCCTCGTCTTGACTGTGACAGCCGAAGAACTTTGACCACCTGGCGAGCAGCATCTCGAGATCTTGCCAGGACATCATCCTTGTCTACAGGTCAGCTGCTTTGATCGACACAGCAATCGTGGTATCAGGGCGATAATTGGATAGTATTGTTGCACAGCGTCAGTGACCGATTGAGCGACCGATGATGCTGACTAGGTATCTTAACAATGCTGACGAGGCTGGGCCAATTATTCAGGTGCCTTGGCAGGCTCCATCTTGATCTCAAACAACGCGCAAACCCTGAATTCGTGAACCCCCAACATCGAACCCCCCTCGACCAACGGAACCATACGCGCGCCTGGCCATCTCTCAACCTTCCCCGTAACCAGGTCGCCGGCCTTCCAATTCTCTGGTCCATATCTTCCGCAATGTCCTCGACATGGCCTCGTCCTTCAACGCGACCTCCCATCGCTTCAGAGCCTTCTGTGATACCAACACCGATGCCCCCGCCGCCCGCCGCACTGACACGCGCTCTGACCGCATTCCGGACGCCGTCGACACCATCCCAACTGTAGCCAATGAGACTGGCCACTCGGCTGGCGACATGAAATTGCAATGTTGCTGTGGCAGATCAGAATGCATTTACTTGGAGCACAACAACACCCTCCTCGGTGGCATAGAGAAGGACCTGGAGACTGCCGCTCGACTAGGACAGGTGCGTGCGCGTTGTGTGAAGCAGCGATCCCATTCGTTTGAGCCAATATGTTCGTTTCCGCAAAATTTGGCCGGTGCTCGGGTTTCTGCAATTTCGTGGTGGTGTCCACGATCTGGAGCAGATCCCTTTGCAAAGTTTTGAGTCCAAGGTCCTCTATCCTGCCGGAAGTTCTCTTCTCCACGTCTTCCCGTCCGTCCCTTGCATTCCACAGAAGCCATGCCATGACACGAAGATGATGTTACCAACGGCTGTTTCCAGTGCTGAGAAGGAGAATAAGCACACAAGCACTGGACTGACCTTTGCACTCCAGGCCTTACTCACTCGCCATGAGTCCTACGTCAACGAGTCGCAGCTCGAACATGAGAGGCTTACCCTCTACATCAACGAACTCGAGAAGGAGAGAACATGTCTACAAACGACCAACGAAAGGATTGCAGTCGAGAACCGCGAGTTACGGACCCAGTTAGACGCCGCCAACACATCTTTGAAGGATAGCGACAACCATGTCAAAAGCCTCGAGGCCTTGCTGCGGGACAGCGAATCGGAGATTCGAAGGTTGAATGGTCTCACCCGACGGGCGGAAGAACTCGAGCTGAAGATACTGGACATGGAGAAAGATCAGATGAAACTGTCCCAGCGTGCAGACGATTTTAGTGAGGAAACTCGAAGCACCATCCGAAGGTGGAAAGAGAGCGAGATCAAAGTTAGACAGCTCGAGTCCGACGTCGAAAGGATTGAATGGGAGGCTAAGCAAGAGAGGGAGCGGCACGAAGAGATCGTTGCAAGGCTTGAACGTGAACGGGTCCTTGAAAGGGAACTTGGTGGCGCTGAAGGCAGGCTCAAGGGAGCGGCCGCTTTGCAAGGTCTCAAGGGGGGCGTGTCAGGCACCAATGTCGTCAGCCATTTTGTTCGCGACATCCTCCAAGACAACGCAAACCTGCAGGCCGGTATCGCAGAGCTACGGGAATTGCTTCAAGCGTCAAACGATGAAGTGCAGAGCTTGAGAGAGCAGATCATGCAGCATCAGCCGATTGAGAGCGACAACATCGCAGACGATGGAACTCCATCACGTCCTCTAAGCCAGCAGCTTGGCTGGCAGCAACCCTCTCCAAAGCAAGTACAACAGGAAGTTCACGTCCATCACCATTACCACGCAAAGATTGCCGCCAAGAGGGGCGGAACGTCCACCGTCCGCAAACCTGCACGCAGGCGAGCAGTCATGGGCATCAGCACACTTCCTGCAACTCCAGAATCATCGACGCCTTCCACACCACTGTCTGGCCCACAGCGTGTGGTCTCCAGCCCTGTGCTGCCTATTGCGCTACATTTCCCACAAGCCCGTCGTGCTCGTTGGTCCGTGCAATCGGCTGCAACGACGTCGTCGGCAATCTCCAGCTTTGCCAGTTCGCCGCGTTCGTATTTCGACCACAGCAGTTCTATCTTTGATCGCTTCGAGGCCGGTGACGAATCATCGAGGCCAACGAGTCCAGAATCTGCCACCGGCTTTCTTAGTCCAAGGATCCTGTCGGGTTGTCGAGATGTGGAGGTTGGCGACTGCTTGACTGATTTACCGGAAGACGAGGAAGCAGTCGGGGATGACCAGCCACAAGAAGCCGACTTTCATGCACCTTCAGATCGTGTGGAAGACCATTCTCCAGAACCTGGCGGCTTCGATTCGAGCCAATCGGATTCTCATGACCTTACGCCGAAGCCTTCTCAAGTGCTCGTTACCGACGGCGAGCGACAAGGCTATATGAATTTGGTTCCGTCTGATGATTACCCCCAAACTCCATCAGCACCCCCGGAAGAAGAGTCTGAGACAGTCTCTGTACTTCCAGCTACAGATCAAGAGGCCGAAGCAGTTACCTCGAGCCCATGTCATGACCAGACTCGAACAGATGAAGTGCCCAGGCCCAACTCTTCTTATGGCTTCGATGATATGGCTGAGGCGGCGTTCCAACCGCGCTTGCGTCGGACGGGATCCCATGAATCTCTAGTCTCGATATCTGGAATGGATATACATCTCGCGAAACGACCGACAACCTCGGGCTCGCGTCCGTCAACTCTTCTGAAGGGCAATAAAGCGTACTTTGCCATGTCACCATCGGCTGCACGGACATTTTCTGCTGCGCCTCTCACCACCGTGACCGAGTTCACTGCCATAAGTTCCACCAGGTCGACTTCCAGTCCGGTCATCCCTGGACGGAAATGGACAGATAATACCAGTTCTGCGAAGTCACCTTCTCCGTCCGACAAGAATGCCACTAGTGTGAGTGTGGAACTCTTGAGCGGCCTTGCTGGCTTACCCACGGTGATGTCACCGACAGAACGACAACCGTCTTCTGGCGGCGGTGGACTAGGTCGCCTGGTCGGCAGCTGGGTGAAGGGCAAATGGGGGATCGCGCCCATGAAGTCCAGTGAAGACATGAGACCGTCAACGTCAGTATCAAACGGATCATCGAATGCACAGTCTTCCACAACAGAGGAGCACCCGCTATTGCCGTTCCAATGGCCCGGTGGAAGGCCTCCAGGAATTAATCAAAAAGGAGCTATTCCGGGCTTTCCTCGACCAGCTCGGAGACCTCCCGCTGGTACAGGGGTGCAAGTGAAGATGGTGGATGCCGATGGCCTAAGGGAGATCCTGGCAGAGGCCGATCATTCGGGTCATTGACGGAAGCCTGCTGGTCGTTGGGGCTGATATAATGCTGCCCGAGTTCCTTTTCGGGATGCCCTCTAACAACAGCTGTCATTTCATTTGTCTCTTCCTCTCTTCCTCTCTTTCTCACGAACAAGACAGGAAATTTATTGCTTTTCTGCTGTGGCTCACCCTGCCATTTTCATTTTGGTTTGCTGGTTTTCTGGCATGGCATTTTCGGTGCGGGTATGGTGTGGCCATCTATCTGAGTCCTTCAAATTGTGTTCTTGTTGCAGCGTGGAAACTCCACTGCAAATGATTGATGATACCCCCTCATGAGCCGAGCTACTACTACTAAGAAGCTCTTTTGATTTGAATCTCTTGATGGATTGGCGTGTTTGCTTGTATTGATCAAGTTATGGCCAGATGTCTGGCATTGTATATATTGCACTGCTTGCGAGGCCTTTTTGTCTCGGGGTTACAGTACCGGACCTTATATATTTATTAATATTGGAATGTAATGTATATACACACAGTACCGAATTATATAACATCATTCATGCCATGTGCTGTGCTGTTTATTATCTCTCCAACGACACGATTTTGATCGGGGTGGCCACGGAGTGAAAGAACCCTGAGTATCGCACGCTGTCGGGGATATTGCACTGTTGCTCAACGACCCTGAAGCCAACTTCGTTCTGGCAAATGGTGGTGAATTGTGCGAAAGTGTCGCTGCGAATGGTGGCCGAGATGAGGATCACAACGTCGGGGAAGTTGTCCTTCAAGATCCCCAAAAGCTCGGCCAGTGGGCGCAGAATGTCGGGATGATAGGTGATGTCGGCGCCGATGACCAAATCGAACTGCGTGCCGGCTGTCTTGGCCGAGTCGATCAAACGGTCAATTTCCGGTCGGTCGGTCCAGTCGAGCTGTCGCACTTCAGGTGGACTGTGACCGCACAGCGTGTTGTTGTCGCGGTTTAAGTCGGCATTGGCCTGCATGGTCTCGCACACATTCGCCAGGCCATCGGTGGCTACGACGCGCGACGCTCCCAGATGCCCTGCAGAAAGCAATGACAAAAACCCCGTGCCGGCCCCGAGTTCCAGCACGGTCTTGGTTCTGACCAGTTCTGGTTTCTGGACAGTGAGATACCATGCTAGATGAAGAGCGGCTTCCCACGTGCGCAGCCCGACGTTGGTGCCGCGGGATAAGAGGTTTCTTGCTTCGCGGATCAAAACGGGCTGCACGCCAGGTTCGTCGAGTGGGAGTGGGGGGAAGTATGAGTGGACGTGCATTTGTTGGGCTTCGTCCGACGGCGTTTGACTTGGTATCGTGGACAAGTGGCCCATGTGTTCCATTAACAGATCGGATACTTGCTGTCAGGGCGTGTGTCATGGTTAGAGTTAGTCCTTCTGCAGGGAGGGAAAGCAGTCGGAATGGATTCAGTGAGGGGATATGGAGAGCGAATAGGGATAGATGAGATTTGTACTAGAAGCAGGAGAAGAGAAGCCAGGAAAAAGGTTGGACCGCGGGTAGACTGTTCAGACGGTCTGGTTGTTAAGCCGGAAACCTACATCTTGTTCAGGATCTCGACAGGACTTTTCAATGTCTTCGATAATCCTCTTCAAGACTCTGGCCTGGTAGCGGGCGGGCGGGAGGAACTTGTTGTGGGTTTCGTCGAAGAAGTACTTGTACAGACAGTCCTGGACGTCCTGCTTGACCAGCAAACTACCCGGCGGATAGGTCAGGTCGTTTATCTGCTGCATGTATTGACGGTAAAACCTGACCACGGCGGGCTCAACGCCCGCTCTAGAGATGTCCATCATCTGGAAGATAATGAAGCGCGTAATCAAAACCGATTATACGGCAGCAATGCTATGTTTGTCGTTGTGCTTGCGACATGAAGTTGAACATTGAGGCAGTGCTGACTAATCAGGTCTAGCGCTCGTCGCGCAGTGCCATGAGTGGCTGAAAAAGCCGCCAAGATTTCGGAGTGCCAAGCCCACACTTTGCGGCGGCTGGCCCTGCAGAACTGAACTGGATGGGCACAACTTCGATTCAACACAACCATCAAATCCGCAGGCCACCTCTTTGTCGACTTTCGCCCAACTCCAGGACCTGTCTTCGATTGCGAGTCTACCGTCAAGTTCGACAAGACCTCATCCCGATCCTCGCAATCATGGCTGACACTCCGGTCACCATCCGAACCCGCAAGTTCATCACCAACCGACTGCTTTCGCGCAAGCAGATGGTCGTGTAAGCATCCATCTCCCATACCTACGCATATTCACGCCCTTTGCAGTCTGCGCTGCGCGATTTCCAGTATATGTAGAAGGAGGAAACACTGGGATCATCACGTCCTTGGGAAATCAATGCAGCATAGTCGTTTGCGGACTGGGAAATGCAACGGTTGGCAGTTTGGACTGACTCTTCTTTTTCTAATTCAGTGACGTCCTCCATCCCAACCGACCAAACGTCTCCAAGGATGACCTGCGCGCCAAGCTGGCCGAAGTGTACAAGTCGAACAAGGACCAGATCAACGTTTTCGGCATGCGGACGCAATACGGTGGTGGCAAGTCGACCGGTTTCGCCCTCATCTACGACAGCGTCGAGGCCATGAAGAAGTTCGAGCCCTACTACCGATTGGTCCGTGTCGGCCATGCCCCCAAGATCGAGAAGGCCAGCAGACAACAGCGCAAACAGCGAAAGAACAGACAGAAGGAGCTCCGAGGTACCGCCAAGACGAAGGGTGCTTCGTCCAAGGACAAGAAGAAATAAACGTGACGCTACCGATGTGGTGGTTGTGGTCGTCGTCAGCATCAGTTCTTCTTGTCGGTTTTGGTCGTGGTGGAGAAAGGGTGCGGTGGGCGACGATTGATGAATCAAGCGCAGTGGGGAACTCAATGCGCAGGATGCTAGGGGAGAGAATGATAATGGTTCAAAAGATGTTGTTTCTCGACCCCTTTGCTTTCTTGCAGAACTGCTGCGGATTCGGCCAGTGAGATGAAGAGTGGATGGGTGTGCTGTGGACTTAAAGGTGGTCCCTAGTCACCTGGGGATGCATGAGTGTCGCAACATCCATCTACATCGGTCTTCCATCAGGTGGGCCACGTTATTTTATTGCACTGAGAATCCAAAATCAGAGACAGGGCACTGGCGTATGGGCTCCAAGTGCATTGAATTGATATCAAATGTGAACAAAAAGGAAGCAGCAACGTTTTCTGTTCCCGGTTCCAAATTTCGTCTGAGCATTGCGTGACGCTGACACTGTGTGGCATCTCGCGTGGTTCTTTTTCGCTTGTGCACTGGCATGTCAAATCAGTCATTTTACCGCCTAGGGCGACACTTTCCCTCAACATTTCTGAGATGCCATCGACTCTCATTACAGCTGTTAATGCCTAGGTCGCTCAACCTGCCATTGCAACGCCACTGGGCATAGCGTACAAAGATCCGCTAAGGTGTTCGTTCATGGCCGTGTCCACTCGCATGTTTATGACAGCAAAGAAGGAATCTTCCAGATCGTTGCGCCAGGTATATCTTAGCCGAAGGAAGTCCCTTTCCCAGTAGTCAAATTGAACAAACAGTCTCGCCACTTTTCAACATCTATCAGTATTCAACTATGACAGTACACTCTCCTGCCCCAAAACATCACTCCCTGAGGGCATCGATCCCATAGGTCTGTCCGAACAATGTATCATACTCTCCGGTAACAATATCCATATCCTGCTGTGTGCTAATGAGTGAGACTGCATTTTGCTGATGCGACAGATCCAGTCGTCATCTGACATGACCATTGCATCTTCACGTCGATGCTTCTTGCCGTGCCTGTGCCTGTTCCATTACGGTGCTTTCAAGTACCTACTGTAGTAGGATGAAAGCAGCCCCGATATCCAATCCCACACATCAGGACCCGAGATGCCACTCCATTCCCCCATTGATTCCCTCCTTTTGGGGCACACAAACGATCAACGGCCACATGTCCACCTCCATGTCCATCTTCTGGTCACTCGTGAAACGAAACTCAAGAGCCTTTAGAAAGCAAAGCACAAATTTTCCGACAACCCCAACCACTCGCAACCTCGATAGAGAGTAATATAGTAGTGGATACTGTGGCTCAAGCAAATCAAACGAGTGAGATGCACAAAACAAAGCCTGCCAGTACTACATAGTCCCGAGAGAAACTCCAGTGCTGCTGTATCGTGCAGCGGTACAGAACAAGGGGTGCCAAGGCTTTCCAAACGCCCTCGGCTGTTAGACCAAAAAGACGTTTTGCCCACCCGGCTATTAAACGTACCTTTGGCTGAAAAAGAAGGAAAGTGAGCAAATACGACACAAGATATCAGACGGCTACCGACAGCCTTTTCCCACCCCTGATCCCGGTTGCCTTTGCCCTGGTCCTTTTGCTAGATGGTTGCTTTTGCCGTTCCCATCGCCATTTTCATCTGCCGCCCAACAACCAACACAGAGAAATGCCGGTAAACACAGAAAGGGCACAGTAAGCCGGATCCCGATTCCTGTTTCCAAGACAGATGGTAACACCGATGACAATGAGGGTGATGCTGACAATGCATGGATGGTTATTAGCTTTTCGCTGTGACGTACAGCGGACCCCGAAAAGAAAAGCAAAGTAATAGGCGGAACAAAATGCCACCAGTCCTTGCTGCCAGCAATGTTTTGACTTGTCCTGCCGCAAAACATGATCGAGGTAAAAGCATTCCGTAAGAGAGCCTCCAAATGCAACAGACCTGATTGGGACAGTAGGATAACAAGCGACAGATTGATAACACAACTCCGAGATACGACAGAAAGCCGGACTGGAAGAAACAAGACATCAAGGGCTCGCCGTGGCGTCCACAACTGTCAAAGAGTCATGGAACCCAAAACACAGAGCATTGAATGGTAAGCGCAAGTTGCATTATCATTCAATAGCCTGATGACTGGTTGCCCATGGATACGACCGAGACGCGTGCCGAATCACTCTGATAGCTCGAGCAATCGGGGCTGCAGTCATCCGCAGCTGGTCCTCTAGCTCGTGTAACCAAGTTTTGTTGTGTGCGGCAGTACAAAGATGACACTGGGCTGCTGTTCGAGGGATGTGCCCCAGAAGAAGCAGCACTCCGCAAATGTGAGTTGTTGTTACTGCGTCCAGCCATGGTATCGGTATAGTCATACGTGCTGCCTGATAAGCTCTCCGGCGTCGCGGCGGCTCTAGTTTTCAGACTGGGATGTTCGTGGGAAGCCGTCCTCGTACTCGAGTTAGAACTGCCCCCTTGAGAGGCTTCTGGTGTACCTGTTGAAGCGGTGGAGCATTGCAAGTCATTGACCGGAACAGAGAGTCCGTGGGCAATGGAGGCTGTCGCCAAGGAGTCGGCAATGCCCATGTGCGAATATGTCGACATGTCGTGCATTCTGTAAGAGGACGCGCTGTTCGACCTCTCGCTTGAGGACGGATGTTGAGCTGCTCCTGTAGAGTCCAAGGAAGCTGACGACTGGTGATGACTTGTATTGGTGCCAGTTTCGCCAGTCCAGTATGTCGAGGCGTGCAGTCCGGAGCCAGAAGTTGAGGTATTTTCACCGGGATGATTGATCGAAGCAGAAAGAACATTTCGAGCTGAAATAGGAGTGGGCAAGATGCGGTCAGACGGCGGATTGCCAATCATTCCCATTGTCTGAAGCGGCGGAGCAGCATGCGGCGTAGCCGCATAGGCAGGACTGGTCAGCTGTGGGTTCGCTTGCGGCATGCATTGCTGAGGCTCAGTCCAAACTGAGGCATGGTGTGGCCTGACGCCCTGGGCGTGCATGTAATAAGCATTTGTACTGGACATTGGGTCGGTGTTGGGAAGAATATATGGAGGGGGCTGCACTTGAGAAGGAAAGGAGCTGGCTTCCTCTTCGTCCGGGTATGGTGGATAGGAGGGAACGTATGGTGTTCTTGCCCAATCGACATTTGTGCTCGGGTTAGCATAACTGCCATAATCAACGCTCGTTGGCACCGCAGGATACTGCAGTGCACCTGGCGGACTGTATCTAGAGGCCATGGGGACGTAGTTCAGGCGATGATGGGCGGGTAGTGAGTACGGCGAGTAGCGAGAAGAAGGGCCTTGCCAGCCGCGAAACCCGAAAGCCGATGTCTCTACCGAGGAGACCTGAGTCGATGTCAACAATGCCCATATTCCTCAATCACCGAAGACGACAAAACGTACTCGAAGAAACCGACAAGTCTCTCCATGGCCGGAATTGCGGCAGTTTTGGCAACTCTGGTTGTTTCCTTCATTGCCGCTGCACTTGATTTTGCGTTTGCGACATCTATCGCACTGGAAAATATGTCAGTATCAACACAAGTTAACATGGAAGTGGACCGGGCTCATACAGCAACTGGAACACGTTTTCTTGATCCGCTTATTGCTCTCTGTTCAATCTCCGAGGATGGAGTAGTACGGCTGCTGATATGACTGCCAGTCTCATATTGGTCTTGATGTGGGTGTTGGGTCAGTGGCATACCAAAGCCACGATCATTCCGCCTGAAGAACTCAATGTCTGGGTTGTAGAGCCGCGTTGAGATCTGTGAGGTTTGTTAGTCATGAGACATGGAAAAGCAAGGATTCTCAGTACCATGATCACAAAGTCTTCGGACGCGGGAACGGATTGTCTGATCCTCTATTGACTTTTGCACTGCGCCACTTGTTCTCAAGCAAGGACCGACAACAGCTAAGCTCAGCCGTGAAATCGAAGCAGATGGTTCGAATGTCTCGGAAGTCAAAGAATTGATCCCAAAGTATTCGATTTCGACGGAGAATATAGAAGAAGTCAGAGCCATATCCCAGTGTATACCAGCATTTCCAAGCATGCAGGCCAATTGCACGAGACCTGGCGTCGTTTCCCCACTGACCAGGTCAGATTCGTAAAATATGTCATATGGCATGGTCCATTACATTTCTCCGTTAGGCTTCGAGGCTGTTCTTGCTCCAGGTCCAAGCCTCCAGCAAGTCATACTGTCGAAGTTGCCTTGAAACCTGGCTGTAAGATTTCTTTGTAACGGACGAGCTGCAGGCTTCCGTGTGTCACTATGATAACCTGGTCCACAACGACAGCTTGATTTAGTGGACGAAGAACGGGGCCTGACCAGTCGCCGAAAAGATCGTAAGGTGCCCACAATATCAGCTGTGAAACAAACAGAGTCGCTTCCGCCAATTACAACCCTCATGGCACTTGAAGAAAAACCTGCACATCTTACTAGACGTGATGTGCAGGTTGCATTGGACCTGGGACGTAGTGTCGACAGGTTCAGTGTGGGGAAACAGGACTGGTCTTGCGATGTCTATCTGGGACACGTCTGTAGGTGAGAGCGACACGGCCAGTTCCACTGAGAATGCTTGTAGATGATGCACGAGGAAGCATCAGTCCATGGAGTGTGGTGCTGGTCTCAGCCAAGGGTGTGAAGGGGCGGGAGCTGTTTGCTATCGAGCTGCTTAATGTTCGAATTGATTGGCGGGAAATTATTGTTGAGAACATCGAAAACGCCGCACCCGTTTTCGAGCAAACTTGCAACTGGTCAGAAAGCACTGAATGCGAGCCTTAGGATATGAGAACAGTATCTCCATTGGAGAGCTTCCAAATTCCCCAGAGAGCGAAGGGCACTGCATTCACTCCTCGGCCAACGAGCCGATTCCATCTCACGTGGGTGCCAGGGTATTTCTTTAAGCGAGAAAGTCAACCCTATGATCCGTGGGGTTCCTAGGGTGCCTAAACTGTTAGCAAGCCCATCAGACATGCGCCTTTTCTTGGATGTTGGAGCGCATGCAAGACCAGCGGAAAATTTGATGCAAGCCTTACAATCTGATAGACGCACATGACAGACAACAGGACGCAATGTATCAGTGGTTCGAAAGTCGTTGCAGCTGGCCCCAACTTTGCCTGCAAGGTCAGCCCCTGAACATCAGCTGCAAAGTGGCTGCGGAACATTGCAGGGGTCTTTGGTCACACAGAGATGTCAAAGATGGACCTCGCCCAGCGTAGTTGTGATGTCCAACTTCTCCTGACAAATCAGAGACTTTCTTTCGAAAGCAGGCTTGTGGTACAGAGGCGTAATAGACCTAACGAAGACGCCCCAGTAAGGCAACAAAGCTGCTGCCACTTCGACAAGAATGTTACCAGAGGATCCCTCCACTTAGCAACCATTCTGAACATCTTGAGGCAGCATGGGAGCACAAACCCACTGGTCTTTTGTCCAAAGACCATGAGGAAGGGAGCATTTGCCTCGCACGGAAATAACTGGAAGAGATCCACAGGGAAAGGAGAAACGCTCGCAATGAACAGCGGACATACGGACAGGATGAAAGTACGTTGCAAGGCCATTTGCAGAGCCCTGTACCCGACACTCGTCTGTCAGTTCGAAATCAGCCCATATCTGATCGCAGGTTTATCTGCGGCCGTCCGCAACAGGATGGAGATCTCGCTCTTGCGATGAAAAGGGGTTGTTAGCCCGACTACGGCTAGCTCGCTGGACCTGTCATCGAAGCGGGTGGAAGCCGTGAAAGAAGATGGTTTGTGACAGAATCGGGGGATTTTTGTGTAAAGGAGCAACCGCCTGGCTAGTTGCATATCCAGTTGTCGACCATGTCCATTGGGGCTAAAGGCTTTGCACACAATTGTAACGTCAGGAGCACAACGGATGGCACACCACCATGCTTGGGCTGCTGAGCTGCTGGCCGTCGAGCAGAAGGGTGTCCTCGATTACACTACTCACTTTGCGAGAACGCTGATCCCGGCCTGGAGCTTGTACTTCTGACATAGGAGCAATCCTTAGCAGTCTGACTCCAGGCTCTACATAGTCAGCCAGTTGACATCTCATATTGGCAAGGGAAGCTGAATGGTGACGCCTCGCTCCGCATGCTTGAAATGCCACATAGAAGCTTGCCGGGTCAGAAGGAAGACAGCTGTCTGGCTGCGTTCTGCAGACGCGGAGCGAGCTTCTGCAAATCAGTAGCTGTCGGCTTGTGGAGTGGCGTGTCAAAGAAGCATTGAAGGGACTGGAGCGAAGCATCATCTGTGCAATGGTTTGCAAAATACGTGACTGAGATGAGCGGGCTTAGGTAGTACCAATACCCAAAGTACGTAGCTGGAAGAACTTGAAGCTGATGCAGGTGTTGCCAGCGATATCAGGCTAGACCTGAATGGGACTGGTACCTTGAAGCAGTGGCGTCAGGTGACTGATTCTTGGCACGTTTGTTCCTGACGCAAATGACAGTCCGCAATCCGTCATTTGAATCCAGTCTTTCCCGAGTTGAAGTTGCTGGTCGCCGCCCAGCGCGCCATCCCAAAGCCTATCAAGTAGGTATTCCATTTAACCCTTGACCTTACCTTATGCGCGCAACAGCTCTCCCTTGGATCCCTAGAGCACCAGATCTCCAGGTTATAGTAATATTATCTCAGATATCGTAGGCAAGCTTCCTACATACCGGCAGGAGGCCTCGGCTCCACTGCCCGGCTCTGGTAATCCGCCATGAGTGTTCTGCTAGAGACTTCATTGGGCGAAATCGTTATCGACTTGCTGGTCGATAATGCGCCCAAATGTTGTGAGAAGTAGGTGAATCTCTGCCATATTCGAGACCGCGCTAACATCATTCCAGCTTTTTAAAGCTGTGCAAAGTCAAGTATTACAATTTCTCGCCATTCCACAGTGTTCAGAAGGGCTTCTCGTGTCAAACGGGAGACCCTCTTGGACCCGATTCGCCTGAGAGCGATGGCGGAAGTTCAGTTTGGGGGCTTATTTCCGGACCGTCAAAAAAAAGTTTCGTGGCCGACATCGATCCCAAGTTGAAGCATACCCAGCGGGGGACTGTCAGTATGGCCACCGTACCTTCACCCAACGACCCTGACCAACGGCTCGCTGGTAGTCAGTTTATCATCACCCTCGGTGATAATATTGACTATTTAGACGGAAAAGCCGCCCCTTTTGGTATGGTGGTTGAAGGGTTTGACACCCTCGAGAAGATAAACTCTGCGTTTACAAATGCGAACGGTCGACCACTGAAAGATATCAGGATACGCCACACTGTGATCCTAGAAGATCCTTTTCCTGATCCTCCGGGGCTAGTTGTGCCGGATATGAGTCCCGCTCCTACCAAGGCGCAATTAGCCACAGTTATGATCGCTGATGATGAAGAATTGGAGGAAGAAGTGGACGAGGCTGCCATGGAGAAGCTGCGACGAGAACGAGAAGCACGCGCTCAGGCCCTGACCCTGGAAATGGTCGGAGACCTTCCATTTGCAGAAGTCAAGCCGCCGGAAAATGTCCTGTTCGTGTGCAAATTAAATCCCGTGACCAATGACGAAGACTTGGAATTGATCTTCAGTCGGTTCGGGAAGATATTGTCATGTGAAGTGATCAGGGACAAGCGCACAGGTGACAGTCTTCAGTATGCTTTCATTGAATTCGAAAACCAAAAGGATTGTGAGCAAGCCTACTTCAAGATGCAAGGTGTCTTGATTGATGACCATCGGATACATGTGGACTTCTCCCAGAGTGTGAGCAAGCTTTCGGACAGTTGGAGGAACGCGACAAACTCTAAGAGGGCGAGACAAACAGGAGGTTTTGGTGGAATTGCTAGCCTGGAGAAGAAACGACATTACCGGGAGCAGGATGGTCAGGGGCACCGCGGACGAGATTATCGAATGGTCTTCGACAGGGATGAAATTCGCCGCAATAGAGACGGCCAGCCCGGGCAGGACCATGGAACATCCCGAAGTCGGAGCCCACGGGGTGACAGACGAAGCATGGAGCGTGATGATCGCGGAAAAGATAGGAGATACCGAAGCGAATCTCAAGAGGGGCGTAGAGATCGGTATGATGGGCGAAATCGCGACAGGTACAAAGACAGAAGCAGGGAGAGAGACAGGCGGCGGGACGGGTACCGGCCCAGTTCGTGGAGAGAGAAGAATAGATGAAGCATGGTTGTACCTGTACATGTATATCATTGCACAACAAGCACTTGAAAGGGACATATGATACCAGAAACCGGCAGTTGGAGCCATGTAGCGCGCAGGACAACTCTACATGTACTGTACTTTAGAACAAGTCGTGTAGTACCTGAGATATGTATTGTGTTTTGCTGGGCGGTGCTGGTGGTGGTACCATTTACAGGGCCCAGGTGAGGTACCTGGTGAACTTGACTCCTTTTCTCGGTTTTGTTGTCGTACGTCACCGCGAGGCTGCCGCCAGTGCGTTCGATAATATGCGGAGATCATGTTTGGCCAGTTTCAAGTGTTTCTGTCTCACCGCGCTAAGCCTGAGGCATCCCTTGTAAACCACTTGCAATCTGAAGTCACCTCCTCTTTGTCCGGGTGTCAGCGTTTGTCCTCCCAGTCAGGGTGGCACGTCCTGTTCTTGACAACCTTCTTCCCATAACTTCCTGTAAAGGTTGAGTTATCCGAACAGCGTGCACCGCCGGAACCCAACCTCCCACACAGTCTAACAACATGGCGGCGGGCATGGTCAACAGCCTGCTCGAGAAACTCCACTTGACCTCGTCAGAACAACGGGCGCCGGTGCAGGAGCCCAACAAAGAGCTTGTGAAGGAACTCCGCGAAAAGTACGAGAAGGCGAATCAAGGCCATGTTTGGGCGTTCTATGACGACCTTGACACTGAAGGGAAGGCCGCCCTCTTCGATCAACTCTCTCTCTTTGATCCCGACCGTGTAAACGTACTCGCCGACAAAGCGCTTAATCCTCCAAAGCCATCAGACGAAGAACCCTCCATTGAACCGCTCCCCGAGTCTGCGACTGCATCTTTGCTTGATGCTCCTGAGGAACAGAAGAATGAATGGTACAATACTGGCCTTGATCTGATTGCGAAGAACAAAGTCGCGGTGGTATTGTTGGCAGGAGGTCAAGGGACAAGATTGGGCAGCTCGGATCCAAAGGGCTGTTTCGATATTGGTCTACCCAGCAAGAAGTCTTTGTTTCAGCTACAGGCGGAACGGATCTGGAAAGTCCAGCAGTTAGCCAAACACCATGCTTCATCCGAGATCGATCCTGTTGTGCCGTGGTATGTTATGACCAGCGGCCCTACGCGAGCCCCAACAGAGAAGTTCTTCGAGGAGCACAATTACTTCGGGTTGTCCAAGGAAAATGTCATCATCTTCGAACAAGGGGTGCTTCCGTGCATTTCCAACGAGGGGAAAATCCTCATGGAAAGCAAGTCCAAGGTTGCTGTGGCGCCCGATGGCAATGGAGGGATCTACCAAGCGCTTTTGACGTCCGGTTCGCGCGATGACATGCGGAAACGGGGCATCGAACATGTCTATACCTATTGTGTTGACAACTGCCTGTCCAGAGTCGCAGACCCGGTCTTCATTGGCCTTGCATCAAGTCGAAACGTGGATATTGCAACCAAGGTTGTGCGCAAGAGAGCGGCAGATGAACCTGTCGGCCTGATTGTCCAGAAGAACGGGAAGCCCGATGTAGTTGAGTACTCGGAGATTGACAAGGAAATGGCAGAGGCCAAGGACAGTGCCGGCCGCCTTAAGTTCAGAGCGGCAAATATTGTCAACCACTACTACTCTTTCAGATTCTTCGAGACTATCGAGGAATGGTCGCACAAGCTACCACATCATGTTGCCAAAAAGAAGATTCCCTATATGGATACGGAGACAGGTGAGACGGTGAAGCCGGAGAAGCCCAACGGCATCAAACTGGAGCAGTTCGTGTTTGACGTGTTCCCCTTTACCCCCATGGAGAAATTTGCCTGCCTGGAGGTGGATCGCAAGGAAGAATTCTCGCCGTTGAAGAACGCTCGAGGCACAGCGGAGGACAATCCGGACACTAGCAAACGAGATATAATGGAACAAGGTGCTCGATGGTTGCGCAACGCAGGGGCCATTGTGGTTTCCGAAGGTAACAATGCCGGAGTCGAGGTCTCTCCACTGATCAGCTATGTGAGTATTAATCGTGCCATTTGTCGGAAAGCTGTGCTAACTTGTGCTAGGCCGGCGAGGGTCTTGACTACTTGAGAGGACGAGAGATCAGAGCGCCGGCTGTGATCGAGAGGAGCAAGGCGGAAGAAGAGTAAAGTTGAGAACCAGCGTGGCCCGGAGAGAGTCGGCGGAAGGGGAGTACAACTGGCATAGACAATTCGGCAAGGTTGAAGCAGGGGCACAGGATGAATTACGATGTTTGAATGCATGCCCGTAAGATATCTGGTGACATTGCCAGTGTCCTGCAGTGTAATACCTGCAGCCTTGTTCCCACGGCCACAGCCTTGTCACTTATAGAGGGTACCTTACTGGTACAGGTTCGTGCACGTGATGCCTTATCACGCGCTAGTCAGGATCGGGCGCAAGCATGTCTTGGCCCGTCTCGTCGCCTCGTTTGGCTCCATCGACTTTTCACCTGCGACAATTTTTTGGACAAACCCAAACCGCTGTTCTTACCAACTGGTGTTGTTGTGTCGCACGATCTTACGGAGGCTGGAAGTCGTTGGAAAGGTTGAGTGGGAAGTTGTGCCTTTGTAAGTCAATTCATTACCCCAAAGCCATTTGCAAACGCTGCCCCTCCTTGTCATCCATAGGCGACGTCGCGGGCGCTTCCATTTCTCCTTGCCTGCACCTATCCGCATACCACGCGACAGGGCCACTAATATTGAGCCATAGGTTGTGGGCATTTTAGGATATCAAAGACCAACTAAGCAGGTATGCTTTTATTCAGTCCTCCTTGCGGTCGCGCAAAGACACCTACTGCCCTGCCTCGTCCAATTCTGCCCAACATTTTTGCGACAAACGCCCACTGCACCCAAGACATTTCAAGTACAAGATAAATTTCTCAGAAGAAGGGAGTTTAATGTTATGTTTATAGGGAGAAACAGGCAGTTACGAATACACCTTCGTCAATATGTCTTCTCTTACTCGTCGCGCGTGCTACAAATGTGGTAACGTTGGGCATTATGCCGAAGTCTGTACCTCGTCTGAGAGGCTGTGCTACAACTGCAAACAACCGGGCCACGAGTCCAACCAGTGCCCTTTGCCGCGCACTACTGAGAGTGAGTCGCAATGATGCGTCCATCTGCAGAAACTGGTCGCTGACTAAACTTTTCTCCTTCAGCCAAACAATGCTACCATTGCCAGGGTCTAGGTCACGTCCAAGCTGACTGCCCAACCCTGCGTATCAGCGGCGGGCCTGCGGGTGGTCGCTGCTACTCATGCGGGCAAATCGGTCACTTGGCTCGCAATTGCCCTACTCCCAGTGCCGCACCGGCTCCTCGTGGCGGTCGCGGCGGCTATGGCAGTGGGTTCCGTGGTGGTTACAGTGTTGTCAACAACCGAGCCGCGACCTGCTATAAGTGCGGCGGGCCAAACCACTATGCTCGGGACTGTCAGGCTCAAGCTATGAAATGTTACGCCTGTGGCAAACTGGTAAGAACCAATTTTCCGCGCTCCTCGCTGGACACATTTGGTTAACTTCTCCGTCAGGGCCACATCTCTCGGGATTGTACCGCACCAAATGGCGGTCCATTGAACGCGGCAGGAAAGACCTGCTACAAGTGCGGTCAACCAGGCCATATCAGCAAAGACTGTACCACCGCCGAAACCAACGGTCAAGCCGCTCCAGTGACTAACGGAGCCTCTGCTGAGGGGACGTCCGCCGTCCCTGCGGCAGAATCTAACGACATTGCTGCCGCTGCCGCTCCTGCTGCAGCTGTGGCATGATCAATCACAATCTTCCGAACCATCTTTGCAATGCTTTGCTCTGGTTCATTTTGTTTGTGTCGTTTTTATTGATCGCGTTGTTGCATGTCGGCTCCAGTTTTGGTGCAAAACATCCCGATGCCGGACGGTCTATTCCGAGCAATCCCTTCATTATCCGATCGTGGCGGATTATATATTTTGGTTTCGATCATCCCTCGACTTGATTCATCGCAATATCAACCACTGCGGCCTCGATGGGACTTGATGTCTTCCTGGGCTCCAACAAGTCATTGATAAGGATCATCGACATCTCTTACGTATTTCACGACCTTTTAACAACCATGCTCTTGAAGGGAAAAATTCAAAGCTTTTCACGACATGACCGGCGAGTCAGGGCTGGGGATTGATTATCCACGAAACAAAAATAGTTTGGGAGTTTTGGCAACGAGGTTGAACTTGTGGCATAACGAACGACTATTATAACGATTCTTTTTAATCGACTTCGCGCGGGATGATTCGCGACAAACGAAAGGCTTTCACTTTTTTCCCCTGGATGGGACCCGGCGTTTCTGGACGGACGAATCTTCTACCCTGCCCTTGCATTTTGACATGGGCGAAAACACACGAAACACGAAACTTTCACGACTAACCGGTTGAGACTGCTCGTTGTCTTGCAGTCGCAGGGTATCACGGACAGTTTTTGACAAGGTTAGGAAAGGAAAGTTCATGACCACACGAACTGGCGCTTATTGAGAATTGGACGCTACCTCCAACCGGCCGATGAATCGAGAGGGGAGAGAGGGTGAGCAGAGCGAGAGACAGATGGCACTTGAAGCAGAGAAAGACGAGAAAACAAGAAGCAGGTGACACGAGATCGAAGTGTGTGGTGACAATTGGTGTTGTAGTCATCAAAGGCGGCAGAAGAAGAAGTAGAAGAAGCACGGTGGCGAGCGAGCAAGTGAGTTGAAGGGAGTGAGAGCCGGTGGAGGATGTCGATGGTGTTTTTTCTCTCCCACGGCGGCAGTGGAGCAGATTGTAGCAACCTTTTTACATTATGTATGAGCACCGAAAGTCTGAAAAAAACCAAAAAGAAGAATCTCCGCGTGCCATTTTCGCTATTGCTTTTGCGACTATCTTTTCTATCGATCGGCTTTGGGAGCCCAAGGGGCCCAGCACCTAGCGTTCTGCTGTAGGAGCCCAGCGCTAAGATATGAGGGTTGTGCTGCACTGCAGGAGCCCACCATATATCTCCATCGCACTTTGGTTGAGGGCCACCGACAGAGCTTCCTTTCTGCTGTAGAGCCCTCCTCGGCCCAGCGCCAAGAGCGTTGGTTATGCTGGACTACAGGAGACCACCGTATATATATATATATATATATATATAT